CGAGGTCGCTGCACAGCCACCGGCGTTGAGTAGCGAAAGGCCACGCGCGTACGCGTGCAGAGCCGGGGCACCACATCACTAAATTGCGTAGATTGCTGATATGTAGTTGGATGCTAGAGGGCGATTCAGGAAGCCGAAGGAGTGAAGGGCCGTCGAGACCGCCGAGGTAGGCGCGAGGTCGCTGCACAGCCACCGGCGTTGAGTAGCGAAAGGCCACGCGCGTACGCGTGCAGAGCCGGGGCACCACATCACTAAATTGCGTAGATTGCTGATATGTAGTGAGTACATGGAAGAAGTGGGACGCTTAAGGATAGATGGTAGAGTGTCGTTGACGCGCACACTTTATCACGCTTTTGTCACGTTTTGGCTGGGGTCACATTTCTGTCACTGTGACGAGGCCCATGCGCAAAAACCAACTCCCTCCTTCGGGGGAGTCGGAATATGTTGATTTACCCGATCAACAATAATCGATGCGGGTTTCGTTCACGTCTCTCGGACATCCATTCTCACCCTCCTCGCCACCATGGTCAAATTGCCACGCAGCTTCCTGCGCTCTGATGAAGGCGTACCGAGTCAAGGTGTGGTCTCATCGAACATCTCGCACGTACGACGTACACTAGGCAGAGGACGCAAGTTCAAGTCGGATTCGGAGGCGCAATCCGTGGTTGCTCACCTTCCTGGCGAAAATAAACTCGTTCAAACGGGTCTCTTCAACAAACGATATGCTAGATTCCTCTACGAGGATTTTGACCTCGAGGATAAGGGGAGGGAGCCGATCGACGGAGGAAGTGCTAAGGAACCCGAGGCCGCTCCAGAGTCAGACCCATTTACCGCGTCATCTCCTTTCTGTACCCCGCGGCCAGAACGTTTTGCATCACCTTTGCACTTCCCGGCCCAGGATGATCGTGATATATCAGCTCTGGAGAAGGAGAGATACGCGAGAAAGAAGGCGAATCAATGGCAGCGATGGCAAAGTGTCACCATACCGGAGCTGGTTGAGCCATACATGGAGTACGTGAGGGCCACTGACCATATGACCACGAATCGCCCTCTCCTGCCAACATGTCAATGCGGCGATCACCACAAAACGCTGAACGTGCTAGTCGTGTTTATAGATCGTGCGTAGTCTTTCATGACGTCGTTAAGTCGCGCGAATGAACTGCCAGCAGGACTTGAGCAGATGGACATTCCCGTATGTACGCCCACGTCTGCGGCCAGAGCTCTACTTGCTCGCGGTCTCTTCCCGTGCGCGCCTCAAGCACCATCGGTGGCCTTCGATTTGAACATGCTCGAATTAGTAGCTACCCTTTTCGTAAACACCGCACCCAACGTCACCGCATGGGCAACCACATTGGAATCTTTCCTGAGTGTACGGAACTACAAACTGACCACGCGGGTGAGGAAAACATATTTTTCATGGCAAATGGTGTGATAACGATCCGGAGAGCAGAATTCACTGCGGAGGCGGTTCGGGAACGCGTTGAACTGGTACAACTACCTAATCGATCACGTCCGAACGTGTACATCCAGTGCCGTGGAACTGTCGAGGCACATTCTCTTACAACAGCAAGAGGAAGAAGCACTGAACGGATGCCAGAGTAAGTCATTATCCTTACGTGTTCTCCGCATAAGTTTTACCAAATCTACCAGCCTCACCCACAGCATCTCACCCAATGCAGGCCGGGAACACTGAAGATCTGCGTCTTGATCAATCACGCTCCACACCTGAGCGGCCTAGCGCTTGTCGCCGCGACGACAAAGATTGCGATGGTCTGGTCCCTGACCGCAAGTGCTCGAAGGACAATCCCCTGAGCGCCGAGTCGCAATCAAGCTCCATACCATGCTTCGGGGGGACCGGACATCAGACAGAGGGGTTGGGGTGAGCATCAATCCGTTGTTGTAACCCGGCGCGACTGACGGTTCTGATCACGGCAGAGATGCCATTCGATCTCTAGCAGCTCCCTATGACGTCTTGCGTTCATCGCAGCCTAGGATCACGGAGGAACCACATCATAATGGACCACGCTCTCAATCTGACCTACCCGGCGGCCGTTGTTATGACAAAGAAGAACGCGAGGGCCAGCTTGCTGACCGGAATATACCGCGTGGCAACCGTCCGAGCGCGTACTTGCGGTCGCGCTGCGTACTGTGCTTTGGTGGCACTGGGCGAGAGACGGAGGAGCTGGGGTGCGCATCCTTCCATAGTGCAACCAGCAGGTGTAACTGACCTCTCTGCTTACAGTGTAGACTCGATTATTTGCTTGGACGCTTGCTTTACCCAAAAGCGACGTGCAAGCGGCCGCCGTGACCCCGAGCGGCACCATCCGGCGTCCGTATTCCTGCGAGAAGACGAGATTACAGCCATGGAACGCATTGTCGAGGAGAAAAGGCAGGGGAGAACGGCTCGGAAAGGATCGAGGAAGCATGGCGCTTCCCAGTCTGCACCGAAACGAGGAGAGCAACCCGACGCGACGCTTACATCCGGAAATGACGGAGCCGAAGACAAATGCGAAGGTCCCTTGAAGCTACCGAACTCTGTTCTGGACGGCTGCGAGTCATCGTTCAAAGCCGCGGACGAACAACGAGAGAAGGCAAGTACAAATTTCTTCGATGATACTGGGCTCATGGCACTCGTCTGCCGTCATGATCGTGTCCTATGGATGGCCAACATAACGAGTGCTGGCGAACGCCAGCATTATGCCATTGCACTCCTCGATAAGTTTTTCCATCACGTACCGAAGACCTTTCGCGCTGGCGTCCTGTACGACATAGGGTGCCAACTACACCGGAGCTGCTTCAAATGGGGACTACTTGAAAACTACCGTGATCGCATTGTGTTCGGCATTTCCGTTTTTCATGCATATGGCCATCAATGGGCATGCCAGGTCATTTACCACCCGCGGAAATGCGAATGCTTCGGTCTTAGTGACGGGGAAGGGTGCGAGCGTGTCTGGAGCGCGCTGGAACACCTCGTTCCTGGGTTGCGCGTGAGCGGCGTGAGTACCACAATCACAGCACTAAACAACCATTACTAACATGCGAGCCTGAACAGTACTATCAACGGTTCTATGTCATCAACCTCCAATTGCACCATCTCGATCGCCTCCACCTTCGTTCAGCAGGTGAACGGCTTCTACGGAAGTACGAAGCCTGTCGCCAGCGAGCTATGGAGGCTCAGAATGGCCTCCGCAAATGTAACCTGGCCGTGGATTTCTTGCGGGATCAATGGACTCTGCAACAGACTGCGCAGACAAAGCCCCTCCGAAGTACGTTTCCAGCTGTTCACAGCTTCGGTTAATTGACCCTTGGATATAGACCAGGTGAAGGACGCGGGGGCAAAGACTATCGACTCGATACTCGCATTACAAGATCAGCAAGCAATGATCGACGCTCACGTCGCAAAAATCGAACGCGCAATCTGTAAAGGTCGTGTCGATGCGGACGCGAACTCGCGACGTGAAGAATTGTTGAACGAACGCGGTCGTGTGTTAGTGAAGCGGGCCCGTCTGGAGGATAGCCTGGATCTCCGAAGCAGGCAGAACCTCCGAAGCCTACGCGGGAGTCGGTATTTAACTGCCCGTATCAATGCCCTCACGTTGAAGACACGGATCAGAGAGCTTTTGATTCGACGCAAATTCGAGCTTTCAAAGATGGAGCGATCGTTTCATACCCAGTCATCTGGTGGGTAATTGTCCTACTCATTGAACAATTGAACTTGCTATAACGGCTGGCCGCAGATCGGAAATTGACAGCGCACACAACAAACGCTGTACATCGACGCGAACCCACGATCCAATCTCTTACTCGCAAATATAATGCGTTATGTACCGAAATGGCGAATCTCGTAGAAAATCGACAAGCGCCAACTCGAGCCGTCCCACCTACCCCGATTGACATGGAGAAGCTATGGGGTCTCGACGTCGACGACAACATTTGGCAGGATGTCGGCCTCGTCGACGAAGAGGATGGTGATTGCGCACCGCCGCGCTGGTTAACCGATGCCAAGGTCAAGGAAGGTATCCGCCACATGCTGAGCGCGGATAGATGTCAAGAGGAACTCGCGAGGATCATGGCAGAGCGGAGGCATATGCAGATCTGGCTGCAGGAGGAGTGGAAGGCAGTCGAGCACGCGCTGGACAGGACGGGTGAGTATCTCAGTGTCGGTTATGTGTACGATGCCGACACTAGCCCTAGATATATCCACCGGCCTACATAACCAGATATTCCTCTACCGCAAGGAACTTCTCGAGCTAGCCATCACCTGGAAGGGTTTTGTCTCCGCTATTCCGACAAACGATACCCTCCTGGACGTGTGGGGACCGAGCGAAAGCGAAATGCGTATGGAATCATTACGCAACGTCATGGTCCATCCTCCCAAGGTCACCAGTGACACGCCAGCATCGGACAGTCGCCTGGATATCTGGAGCCGAAGTGAAAGTGAAGCGCGGAGGAATAGCGGTGACGACAACCAAGACAGTGACCTCGAAGATCACGCGAGGGAGCTCGACGACGAGTCGAACTGCGGCGAAGACGTCGCTGCGCTTTATGAACAACTGGAGGCCCTTCGCGTCAACGTCGAAGAAAGATCGGACGGACTATGGCAGGCGGACGTAGCACCCACCCCGCAGCTCAGTATGGACTCGCCGGGGCGACAATCGGAATGGTCACAATCGTCAGCGGGACCGTCGACGCCGAGAGGGTACCAGCACGACTTAGCAATCCTTCAATCGCCGTTGCATTCACCGTATCCTTCAGAGGTCGAGGAACGGGTTCAGAGACGTTTGTTCAAGCCTAAGGCCGTGTTCGCTTCCCGCACGTCAGCATCTTCCGTGGCCATGGAATCTCGTGTTAGCGGTGATGTCTTCAGTAGCGTTTGCCTTTAATGACAAACATCCCTGCTTCACGCGACTTGCAGACCGATGGTCGCGCGTCCGCGATAAACGGCGACCAGGTACTCCTCGACAAGCACTCACCTTGGTCACCCCCAAGACATGACATTATTAAGTGTAACCTCCCCACTCACGAGTTACACCTAATATGCCCCAATATCAATGGTTGATCATACGTACCCGCATTTTCTTGGAGTGACCGCCGCGGCCCGTGGATAAACCAGCCCGGTGTTACCATCCGGTTTTGCAAAATCACTCACTTTTCTCCAGAAATGTGTGCGCGCCATCCGAATAATTTCCAGAGCACAGCCCGCACGTTTGTATGGTCTGCACCATGCGCTTGTCTGAGGAATATCTGTCCCCGGTCAAGGCATGGTATCCTTGTGAAGCTTCGGGGTACACCTCGCGTTTTCCCCCAGTGGTTTCCCAGGTCGTACCACTCGTAAGTTCGGTCGGACCATTCGGTCCCAAATACACCAGGATCGTTCCGACGGCCTTCTTCATATGTCCCAACGCATAGTTGTATCCACTGCGGATGCCCGGTCCGGACTGGCGAACCTCGCCCGCTACCCGGTGAAGTTTGGTGTTACCATCGCAGGATGCGACCATGTCGGTCTTACCAACGATGACATATCGTAGCGACCGAAGGTCTTACCTTCCATCGTCTTCGGTACCACCGGCAGGAGTGCACTGGTGCGACCGCGTTTTGACTGATGGTACCACCAGCAGTTGAGAAGCCGCCAATGGTCCGACCACACTGCGGCACGGTCCTACCTGTCGGATAGGTGGTCGCACCATGTCCCGAGTTGTGGTAAGACCTACCGGTGGATTGGTGTTACCATTGCGACCGCAGGTTGCAGGTGGTCGCACCATTCTGCTCGCCATGGTAAGACCTACCGGCGTTCCTTAGGACTGGGGGTAGGACCCAGCTGACACGCCGGTAACACCATAATGTAGCCCTGGTCGTACCCAATCCGGCGGTGCGACCGGATGATGCTATGGTTGCCCCACATCGCTTGGTTGCACCAGACTGTCCCCCGCAGGTAGCACCAACGCAGCTGGTCAGACCCGCAACATCGCTGGTGCTACCCGTCCGCTGAACCCTCCAGTGGTGGCACCAGACTGTCCCCCGCAGGTAGCACCAACGCAGCTGGTCCGACCCGCACCATCACTGGTGCTACCTGTCTGCTCAACCCTCAAGAGCAACGGCGGCGGTGGAACCGCGCATCTTTGTGGATGTACCGGCCATTGCGGCGGTCACACCTCATGAACAATGTTCTACAGATAATAAAGCCGCTGATACACAACGTAGGGTAAACATTCATAACACATTATCTATACCGCGGGCGCTTTGTTGGGCTCTTCGGTTCGTGACCCAATTCTCCCACTCTTACCATAGACATCGACGTTAGTAGCTTCGTCATGTTCTGGTGAGCCTCGCGATCCCAATCAATAGTGTTATATCTTTGAGCTCACTGCGACCAGTGTAGCTTCAATACCGGTGTATCGATCCCCGGCGTTGGGTAATGACTCATCCCCGCCTCTCATCTCATCCCACGATATGAAGGCCGAGTACAAGACATCGGGCTGCGGCGGAGGCAAGTGATGCTCACGACAGCCTTGTTGCTGCTCTAACATAACTGATGTTGCCGGCATGTGCCTCAAGATTGTTGTAGGCCTGAAATTGGAAGGTGCACCCTGGCAACGGGCAACATTCGCACTGCATGTTGTAGTGCATGGCTGATGGAATGTCACAACACCAGCGCCCGAACCCAAAATCCGAAGCTACTCACGTAAGATATATCAGAGCAATGCCAGTGCATGCACTGCAAATCGCGACGGCATCTGAATGCCCAACAAATCTACTGCCACCACATCAGCCCATCAAACACTACCCAAGCTCAGACCTTCGGATTCCTGAAGACTCACGCTAGCATTCACTTTTGTATATGTGCCGAAGGGCTGCCTTGGTCTCATCTAGCATGCTATCGAGATGTACGTTGCCGTCTGCCCACCTACCTCCCCAGCTGCCCTTGGCGGCGATATGTCGTCGTCGATCTCGCGTCATTGATGCCGAAGCCGTCAGGTCAAGACGTTTCGCGACGACGTAGTTCCCCGACGCGCACTAGAGCATAGTCCATTTGGAAGGATCGGAAATAATCGCTGATATCGAAGCCGTCAAGGCAAGGCGTTGCACGACCTCTGTTCCCCCACGCGCGCTCGAGCACGTGCATACACTCCACCTGGCATAAAGCAATGTCCAATGCACGCAAGAGCTACCAAGCTTGGATTCGGCTACCTTCTCCATTCTGACTGTTTGACAAGGGCATCTCTTGGGTTGTCGCTGAGTTCCCGTATCGGACACAACGCGCACTGGCCTATCGATCGCTTCTCATTAGAATTCCTGCAGGAGATCTTCGTGTTGTCGCAAGTTGATTCACGGTTTAATGGCGGTATCTTAAACTGGGTGAGTCCGGAAGGTTCACTGGGCTTATCCCAGGCCTGTGCACTGTGGCGTCAAGCTGCCTTTGGAATATATACTAATACACCCCTATCTTCTGCCTGGATAGCGTGGGACCTTGGTGTCTCGATGTTTTCCACACGCTCCACGTTATTCCCCTAGTGTGTCAAGCAGCGACTAAGCCGCCATCTTCGGTCGGCTACGGAATATGCAAACGCGAGCTCTCCGATCTTTCGGAGAGGGCCCATTCATCGTTCAGCTGGGCATCGGGTGCTGCATTTTCAATGGTTGCGCCATCTGTATATCCATCGCGACACCCGACAAGGACCAGGGTATCCCTCTCATCCCACGCTCGCAGATGTCTGGCTCTAGCGTTGATGGATTATTTGACGCCCGGACGGACGCCCACGAAGCCCATCGTAGGAAACCTTCCGTCCTTGCGTTCCGGGAATCCTACAATACATGGCGCTCGCGCCTCATCAGTATCTCAACGGAGTGCCCTTCAAGGTGACTCGCGGCTAAGCTTGCTCAATGTTTTGATCGAATGTTTCTATTGAGCTGCATATCACGCGTACGTTCCGATGAGTATATCGTACATGCATTCCAAAGAGATAGCGATCGCAACAACAACAGCCACGTCCTCCCCCTTCATTTCTATAGTCCTGAGTCAATTCTCGTACAACATGAGAGAAACAGCAAATCGCGATATCACCGCGAACAACAGAGCAACGAACAGAATATGAGGAGATCAATCGATAGCGACGAGTAGCCAGGAGCAAAGAAATGAGCAACAACACGAGCAAAAAAAAAAGGAAGCGGGAGGGGGCGAGAGAGATGAAGGGTATACGAGATGTCGTTCATGGTCGGTCGTTCTTCGTAGTTTGTTCGTGTGGCTGAGCGTATTTGTACAAATGGAGCTCGCGATTTCGCATCCGAGGCCCTGTTTTGGTGGGTGAAATGCGAGTAAGGGTGACCCATGCGCGGAGCGCTTGAAGTGGGGGCAAACGAGGTTGCAAGCGGGGGGCGTGCGATGCCCATAGAGCCTTCGACGTTCGTGTACGTCTCGAACAGTGTCGGATCAGGCCTCATCGGAGCGTTGGCTGAGGCTACTGCAGATCGCGAGCCGCACGACGTCTCCGTCATAACGGCCGTTCCGGAGCGATCGTTGGACCTAGGAGACGCAACAACCCATCAGCCCATGTGCCCACGCAGCACGACTGAGATCCGACGCTCACCGGTCCTTCACAACTTGCTCATAGCCGCCGCGACGACGTGGTACTGCAGCCCGCCCATATCCCGCTCGTATCCCCACGCCCTCGCGGCCTCGCGCTCGCGCTCGCCCTCCTCCCTGTCCCCCCTCACCCCAGGCTCGACCACGAACGCGCCCTCCCTCACGCACGCGCCCAACGCCTCCCACACCGCGCCCGCCACCGCCCCAGGCGCGGTCTGCACCGCGAGGTGTCCCACGCCCGGCATGACGTCGACCCCGCGCCACGCGCACTCGCGTACGAGCGCGTCGTGCACGTTCCCCGGCACGCAGTCCTTGACCTCGCCGAGGACGAGGTGGACCGGGATCCGGCGCGCGAGGCGCGCGAGCGCGGGCACGGGCTCGACCGGCCCGCGGCAGTCGCGGTACATCGCCGCCTCCTGTTCGCGCGCGCAGCAGAGCGTGACGCCGTCGTACTCCCCCCTCTCGCGCGCGGGGTGGTCGCGCACGGCGTAGCGCACGAAGCAGCGCGCGACGCGGTCGTCCCACCGCGTCGTCGTCTTGCCGCCCTTCTTCGCCCCTCCGTCCTGGGTTGGGTGGGGCGGGGGAGAGAAGTAGGCGTAGGCTTTGGTCCGGGAGCGCCAGACGTCGACGCGCTCGTACGCGGAGCGGAGGAGCGCTTTGCGGAGCGGGAAGAGCGCCGCGTTGCCGAGCGGCGGCGGGGAGAGCATCGGCTCGACGAGCACGGCGGCGCGGAAGAGCGGGGCGAGGGCCGGGTGCGACGCGACGAGGGCCGCGGCGACGCCGCCGAGCGAGTGCCCGATCGCGACGAGCTGGCGCGGGCGGCGCCTAGGGCTGTGGTTGCCGCTGTTGGGGGAAGAACCGACGATGGAGGGCGTGGCGAGGAGGAAGTGCGCGGCGGCGTCGGCGTAGCGCGCGCACGCGTTATCGCCCGGGAAGTCGTGCGCGGCGAGGAGGCGCTCGTTGAGCACCGCGGACCGGCCGTGGTTCGGGCACTCGATCAGGTAAGCCTCTGCGATCTTGGGTGCGGCGGGCGAGGCACGTGATTGCGATGACAATGGTGGTGGCGGTGGCGGCGATTGGGCGAGGCGGGCGAAGAGGTCGTCGAGCGCAGGGAACCAGGTCTCCTTGTGGAAGGAGGTCGAGTGCAGGACGACGAGCGTGAGCCCCTCGGGGTCTTCCGGCGAGACGGAGACCGAGGACGCGGCGGCGGGCCGCACGCGCTGCGCGGTGACGTACAACGGGTAGCCGGTCTGCGCGGGCGCGTAGGTGAGCTCTTCGGAGAGCAAGAACGGGAAGCTGCAGTGCCACGGTGGACAGGTAACGTGCGCGCCGTTCCAAGGTTGGGGACGTTCGGGACGATGTTGAGGAAGCACGGGCGAAAGACAATAACGAGGGAAGATAGAGAGAGATAGAGGTGGTGAGCGATCTGCAGAGCTTGCGAGAATAGAAGCCGAGAGCGGCGTGACTCACTCGACGCTCGTGCTCGCGTTGCGTTCCATTTTAGAAGGGTCGGAGGGAGTGACTCGTCGCGGGAGACAATAGAGAGATCTGCGGACGGAGGAGCGGAGGAGGGAGGGAGGAGGGCACGGTAAGCGAATTGGCTAGGGAGGAACTTGCTCGGGGGGCGATTATTAAATGAAATCGGAATATACAGCGAATAGGCCCGAAACACACGCCACCCAGGCGAGCAGGGGGGGCGGTCTAATCAAATGCGACAGCGAGGAGAAGAAGGATGGCGGCAGGGAGCTTGTGGGCGTGGGGGGCCCAAGGCCGTGGTGGCGCAATTTTTCCCGGTTTGCGTCAGGCCTTGTGTCCGGATTTGGTCGATGGGAGCGTCAGCGGTCGGGACGGGCTTGCCTTCCTGGTGCGGACGTGTTCTGACGCGCGCTTTTCTCGAAGGAGCGGCGAGCGAAAGGCGGAGTGCTGGGACCCCGGCGAGAATGTGTTCTTTGGACGCGGAAATCGGGGAGGGAGAAGGTTCGGGAAGCACGATGGCGAAGATGGGGACGGATTAGATGGTGGGAGATGCAGGCCGTTTCAGAAGCCCTCTTCTTGGTGTGGGTGGGCGGAACGCGCGCGGGATGGGAAGATGGGATGTTGTGCGAGAGGGTGTTGGCGATCAGCGAGCGGCTCCCACCTCGTGTTGGCCTCTCTGCCCCTCGTGGTGTTCGCGTCAACTCGCTAAATAGCGTGGTGTGGCCCCCCATGCACCCGGGTATGTCGTCCATAGTACGTAGTCAGGTTGACGAACGGATCGGCCGTACACCGATGGCACAGGAGGTCCGCGAGGCGAGGCGATGGTGTGAGGCAATGATTGCTCGTAATGGACGATCCGGCCCATCAGAACACGATGAAGTTTTCCAGCTCGGCGCGCTCGTAACACCCCCCCCCCTTCATCTAGCGCGAGATGATTAGTCGAGGCCCTGCCCCCACCCGACGTCAGACGAAAAGGGCCGGCTGTACGTGTACGCTGAGTACGTGTACGAATGTCGATCTAAACCTGGAGAGGAAGGCGAGAGATCGTCCGGCGCGAAGGCGAGCCAACAACACCGTCTCGTTGTTGCACGCGTGCGTGCGTGCGGCCGTCGCGGGGATAAGGTTGTAACTTGTAAGGGCTATAAGCAGCCCGTGATGGATCTATTGAACTCTGTTCGCGGAAACCCCGTTTGGGGACTGCATCCTGCGTCCCCGTAACCCCTCGACGTCGTGTTATTGCACCGTGTGCTGGCACCGGCACTATCGAGAGCTCTTCTGGGCCGGCGGTGAGCTGCGAGCCGTCGGAACGCGAAGTGGGCCGTGAGTCCCGAACGTCCCCGCGCTCGTTTCTCGTTCCCGCGCTCGCATCTTGGTCAGAACTGGTGACTGCGCACTTCGAGCTTGTCTCCGCGGTGCGCTGCTGGAGAAAGAACGTCGCGCTGCATCTCTTGATGTCAGATGAGAGGCGATATCAGAGGCCCTGCGTGCCGAATCCCGGAGAGTCGCTGGCGGTGTGTGGCCCGCGAGCGCGATACGCGACGGGAAGCCCCTCGCGCTCCTCGGACGTGGTGAGGGTAAGAAGGAAAGAGAGAGCGACGGTCTCGCTCTGCACCGTTTCCTGACATATGCATGACTCCCCACCAGATTAGCATCTATGATTTGTTCTCCTTGGGCGCGAACTGCGTGCTGCTGTCTCAGATGGCGCCCCCTGCTCTCTATTGTCTTACTTAGGACGGTTAGACCGGCGGCACGCGGAATTATATCGAGCAAGGTTTGCCACGTTTTGAGTGGGGATGCAGGCACCGAAACAGGAAGGTGCCAGGCATCAGGCACTCGGGGATTTTGCCCTGATTTGGATGGCGGTGCTGATGAAAAGGATAGGACTTAGTGCCGATGCTGCCGTTTTCCAGCTCCGCTGTTAGAGTACCAAGTCCGACGCTGTCCCCCGGCCTGCTGGTGATTTCCCGGACGCAGCCCTGCTGACCCTCTCTCGATTCCGTCATCTGATGCTGAAGAGGGGCTTCGTCGTCGATAGACGGGGCATGCATGACTTCCCCCCCACCAAATCATAGTCCTTGTCCCGCAAGCTCACGGCGCATATATGCATCTCGCGACGTCCTGAAGCCCATCTTTTATGACAACAGAAACGCCAGCGCGGCGCCCGTACGGAGAGAAGCGGCCACAAGGAGTAACGGCTTTCTCGATGCGAGGGCCTAGGACGTGACGAGATGGAGCGAATGACCAATGCAAGCACACCTGATTCGAGATCGCGCACCCCCTTCTGTGCGTATTGAGGTCGACGCGCCCCACGCTCCCCCACGGTACCCCGGACGACCGACCAGGATAAGACCCTCTCGAGGCCGTTCAGTTGGGATCATCGACCTTTTCGCCAACAACGACGAGGGGATCTGTTCTCTCACTGTCTTCGTCTGCAGTACCGATCTCGACGCTCTCGACGATATCGGCCTTCCGATCGCGCCCTATCTCATCGCGAGACTCGTTTCAAAGTCGAGTCTATCCAAACGAGGTAAGACGATCGCCATCTGCGTCCCTTTGCAAGTTTTGAACATAACTAACATCGAACTTCGACTCAGGTCCCAATTCAACCTTGACTCTACATCTAGCCTCATCGCCTCGCCGCTTCAGGATCCCCATAGTACGCAATGGCAGACCCCGCCGCACCGCCCGTCAACAAGGCCCTCTCGAATGGGATCCCGCCGCCGGCGTTCGATCTACCCGTACGTCTCCAATTGGCACCTTCATTGTCTCCGTTCCTGTGCTGTTGTTTACCTCCCGCTCGCCACGTTTCCCGCTCTCCTTCCTCTTTCCGTTCATTTTTCGTGACGATCGTCGCATCGTTCCTGGTTCAATCTCCGTCTTCTCCGCCTTATCTCAGAGCGCGTTTCACGAATCTCTGTTCGTCGCGCTGTCCGTCGGCCGTCACTACTCTTCTGGCGTCCGACCGCCACCTCGTCTCCTGCATATTCCTGGGCTGTATGCGCTGAAAGGATCGCAGCGCGCGCGCGGCCCCTTGCGATTTCATCGCCTCCCCACATGCCTATTTCCTCGTTTTAGATCCTCCGGGCGCCTGGGCTGGGCGTTTGGCGGTCTGTGGCATGTGAATCCTTTCAGAAGCGCTGGTGGATGGGGCCGATCTTCTTCCGTTTCGTCCTTGATTGATCTCTCTTGGCCATCTGCTTCCGCATCCTCGTGCCTTCTTCTTTGGCTGTCTGGGCTGTCATGCCTGTCGCTCATCTTTGTCCCGGAATCTATCTGATCCCATCTTCATCTCGGTCCTCGAAATGCTCTGAGCGCTCGAGCGGCTATCCTTGAACTTCTTTCCCCTCCGGGTGTGTTTTGACTTGGCAGCGGGCGGCAGGACGCAGTTTCGCTGTTTTCCGTTCGGCGGTGTCATCTCGTCTCGCCTGCTCTCGCCATTTCTCCGTTCTGTTACAGTTGATTTCATTTGAGAGGCGATTGTATGCATTGACGATGTCAAGGGTCTGCGCCTTGGGCACACGTTCGTGCATCAGGTGCTGGCTAGCTGGCCGTGATCGGCCCATTCTTACGTTCGTCGTCGTGATGCAATCACGATATTTTTCGTACCGCTCGCCGCCTCATATGGGTCAGACCACCGGCCATTGAAGACTCCGTCATGGCCTGGTTTCGGTGGCTCATCTCGCATGACTTGTGCTCTTGTCGACATCGAACACCCCATCGTTCTTATATTTTCGCCATGTCTGCACGTGGTGCCGACGTCGATGCATTTTACGTCCCATGCCCGCCTCTCCTGCGCCACTTAATAACCTCGTCTGCGATGCCGTCATTCTCCTGCGCAACCTATCGCAAGAGCCCGCAGAGTCTATCAGACGTCTCGTCGCCGCTTGCGCGCACGAGCACTCCCTTCCTTCTTGACTGCATTCCAACCTAGAATCTGTCACCCGCCTCCTGGGGTCCCACCGATCTGCCCTTCTTGGGTATTATTCCTCCGTCTCTCGCACGGGCGCCACGAGGATGCCAATCATCTTCGTCATCGGTCCGTGCCCGAGCGCTGCGTATGTCAGCCGTGAACCTTGTTCTCGCTTCTCTGCTTTTCGCAGAGCCCCAGGCCCGCAACGTGCCCGTGCCTTCTGTATCTGTTATCGTTATCTCGTCTTGTTTTCGCGTCCACATCCCCCCCTCTCACCTTCATCGTTGTGGACATCCGCTTCGTCTGCCGCCGTCGGCCCGATGGCAGATCACTTTGCTCACCTCCGTATTCGATAGTACCCCGAACGCCCGGAGACGATCACCAACAATATCCTCAAGCTCACCGAGCACGCCCCCGACGCGTGCGCGAAACCTCCTTCGTCACTCAGCCCATCACTGACGAGCCTCTTGTTCTTCATTCAGCCGGTCGCGGTTCGTGTTCACGAACCTCATCAAGCACCTGCATGCCTTCGTCGAGGAAACGTCGCTCACCACCGCCGAGTGGATGACCGCCATCCAGTTCTTGACCCGCGTCGGCAAGACCTGCACCGATCTCCGGCAGGAGTGCATCCTCCTCTCCGACGTCCTCGGCGTCTCGGCCCTCGTGGACGCGATCAACAACCCACCTCAGGGCGGCGCGACGGAGAGTAGCGTGCTCGGGCCGTTCTTCACCGAGGACGCTCCGGACGGTGAGTCGTGCGATCGCCGTGCTCAAGAGCGGCGTGAAACTGATTGGGGCTTGGGTTAGTGGAGCTTGGAGGAACGATCGCGTCGGAGGGCAAGGGCCAGTATATGTACGTCGAGGGACGTGTGCTCAACACCAAGGGCGAGCCGATCCCGGACGCGGTTATCGAGACTTGGGAGACGGATGAGCTTGGTAGGAGATTCTGATCTACGCGCGGTTCTCGCTCTCATGCGCTCCGTCGTGCAGGGTTTTACGATACGCAGTATAAGGATCGCGAACAGCCCGACTGTCGTGGACGTCTACGGTCGGACAAGGAGGGCAAATACGGTTATCGCGCCATCGTTCCCGTGGCGTATCCCATTCCAGGCGATGTGCGTTCCTCCTGCTCGCCATCCGAGGTTACTGCGACGTCCGCTGACGACCTTCTGTGCGTTCTGCAGGGGCCTGTGGGGGAGCTACTTGTGCACCTCGGTAGACATAATATGCGCCCGAACCACCTGCACCTCATGGTCACGGCACCTGGGTGCGTTACTCTACGCGTGACCAGGTTGTCGTCGAACTGACTGGACCGTCCATTGCAGATACACGAAGCTGATCACCGCCCTGTACCCGGAAGGCGACGTCTACTTGGAAAGCGACGCCGTCTTTGGTGTTAAGAAGTCGCTCGTCGTCGTACGTGCCATCCGCCCTTCTCTCCCCCCTCTTTCGCGCAGATCTCTCAGGTGTTCGTGCAGAGCTACAAGGACGTGAACGACGACGCGGAGGCGCGCGCGCGAGGCTTTCCCCAGGGCGGCGCGTTCAAGCTCTTGCAGTTTGATATCGTGCTGACGACCGAGGAGGAGACGCGCGTCGGACGCGAGTTGTGGGCGAAGGAACACGGGGTGAAAGCTGCGGCCGAGTCCGTCGCGAGGATCTGACGTGGGGAATAAGATATATCTGAAACTTGGATATATGCACCTGTATGATTATGTGGTCTGATAACAGGAGGTGGATGCTATGAACTTGAAGGAGACGATTCCGGGTACTTAGTAGAGATCCTGGCTGTAACGATACGCGTACTGTAACGGCAGTCACGCTGCCGACGGCGACGTCACGGAGAGCTTACCCGGACCGTGTCGTGGCACACGTACCTTTTGCTCCTTGCTCAACATCGTTCACCGCTTGCTAGCATTTTAGGATCATACAAATATTCTCGAGTGGTGACCTCGTGAGCTTGCATAAGCCGCTTGTTCGTCGTCTTCTTACCTTCGTTTCCTTCGCACAGATCCCCCATTCACGCAGCATGCTACTGCGTCCCCGTCAAGCATGACGACCTGGCACGGGCTCTCCCCGAGGATCTGTTGAAGAATGTTGTGGAACTACAGCACCAAGAGGAACGGGCTTGCACAAAAATGTTGGCGCTTCGAGGGGAATGCCGTAACGCCGAGGAACTCCGAAACGGACCGCCGTGTACCTGCTCCTCCGTCCTTTCCTCTCTCCACCACGAGGATGGCTTTGCCGCGTCTTCTACAAACACGGAAAGTGAACGTATACGAGAGCTACAACGTGAAATTTCCCAGATAAGGGAAATGTTCCTACGCCTTCGCGCGGAGCACAACGCATCCCGGCCCATTAACCGTCTGCCGGTCGAATTGCTGGCAGAGATTCTGGTTCTCTCGCGTCGCTCAGGGTATCTCGGTGGCCACTCCCCGCGGTGGCAGGAAGCATCTTGGTCGCCGTCTGTGACGCAAGTTTGCAGCCACTGGCGCACCATCGCTTTGGACACGCCGGCAATGTGGAACTGCCTGGAATTTGACAAACCCAAGTTGGCACTGGCGCTAAGTCGGAGATTTCCTCACTTTCCACTTCGCATCCTGCAGCAGTTCCCGAGCAGGTGGTATTCAGCGTCCGAGGCTGCCTTCCGCGAGCTCGTCTCGGAGCACGGGTCGCGCATTGCTGAATTGCGGGCTACAGACCGTGAAGGAATCCTCATTCGTACGGTGTTGGAGCTCTTCCTTGGGCGCGCTCCCGCCCTGAAAACCCTTGAACTTATGGTCCAAACCGAAGAGGCCGCTGTTGCTAGCGGGCTGTATGAGCTCGGAACCCCTGCACGACAAGAACTCATTCTATACGATGTTATGTCGGGAAAGATTTGGCAGTCTCCAGTCATCCGCGGTTCACAGCTGCGCCACCTGCAACTCCAATGTCCCCTCGAACCCTCGCTCGCAGACATCATCAATGCACTCGGTGGTCTGCAGTCGCTCCAGACCCTCGGCATAACGGTCGTTGTCTTCGTTGACAGACTGCGCGAAGAAGGGGAAAAACTGCGGTCGCCGCTCGTTCGCAGAACACCGATGCCATCTCTTCGAGAGGTCGTCTTTTGGGGGACATGTTCAGAGTGTATCGACCTCCTGTCCAATCTGGTGCCATCTCAGCCGTTCAAGGAGCTCACTCTCCGTTGCGAGTCGGATTGCGGCTTGTATGCAGGTGATCTGTGGCGGCTGATTGAGCCGTCTTGCCAGTTGCCCAGGTTGATCATGGATATACAATGAAGCACCCACGTCTTCTTTATAGGTCTGCTCCATTATGGGATCGATCCATTGCGCGTGGACTTTATCAGCGACTTCCGTTCCAGGCCGAACGACCAACTCAACGCCCTTCGCCAAGTGATACCCCTGTTTCCGCGGATGCCGGCCCATAGTTTCGCATTAAAGACGCCTGGGTTCAAGCACATGGATCAAATCGACCTGCGGGAGATGCTTTCACGCTGGCGCACGATCAAGCATTTGGAGCTGCACGGCGATGATGCCACCACATGGCTGGTGAACGCGATCCGCACCGAAGCGCCTCCAAGCCGACAGCGCAAGAACGAGCCACTCGACCGGTCCAAGTGGATCGTTCCCAACCTGATGGTGCTCGAAATCTACGAATCCGAGTACAGCAGCAAGCGCGACGGGTGGTTTGAGGTTTGCAGTGGCGAGCTAAGGATGCGATGCGGCCCTCGCGCGGCGGCGATCAAGTTGACGGAAGAAGAACGGGCCTTCCGGACGCTGACGCTCACGGATTGTGTAGGCATTCCTGCAAGGGCGCTAACAGCCTTGAGGAAGGTTGTTCCGGAAGTGCAGGAGGTATACTACTGATCGCTGTTGCTCTGTTGCAACATCTTCGCCAATTTGCCTAGCATGTAGAAGTCGTTGGGAGTCTTTCCGTATTACTTTACTCAGTAGGTAGGTAGGTAGGTAGGTTTATTACCGGGCACGGTCCCTAAACAGGAACAGCCCTACACTCCGGTGTTTCGCGGCTTTTCAGTAATGAGCGCGACGTCGCTCGACTCTTGTGATTACATATTCGAAAAGGTGTGGCGTAACGTCATACGCCTCTCTGTCGGGCACTGTATCCTCACTGCTTCCATTTGGACGACGGGCTGATATACACCATCTTTGGGGCAGCGGAGACAATCTCCATTCTCTCTTTTATCAAATCACTGAGCCTACCGACCACGTTCATCGCGCTGAGAACCATGAGGGACGGCTAAGCGAATTACTCCTTCTGCCACAATGACCCTTCCACGCCTCTATATGAACTTATCTTTCACGATCGATGATCTTAGACAGCCGAGAACAGATGAGCGAATCGCCGTTGGAAGCGATGCCGGTCGTTGGTAGTCTCCCAGTCAAGATTCTCGATGCGCAATGAAGACAGTCGTTCACACGCATGAGAGACCATTGGGAAACTGACGTCGAGGCTGAGCGTGGAGCGCGAAACGGAGCTGATACGAGTGTATGGGCCTGGTGTGGCATTTCGAGGAGGTTGTCGGAAAGGCCAATGGAAAGGGAGGTCAGGGTACGCGGGGGGACGTCGTGGAACGGGTGAGGTGGTCCGTCAAAGTCAGTGATGTTGATTTGCATCGCTTTCCGGCTGAATCGTTGGCCTTCTTAGGCTCTACGTAGGCTCTCGGAAACTCATAAGGGTGTTGTAGGATGCAACGTAGGTGCAGCAAACGTCTTGGGGGGGTGCAGGCGGTGTGCCATGATGAATGGCACTGCAAGTCGGGTGTTGTACGGGTCTTCCGCCATGTCCAAGGCGAGTTATGATTCATCTCTTGTTTTCTTTCGCACGTATCTGATAACGGTGTTTCTTTCGTGGTAGTTGATCCAGGTCTTCGAGGGATGGCCCCTGAAACGACGGAGGCGACAGAGTTAGACGCAGAGATTGTTTATGCCATGGTCCGGTCTGCTCGAGACCTTGCCCGTGAGTTTCCGATATACCAAGCTTGCTTGATGATCGCTGAGCGCGTGTCTGTCCCTCGCCTCTCAGACCGCTTGAACCCCTTCACATTCTACAGCATGATTTTTGACGTCACGAAGGTCCTATTCTCATTCCATCGATGGTTTCCTCTTCGGAATCATGACCACGGAAGGCCGCGTGCGCCTTCTGCGGAGAGCATGTACGACTTGCGCTCTGTCTTTATGCACTCCCTGGCGCCCTCCCGCGACCGGTATGTCAGAACGACGGCGGTCTTCTCTGACAATCCTGACGAAGCTGACGTCGGTCGTTTGTAGTTGAGCTCGGAAGATCGAATGCGTCTGAGAGCATGCGCCGGCTGGGACCGCGTGCTCGATATGAAGGATGGACTAATTCCAGGCACTGTCCTCGAGACCTGAAAGACGGCCGAGCTTAGTATGCGATTCAAGTCGCTCCTCATGATCTTCATTGACCAAAGCTTCGTGGTCCAGAATACGAGGAGTCCGAACAGCCCGACCACCAGGAACGTCTAAGGCCGGACGAGGAGTATACGACTTCGGGGTGTTCTCGCCTGGCGTATCCCATACCAGGTGAGGTGCGTTCCTGCCACCTTCTCGTTTCTGTCCAGACGTCCATTGACGATATGATGTGTCTGTAGGAACCTGGGGTCGGGTTATTCGCAGACTTCGGCGGACACAGCCTGGATTTTCATCATCCTCAAGATCGCTGCGCCTGGGTGCATAAGCATACGCGAAAAGAACGTTGTCGAACTGACCCTCTCCTCCATAACAGATACACAGTCCCGGATATCGCGCTATACTCGAAAAGGGACGCCTATCTAATGAACGACGCGGTCTTTGATGCTCAAAAGTGGCTTGTTGTTTCGCGTTATCCCTCTCTTCTCTCTCTGTGCGTTTGGGCGGAACTCCCATGAGTGACAGACGTCGGAAGGCCCGCGTGCTAGATTTAATCGAAGGTAGTACGTTCACCGTGATATGACTGAAGATGATATCTGTGTCGAACGCCAGTTTCGGGAAAAGAAGTATGGGGTGGAGGCTACAATGGAGACCGTCTCCAGGGTTTAACCTCTATTCGCGGCCGTCTGGTACGTGTATGAGCAAGTCAATGGACACGATTGTTTCATTTCCATATGTACGGACATCCAGTATGCGGAATGGATAGTATGGATGAGGGCATAATTCTAAAGGGTCCGAACCCGTGGCAACTTTCTGACAGTGTGAAAATACACGTGTGCAGTACGTGCAACACGATTTCAGATCTTTGAACTCGCACATCACCCAGCCTTTGCGATCCCCGCGGATCCTTCATGAACATGCCGGGGCTCTTATGATCACTCAGTGAGCTCCTTGGTTTCGCCCGTCTCCCTCCTCTAACCACGGGACAATTCTCTATCAAGCCAGCTTACGTCCGTAAATACGAGTCTGCTCGATGCGGCCTCCGCTCAGAAGAGCAAGCGAGAGCTCGAGTCAATCGATACTCTCGCTCGCCGCGTCGAACACAATGCATCCCTTCCCGTGAACCGCCTCCCCTTCGAAATTCTCGCGGAGATCTTCGCCATGTCTCGTGTCACCGGTGACTATGAGCAATCTGATGGTCCTCCGTGGCTAGAGTCTCAGTGGTCGCCGTCTTTGACCCAGGTTTGCAGCGTGTGGCGCCGGGTTGCTCTCAATGCACCCGCCCTGTGGACCTACCTGGACCTCACAAAACCGAAGCGAGCGCTAGCGTTGAGTCGAAGGTTCCCGAGGCAGCCTCTGCGTATTATGTATAACGCCCTAGGTGCCTCGGGACCGGCTACGATGATTCTCGATCTAATCATGACCGGAGGTGCCTCGCGCGTCGTCGACCTACGGCTCTCGTGCCGTCCGGATGTTACCTTTGACATCGCCTTGGGCAGCTTCGGGAAACATGCCCCCGCGCTCACCAACCTCGACCTCGAAATCCTACCTCACAGCGGTATCAAACTTGCGGACGTGGACACCCTGCTCCGCGAGCTTCAGGCTCCCAACCTATTGCGTGTGAGGCTGAAGCACCTCTCGAGCCCGGAGATATGGAGAACCTCTCATCTCCTGCGGTGTTCTGGATTGCGCAGCCTGTCCGTCGACTACGACTGGAAGGCATCGTCTGCCACGAGGCCTACGCTTTCCGAGATTCTGGACGTCCTGGGACATCTTCAGTCCCTGGAACATTTGCGTTTGGCATCCTGTCTGGCGGAGGAGCCCACGACGGCCATGGCGTCCGTCTGCATAGCCTCGTTGCGCACTGTCGACCTGTCGGGAACCGTCCGCGCGTGCATTTGTCTCCTCGCAGTGCTGCCCATCTCCCATCCCTATCCGCGGCTCCGGCTGCAATGCTTCGTGACCAGGGAGCGCGCCGCGGAGGCCGCGTTCGACCTCTGGGATCTCGTCGACGCGTACTTCGAGCTGCCGGAACTGTCGATTACCATGAACAAGACAAACGACACAATCACCGTCGCGGGGAGCGACCTGTCTCGGCCGGACCCCGGGTGGGCGTCCGTCGTGTTCGAAGGGCTCAGTGGTTCGCGGGAGTTTAACGATCCTGTTGTGCTCGATATTTTCCGCGTTCTCAAGTGGTGCATGCCGCGGTTCGGTGCGACGACGTTCGGGCTCTCCGGACGATTCGCGCACGACTTCGGGAGGAGGATGGAACTGAGGGCGATGTTCGTCAACTGGCCCTCGCTCCGTCACTTGGACGTGTACGGCGACGAGGCTACCATGACGTTGTTGGATGCAATTCGCACCACTAACAGAGCCCAAGCGGACCCGTCCCGATCCAGCTGGGTGCTTCCGAATCTGGCGTCGCTGAAGATATCGGGAGCCGTGAAGGATGACCTCCTGCAACCATGGTTCGAAGCGTGCCTTGCGGAGATGGCCATTCGATGTCTTATCAGATTAGGACAGGACGCTCCGACTTTTCGAATGGTTATGTTTGTGTATTGCTCGGGGATAGAACCAGAGGATCTAGAGGCGCTCAAAGAAATAGTGCCGGAGGTAGATATGATGTAGCTTTAACGACAACTACAGATTTGTACCGTCAAGACTACACATCCATCCCTCTCAAGCCAAGAAGCATTTCCATTTCTTCATTACATAGCTCGCACTTCCCCGGGCCCATGTTGGCCGCCTTGAGAAATATTTCCACTTCTTTATCGAATAACAAGCCCTCCATGCCGCTCACGTTGATTATGCCGCTAGCAGCGATTCCAGGTAATTAACGTACAACTTTTACATCCAACGGGTAATGGGTCGCGCTCCTCGATGGCTAGGTCCTCGTCCTCTAGCTTGCCGATGAAGAAGTGCTGTACCCTAAAGATCTTCAGAGCAGGAAATAGCCTCGAAGCAACTTTTTGCCCTATGCTATGGAGCCCACTTGAACCCCGTGTCGCCCGACAAGTACATGAGAGGGCCAGGAGTTGGTCCGTGGCGTCTGGCATGATCGATGATGTGAAGCAGCATCTCCTGAGGAAATCGGTCAAGTATGTAGGTCATAGCAATGCATTCGAATGAGAAGAGTGTGTTGGAATGATGGAACGCGCACACCCAATTAGCTAGTCGTGTATGGCGCCTTGTAAGTATCCTGCCATAGGCCACAGGTTCGCCTGGGCGACGCATGCATGGCCTTGGGCATTGTCGAACAATCGGTCTGTCTTCAATTTCATAGTGTAGAATGACAACGCACGTGTGGCCTTGGTGTCTGGCATGAGAGGATGCCACCGTGCAGCGCAGTTCTCCATTGCCGGGGGACCTGCGTGCTAGGTACACATCAATATCTTCACTACCACCAATATTTCGGTTACGCGTACGCCGATGTTTCAGTTGACATCGTCAGTACCAGCTTTCCATGCTCCGATTATACGCAATCATAAATCATTACTCCTCACAGGCTCTGTGGGTAGATTGGGCGTATGTCGTCAGGGAGAATGTACAACTCCGTGAGCGCGACAGTGTGGCTCCCGATGAAGGGCCATGTAACCCTAGACCAGGGTGTCCCGGCTCGCCACTAGTGCGAGGCCCTGGGGCCCGGCTGTTCCGGTATTGGGACCGCGCCGGTTAATACTACCTACCTACCTACATCGGGGGTACGGCTTTGTACGACCATCCCCCATGGAGCTCAGAGTCAAAAGTGGCCTCGCCCTGTTATCTTTCGCAGTGGAATCAAAACATTACATTCAATGTAGCCTGAAATCCGGGATCCGCTACTGTACGCTCACTGTGCCAGGCAATCCAATCTGATCAAGACCGCACAATGCTTGGCGGTCGATTGCTGGCCGGACCGCTGTATCTGCAGTAGGTGAGCGAGCGTATGCCAATGATTGTGAACCACTTTCTTATCCCCTCGCTACCGTCGTCCAGGTCGTGATAACGATGTGTGGCCAAGGTACGATGCAAGGTTCTTACTAGGATGTATCAAGGGGCCTCAATGCATCTGTGGACAACTTTCTCCTGATTTGCACGTCCGCTGTCTTTGCATTGCATTTACGTATCACAGAGGGCCACACGGCAAGGAGCTATAAGAAGCGATCGTCGAGCGTACGAACTTACAGTTCATTGTGCTGGAACCCCTCTTCGACTAGTCCTCAGCGCACTCCTGCTTTACCTACGCTCGGTTCCGACTGTCGTCAAACCCCTGCATTCACATTCGTGCACCTCGTCCTTTGCCGTGAGGAGTGATTATGTCCTACGATACATATAACCTGTCTGCTCCCACCGAGAGTGGCACGAATGCGGTGAGTCCTCTCGTCATTGGTGCATACCACCGCCATTGGCTAAAGTCAGAGTCAGACGCCTGAGGTTATGGCATATTGGAGCGTAACCGACATTGTTCGCGCTTTGGCTCAGCCGCATTGGAACCATGTGCAAGTCCTTCACATCCACGGGCTCGAACCGCCTTCCACGAACCTTTCCCCGGTCACTCTTCCCTACCTCCACAAGCTCACGTTGGGTTATACCGACGTCGGTCACGCGGTGGAACTTCTTTCTATCCTGAACGCGCCCGCACTGCAACAACTAAATCTCGGCCACCTCCACAACATATCCAGCCCGCATGGCGGCCCCAACCACCCCAACTCGACACGCTTATTCGAATATCTCTCTCGATCTCAGCCAATCCAGGCCCAAGCCATCCAGATATCCCTCCTCCGACGCATCAGGTTGTTCAACGTCTACGTAGACACCTCCGTCCTCGGCGCCTTCTTCCGCCGATGCTCCAGCCTGGACACCCTGGAGCTGGACGACTGTGCTGTGAACCTTCAGTTCGCGCTCGTACTGACACTCTTCCCTGGAGACGTTCTCTACCGATCCCAATCTGGTCGATGTCGTCACGAGCTCCTGCCGGCGCTGCGTACGGTGATCTGCCGCCGCAATGACAATGTCGCCAACGATTTTCTAGAGCGTACGATGCTTCACCATATCGACTCGCTACCTGAAGTTGTGCAGCAAGTGTTTTTCCCTGTAAACGATGCACCGCGTTGGAGCACTTGGCGATACGAGATGCACCCTGACAACGAGGATGTTATCTCGCACATTCTCCAGCGCCGCTGCTAAAGGGCAAGATGTCGTGGTCCCATTTCAGACTATCGAAATATTACACCTGTTCGAGTGCCTGGCTTGTATACAATGATAATGACGATGGCATAAACGAATTCACAGTCACAGCGTGCTTAGCGGCAGCAGTTTGCTGACCTCCGCAAGGTCCTCACGTCGGTTGGGCAATCGATCTCTCCGTCCGGCTTGCTCGCTGAGCTAGGTAGACCTACGAATGATCTTCGTTAAACATTCTTCGATACCGCATCTGCGATCCTTTGGAGATGGACCTGCCATGTTGACGTTGAGGCAAGCCTCGAATTGCATAAGTTACATTCAGACACACGAGCAGACGTAGCCTCTATTACACACAGGTGTCCTATCGTACCCGTGGACGGACGACGCACGGGAGTCGACCCTTCTTGAGTATGAACCCGTCTTTGAGGTCGCGCTCCCATTCGTCCGGCGTCCACCCGTCGTCGTGCGTCAGCGCAAAATCGAGCTTGAGCACGAGCGCGGCGATCGCGATCCGCATCTCGAGCCGGGCCAGGTTGCGGCCCACGCAGTTCGTCGGGCCTTGCGATGGCGGCAGGTCCGGCATCAGCGCAGGACGAAAAGGTGAAGAGAACACGAAGGGGTGGGTGGGAGGAAACGTACCGTAGCTGAAGGGCATGAACGCGTCCCGGTCGAGCTTGTAGTCCTCCCGCTTCGCGAGCGCGCCGTCCGCGATCCAGCGGTCGGGGATGAATTCTTCCGGATCCGGAGAGAAGTAGCGCGGGTCGCGGTGCACTGTCGTTCCGGGAGTTGGATATTAGCGTTTTGAGATCTTGTCGTTATGAGGGAAAGAGATTAGGTAGACTCACAGCTCCAGGTCGGGATTTGCACCGTCGTGCCGGGCGGGACGTACGCGCCCAGTTCGCCGGCATCGCCGATGACGATCCCGTCGGCGTCGTCCGGCCGGACGCGCTGCACGCCCGCCGGGATCGCGGGTTGCAGGCGCAGCGTCTCGTTGCTGTTCCGTCGGTATCGGTCAGTGCAGGTTCAGGGACGGTTTAGAGGAAAGGGACGCACATGACGGCGTTGAGGAGCGGGAGGTCGGCGAGCACGCTGGGCGGCGGGGCGTCCGTGCCGGGCGGGGTGGCGCCGTCGAGCTCGGCGCGGAGGGAGGCGAAGACGGCCGGGTGGGTGAGGAGGTAGAAGAAGGCGTTGCTGAGCGCGGTGCCGGTCGTGTCCGAGCCTGAGACGGTGTCAAGGTGTGGAGTGTCGACGAAGAGGAAGCGGAAAACGGACCTGCGACGACGGCGAGGGTGGCCTCGGAGATGAGCGACGGGTAGGCGAGTTCTTCCTTGCCCTTCTTTCCGTCCTCATCTTCGCCGAGCTGTAGCCCACGTTTGAGACGATTTTTCGTGATGTTGTTGCGAGAGGCAACGGATGCGGAAGACGTACAATGTGGAAAAAAACGTCGCGCAGCTGGGCCCCGCGCGCTTTACGGGCCTCGAGCGCGCGGCGGCCCATCTCGTAGTACGCCTTCTGCGCGCCGAGGACCTTCGCGATCTGGAGGTAGATGGGCCGGATCCAAGGGATTGAGCCGAGGATCTCCTGGAAGTGCACGCCTTTGCCGACGAGGGTGGTGAAGCCGTTTTCGTCGACGCCGGACTGGGTGAGGTGGAAGATGCCGCCGAAGGCGAGGTCGCCCATGATGTCGAAGGAGAGGAAGCCGAGCCAGCGCGCGAGGTCGATCGTCTTCTTCTCCGCCTTCTCATCGTCCGCCTGTTGGGTAAGGGCGGCGATGAGGAGGTCGGTGCGATGGGCGAGTACGGGCTCGTAGTCGCGGAGGGAGGAGGACGTGAAGGCGCGTTCCCAGATTCGGCGTCGGTGGGAGTGTTGGGTCGGATCTGTAAGCGAGATGATGGACCCCGTCGAGTTGGGCGGGAGCGTAGCGGTGTAGCCTGACCAAGTCGACGAGAGGGGACAGTTTGAGTTCGTGAAGTTCGTGAAGTTGAGAGGAGCGAAGAATCAGGACTTACGGGCGCCTTTGAAGAAGTGCCGCGAGCCGAGGACGAGCGGGACGGCGGACTTGTCGCGGATGATGAGATGGTTCGGGCCTGCGTCGCGGTCAGCGAGCGTGCTAGAGGTGAGGGAGGGGCACGTACCGATTCTGACAATCGGACCGTATTGGGCGAAGAGAGCGTGGAAGACGCGGTATTGGTCTTGCTTGAGTGCGCGGTTAAACGTCCAGAACCGGGTCACCTTCGCAAGCGGCGGGCCGGGGTAGGCTGCAAGCGGGTGGAAGGGTGAGAGGCGGTAGGCGACGGTGAGCGAGATAAGAGTTGCGACGTGGGTGAGGGTGCATTTGAAGACGAGAAAAGGGGAAGGGAGGGAGGGTGACGAGGTGTAGAGGGAAGCGGTGAGTGGGAGGGCGAAGAGCAGCGAGAAGATGGCGAGAAGAGAGCGCGGTTCGGTGCGCTTGAAGATAAGGTGCGCAATCTGAATGGTGAGTTGTTATGAGTTGAGAGAGGAATAAGGAAAGGCAGGGCGAGTAACATACCGCGCCGGAGCCCAAGGCGTAGATGAGCGGCGATGCTGGTGCCATGGCGCGCGCTGCTGCTACGGACGAGCTCGGGGTGGTCCTGGTCGCTGCTGACAACGCTGAGGGGCGATTGACGAGGGCGCTTTCATATGCTTGCGCCAGTCATCCAATCTTTCCGAGGGCGGACGCAGCCGCGTGCCGGTGTCGGGCAGAAGCGAGTGGTTGAGAGCCCGATGATGGATGCGCGTCTCGGGAGTCCGGACATCACGGCGATCGGCAGAGGGCAGCTATAGGTTTGTGATATCTTGCTCGGGCGATCTTGGGGTCCGACCAAGCGCTTCTGGGATTTCAGCATGAGGATATCGGGAGTGGCGGAGGAGTATCAGGTCCGATGTTTCCAAATGGGCGCCCAAAGCGGGAGAAGGATGTTTCGAAGAGAACTTACACGCTTCGTTCTTTTCTCGTGTGAGGCCGTGCTTTCCAGACTGCATCAAACCGGCGTCATGGATCACTCAGAGCAGAGAGCCAGAAGCATATGCCGTGCCTATCATTGATGGAAAGTACGATAGACAATCTATGACAGCACAAGCGAAGCGTAGAGCTGCGTAAGGTGGAGGTAAGATGTAATAATATATCGTGCTTGACTTCTGATGTTATCGAAAGCGTTCTCTTGCTCAAAGTATAAGATCGCAAGGTAGGTGCAGTGTGATCGTGGATCGAGCACAGGTCCTGAGGTAGGAAAGAAAGCTGGCAGCGAAGTTCGAAAGCCCTGAATTGGGGTTAGGGCAACCCTAGTCTCGGTGAACGAGTGCGCTGTCCCTTCCTCGGAGCGACGGTCTTGGCCAGCGCCCATCAGCATCGACTTACGCTGACATAGCGTTGAACGGCTGGAACAATCGTCAAGGATCACAACAGCGTTGAAGATGTCAGGAAATGACGGCAGGACGCACGGGAAGAAAGCGTCGATGCCGCGTAGGCTCTTCCATTTCGGCCGGTCGCAGTCGCAGGGAACGGCGCAGATGGACGCAACGTCGATGGATCCTACAAACGTTGGCATTGATAACAGTGATAGCGCGCGTACTGCTCATACGGCGGAGTGGGCTGCGCATACACAGCGCCAGGAAACGTGGACTTCGGCGTCGACTGGGACCAGTTCGGAGCGCACGAGGGAAGCCTCGATGTCTTCGAGCGTGTACGACGATCCTTCTGTACGTTCATGCTGCAAACATATGGTCCATCACCGAATCAACTGATCAATGGCGCAGTACCAGCAACCTTCCCGCGGATGGGCGCATATACGCGACGCATCGGCTGGCAGCACCAGTCAACGAAGTCATTCATCCTCTCGTCCGCTCATCTCCCGCGGCTACAGCGAGGGCAGTGCCCTCAGCGGTAGTCCCAGCAGCACCCATGTACGGGGTTCGTCCAACAACACAACCATGTCTTCGACGTCCACGACGAGGGACTACGCCTATCCGAACGCCTACGGCGAGAGCGGGCGTGACCCTTTCTCCGATACGGCCCCGTGGTCGCGAACCGAGCTCACCGACTCGCCACCGCCGGACGCCCCGCCCTTCCTGTTCTCTTCTTCTACCACCCGCTCAGATTCACCCGTGCGCTCGACGCCTACTCCAACATCTACGTTAATGATGTCCCCCATTCACGAAGCCGACGAGCACCCGCCCACCCCCTCCACTGCACAACAACCTCGCGGCCACCGCCCCGCCGCGCTTCTCACAGGCCGGCCACCCAAGCAACACCACAAGCGCGACGATTCCGCCACCTCCTTCGCGTCCTCCCTCGCTTCCACCTTCACAACCACCACGAACGCGCCACCGACGCCCTCGCGCGCGCGCTGGCATCAAATCCGCGAGCAGCTCCTACCCTCCTCGGCCTCCGTCATCTCTTCCACCTCTACGATCGAAGGCAAGCCCGCCGCCTCGCGGCTGCGCATCCCCTCCACGCCGACGCCTCCCTCCCTCCCCTCCGCTTCAGGCCGCAGCACCCCGACGACCCCGCGCCCCTCGCGCCTCGCTGCGAAGCTCGGCTTTCGCCAAATCGTCAACGAGGCACGCGTGCAAGCCTCCGCCTCCTCCTCGTCGCTCGCCGCAGAACGCGACACTCCTGAGGCGGCGTACGCGCGCAAGTTCGCGGAGGATGTCCAGGCCGCGTGCTGGGCCGCGCGCTTCGTCGAATCCTCGGCACATTCTCATTCCGGCGCGAGCTCGCGGCATGGCACGGACATCTCGGCCTTCTCCACGGGCAGCTTCATCCCGACCTTCATGTCCACCACCTCGCTCCCCGCCACAGCGCACAACAACTCGAGTACCGCGGCGCTGAATATCCTTAAACCCGGTACGGCCAAGGTACCCTCGCTCCGCCAGCTGCACGACGTGCTGCTCCATTACGCGTCAACTGCGTCTGCGGCGCGCGCGCCCACCGGCCTCCCGCACGAGAGCGAGGTGCTCTCTGCGCTCCTCGTCCCGTTCTCGCACATTGGCGACGCGCGCCGGACGAGCGAAGACGAGCAAGCGCTCGCGAGCGAGGCGTTCGAGGTCGCAGTCAAGACGTGGCCCAGCCGAACGAGCGACGTGCGTACACCCTCCTCTCCCTCTGCCCTCTTCTTCCCTACCCACGATCTGACAGTGTTGTCTTTCCTTTTCTATAGGGCGAGCTGGAGCGCTGTGTATGGTGCTGCAAAGCCGTCGTGGCGCCGTCCGCGCTTCGCGGCCGGCTCTTTGGAATCCTGTACTCGATCCTCTTCCCGCGGACGCGGACGTTCTCGCTCGACGCGCCGCTCGCCGTACGCACGCTCGTCCAGGCGCTCTTCACGCTCCTCGCCGCATTTGAGAACTCGGTCTTCAGCGCGTCCTCGCCCATCGACAGCTCCGCCCAAGACGCGTCCTTCGCCACCTTCTCCTCTCAGATTACCAGCACGACCGCGCACCAGTACAACTCATTCCCGGCGACGGACCAGGAGATCGAGTTCGTGCGCGACCTGATCCAACGCGTGGCGTCCGGAGCCTGCGGCGCGCTCGCGCCCGAGGCGGTGGAGGACGAGTATGGCGTGCCCGCGGGCGAGGACGAGGACTGGGATGCGGTGCACCGCCTCGTGGTGCTCGAGGGGCTGACGCGGTGCATGGAGAACGGGGACGAAGAGAGGCGGAGATGGATGCTGCGGCACGCCGTCGACGTGAGCATCTCCGCGTCGTCCTATATTCAGCGGGATGTTCTTGCTCACAGAATTCTGTTTCTCGGTTGATAGGAGCACTGGCCGGAGCCTGACCCGTTCGCCACGCCCACGCCGCTCACGATCCGCATCGCGGTCAGGAAGACGCACAATTTCCTCCGCGCCGCTGCGGCGCTGCTGTCCTCGCCCGTATCTTCCTCGTCCCGCCACGACGCCGACGCTCGCGCCATCGCGCGCATCCTCCGCACACGCGTGATCCCCGAGATAGAAGCTGTACCGATGCCGACGCTAGAGAAGGAGAAGGAAACGCTCGAGAGCCGAGCGCGGTGCGTGCGCGTGCTGCTCGAGCTCGCAGCAGTGGGCGAGACGGTGCAAGAGGCAGGTGCGGCGCTTGTCGATTGGCTGCGCGAGGGAAGGGAATGGAAGAAGGGGTGCGAGGAGGCCGTCAGACGTCTGGTCAGTTGGGTGAGAGGGGAAACGAATGTCGTAACTGACTATTATTTCTGCGCAGGTTGCGGAGGAGGAGTGGAAGGATGTCGTGTTGCTGCTAACCGCCCTAATCAAGCGATTGGAGGAGCAGGAGGATGTAATCGAGCCGATGGTCGCTTTCTTGCTTCCTCTACTCAATGACGTTCGTTTACCCATACTGCGCGCTTCTGATCTGTCTTGACACGCGCATATGTTCGCAGCGCATCGTGATGCAGCCTCCAGACATGCCCTGTCAGCCGCTTACAGACCTCCTGGATTACCTCTCCCAGAGGTTCCCCAAGCTTTTTTACAAGCCGCTCTTCGCATGCGCCGCGTCGACCAAGGAGGTTGCGATCGCGAACCACCTCGCCGTCCTCGTTGCGCTCACGCGCTTTTTGCCGGACTTCTGGATCCGAGATACCGAGATGATGTGCGTAGCGATCATGAGCGACGCCGGGGGTGCGAAACGTGTAGCGGACACCGCTCCAGGGGCAGACGGTACATTACCGTGGGGAGCGCCACGCCTCGGGCAGAGCGTGCTGATCACGGAGCTTGTGGGTAGGATTCGTGCGACGAGGACGGCGTTGAGCCACGACACGGTTTCCTCGGTACGCCTGCGTGGAGCGTTACGCCCGCTTGAGCTGACGCTCCCATCTTTTCAGACCCAGGACCAATCCTATCGAGCCATGTCGAAGTTCGCGATGGTGCTGGAATCGCGATTGGGAATCCTGTTGGATCCGCGGGTACGTGCAACCGGTTTCGGCTTCATTCCCGGCACTTACGTTGCGCGTAGGAAAAGCAGAAGCTTGTGCCGCAGTCACAGCGTGTGCTATTAGTCTCGCTCTTCTTGGAGATCCGCCTGCTCACGCGTTCTTTAAAACCGTAGGCCAGATTATGCTTCATGATCTGGTGTTTGAACTGATGGTCTATCAGTTCCACGTGGCTTACCCGAGTTTTATCATGGACGTTGTTCCTTCTCGGAGATCAGCGTGCTGAGGACGATATTCAGGATCACCTCGAAAAACTCGAGGAAATTTACCAGCAAGCTCAGCAGAGATCGCGTGCTGCCAACCAGGCAAGTGGTCCATCTCCCTCGCATCGCACCCTGGCTGATCTGCTCTCAGCGCAGGAGTACGATACTCGTGTCTCCTCGCATCTCGTTGAAATTTTCCGTAGGAGGGGACGATAATCCAGTTATATCTGCTCTTGCGGATAGGATCAAGCTCATCATGGAAATTGTTCGATCGCCAACTCTGCCATTCATCGAAATTCTGGTGGCTCTCTCTGGTTTGTTGTCCGCCCATGACTACGCGAATCTCGGACCATCCATATGGAACGCGTTTTTACTCACAGACGATGTAAAGCTGGTTGCCCCGGTAATTTGCACGCCCTTCAGTCATCCCAGTTATCTCAGCAAATTGATACTTTCATCAGATGTGCTTCTTAATCAACCAGTGCGCTGAGAAGTCCCCTGAGGCTATACTGTCAACGATCACCGCAGATATGCAAAGGTATGTTACCCTCGATATTGGTACATTCGGCGCGACTGAACGCATACCTCCAGTCCCGAAAGCTCAACCCGGGATCTGGCTGTCCAGAAACTCGCCGCGCTTTCTAGCCTACGGTTTCAGGTTCTATCACAGACCGTGATTGTTGACCGCAACCACCCTCGTCCATTCAAGTTCACACGGCCTCAGATGTCGTTCGTCGCGACAGACATCGGCTCGAGTCTGTACGTCCGCGACGAGGAGCTGGATGAGGGCAAAGATGGGGACGGTACTACATTGCCTCTGGAACTCCGGAAACGACTTTCAGAGATTGGTTGGGAACACGAGGGCAAGATCGTCGATCCGAAGGTAGAACGAGCCAAGACGCCTGTATCATTGTTACCAATCCGAGAGGTGGACCGGATTGACGACGTCACCGACTCTGGCCATCCACCTAGTCCAACTGCTACTTCCGAAATACCCTCTAAGGCACCTGGATCTCCAGGAGGTGGCCTCTTGCGGCGAAAGTCAAGTACAGGCTCCTTTCAAGGCGTCAAGAAGAGGGCCGTCTTCGTCCCTTCCCTCGGGAGAGCATTGCCGCACCTCGCGGCCATGACCACGGATTCTGATTTTGCGATTGCTAGCTGCGCGAGGGCAGTCATCCTTGACATGATGCGTGATGACCCGATTCTGCTCGGACGACCGGCTTTCGACATCCTGGGAGGCGAGGAACGAGACGTAGCTGCTGCCATTTCGACAATCCGGAAATACATGCATGTGCAGGAGACGCTACCACCTGCGATGGCTCACCACGTGTTCAACAACCTCACAGGCTTCCTACGATTCGCCCGTCAAACGCAGCAAATGGACTCCCTCCAAGGATATGCTTACTCCTTATCCGTCTTGGCGAAACTTGCGAACCAGGTTAGTGACATGTCCGTACGGGAGTTGCGCCGAGCCAAGGTCGACGCGTTCTTCATTCCCACGGGCGCGCTCTGGTTTTCTGCACAATCCCCTGAGGGCCCCATGTTTCCGCGGAATCTCTCAAAGACGGATGGCTCAAGCTCAGCAGTGCCACCGTCCCTCATCTGGATCACGCTGGTTCGCGTTTCCCAAAACATGTTCTTCCTGGCGATGCTGAAGCGGAAACCTCAAGATGTTCAAGTCGTCAGGAAGAGCCTCTCAAGATTGGAACTACCATCTCTGGACGAAACCTCGACCAGCCCTCCCCTCGAGCTAGCCGACTTTGTTCCTGTGAAACAAAACTGGATGCGAGATAACAATCTACCTCTTGCTGCCCTGTCTCTGGTCTTGTCAAGAAGCTACTTGCTACTCATAGCTCAGTTATTCCGATGCATGTCAAGGCATCTTAGCGATCGCAACGAGCTTGCGGTCCATGTCGATGGCATCAACCGGATCCTGCTCGCTCATGGGCATGATATCGGTATTGTCGGGCAAGCTATGGTTGGTGAGTATACTGGCCTGTTGCGCTTAACGAACTTGCTGATTGCCGCTGCTCGCCCTAGCGTTGATGGTTGCGACAACCCGTTTTCGCCGTCTTTTCACCTCCCGAGGTGCCTATGCACTCTTCATGCCCGCCGTCATCAAGGTTTATACGGAATGTGAATCGCACTCCGCCTCGTCCGGAATCCGCGAAGCCATAGAGTATGCTATAAGCCGTTTCTACGCGTTCCACGAAGAATCCTTTGTCTTCCAAAGCATCGACGCTATGGCCAATATCATCGCACTTCCTAGAGCTGATGCCTCGTGGATAGCGACAAACATCTACATGCTCTTCTCGACGCTGAAGAATAACGCAATCGACGTCACGCCCGTTGCAGCTGGTATCCGGGACCTGAATAAAGCCCAAGAGAAGGAAGCCCTCCTGCTTAATGCCGCCGAGGACATCCCTCAGACCGTCTTGGCAAACTTACGCCGAGGTGGAACGCATGGAGAGGTCACCGCGGTAGGCGATCTATATGAGCACGAAGAGAAGAAACTCGGCCTAGGAAATTTTGTTCGCCTTTTCCTTACCGTCATCGCGCATGACCCAACGATTCTCCGGGCTGAGCGGTTCCTTCGCCTATTACGTTACCTTGCGCCGAGCCTTTACAACGCAACGAGCACTGCCAGAAATATTCTCCGAGACGGGATTGAAGCACTGGGATTGATCATTCTGACCAGGGCTGCTGCCAAAGCCAAGGTTCCCGAGCTTGCACAGTTGCGTCCGGGCGGAGACCGCAGCGTAGAGATTTTCTCCCAGGATGCGCCTATAGACGATATACTCGGTGTCAAGCACATGGCACCCAGTGATCTGTCCGTAATGCGTCTGGACTATCTTGCCCTGGTCATTGCTTTTGTCCAGCCCGGAGGCGATATATCTTCTTTAGCCTTCCAGAGGACGGTCGAGATCATCAAGACAATCTTGAGGGACCCCAGCAAGCTCAGTCGCGCCAGAGTGGAAGAGTTCTTGGCCGACTTCTGCCGAATATCCCTGTTTCCACCGCAAGGGAAAGATAAACCAACAGCGAAACGCGTGGTGTCATTTTTGGGCCAGATCAAGTCACTTGCTACGTCGCACATGGCCGTACTTGACCTCCACAAGCTCTATCATGTTCTCGTGGATTTGGTGTCCGACGTCACCTACGTCGACGACTTACTGTTCTGTCGCGTCGTGACCCAGTTTTGCGCGGCAGCGCTGGACGCGTATGCTTATTCCGCTGATGAACATCTAATATCGGACTTGATGTCTCAGGCACTTGTCCAGCTTATCTACACCATGATACCCATCACCAAAGTCGATGTCCTTGCAGAGCTGGAGAAGCACGAATCCTCACACGGAGTCCTGACCAAAATTGTGCTGCCCTTGGTCATGAAGATGAAGTGCGTTGCTGACGCCGACAGTGTCCAGCCCGACAAAGTGTGGAACCACAACCCGTATCAGCGTGCATGGGTACGACTACTAGCATATGCTATTGCGGTTTGCGAGGATACAGGCGGCGTTAGCGATCTTTCTCGCTCAGGTTCTTTTGGACAGGGTGGCGAACGCACCAAAACACAGGAAAAACGAAGTCGATACCCGCGAGATGGCCTCGTAATCACCAAGATCGTGGCAATCCAGATAGTGCAGATCATTGTGGTCCGAGCACAGACGGAGTTATCGGACCTGCTTCCCGGTATATGGAACCGGCTCGGCCAGCTTTTGCGTGCATGGCTCGTCGAAGGTGACGCATCATTTGCACTTGCTCCGCACAATCATAGTCCCATTCCATCTCCTGCACAATCACCCACGAGGAAGAATTTCCCTCTTTCGCCCACGTCTCCTGCTGGCGACCGCCGCTTTTCGGTCGACGTCCGGATCTCCACAGACACCAAATCGGGCAGCGCTTTGCCGCGAGTCATCGACTTTCTCACCTGGTCCCTTCTGGAGATCATCTGCCTTCACCGCACGCCGTTGATGATCCAGATGCGCTCATTCATGCAGGAGCGGGTCGTCAGGCTAGACCAGCAGCTGCGCGCGCAAGAAAACGACTCCTTCGCGTTCCTTCCCAGCCCGCGCAGTGGACGCCGCGTCTCCACAACCTTCGCCAAGCCTAGGCGGCCATCTGTGGCTTCGGGAGCATCATCCCCACGCACGTCAATGCACATCCCTTCACCGGCAGCTTCGCCGGCTCATCCTGCGTCGACCCCTCCTCACCTATCCATCGGAGCGCCGCTAAGGAGACCTGGGTACGACCTCCCAAGCCCCACTGGTCTTTCTCCAAATGCGCCACCGCCGAGGGCGGGGCCGAAGATCGTGCATTTGGGACCTGTACGCCAGAACTCCGGCTCAACAAGCCAAGGATTCGACAATCGAGAAGGAACAGCGAGGCGTCGCCTCGCGGCCATGCTGAAGTCGGCGAAAGTTACGTCCCCTTCTCTTGTGCGGCGAACGTATGCACGTGTCAGGCTCGTCCAGGAGACTCTCGGTTATACCTCCTTAGTGCCCGCATACGACGAGCAGCAGGAACAAGTGAATATGCCTGAGATCAAAGCGATGTCACGGACGCAAGCAGTACGGAGCATCATCGAGGATATTCAAGCATTGCTGGAGGAGTTCGAGATGAAGGATTTCGCCGACGATATGGTGATCGTGGATGTGGAGCCGTCCAAGATGCCGAGCACTGTACCTCAAGGGTTCTGATCATTTCTTTCCTCCCTACGTTTCTCCGTTTCTATACCCAACGCCTCAGCATATATCCTACCCCTTTGCATTGCCGACCCGGAGATACATACAATAGATATGCTTTCGGATGTATATTAGGGTATAGAGTGATGAACGCTTTCCACGATCCCAAAGTCCCAAGATGGTGTTGCCGATACATGGAGTCTCAAATAAGTTGAGTCGCAACAACCCACAAGCCCGCGAGCATGACGCCGGTCCAGACCGGAAGCCGCACCGCATCCATCGCGCCATTGACAAGGGTCGACTATCCAGCGCACGAGGCATGAAAAATCAGCGTCCGAGCCACACTACGATTGCAGTAGGCGTACCTGGTTCGAGAACGAGATGCTGGGCGTGAACGCGGTCGAATTGGCGCCGTAGACGTACGAGGTGACGTTTGCGCCCTCGCCGGACACGTTCGCGCACTTAACGCTCACCTCGGACACGAGCGCATAGAAATGGCCGGCTGCGACGTAGTCCGGGTCGTTCCAGTCGATCAGACCACCAGACCATGCCACCGTGCCGGCGGACGTGCTGTTCAAGCCGGCGGGCCAGATGCTGAGCTGCACGCGGGCGGGCGTCATGGGATAGTGCGCGACGCCCTGCGCGTCGAGTGTGTCATTCTTGTTGAGCGTGCGCACGGGCTTGGAGTCGATGAGGAACGTCAAGACGTCGGGTTGCCAGTCGATCTGGTTATGAAGCGCGTTAAATCAGTATTATTGAAGAGGGGAGGGAGAGGAGGACGGGAAGGGACGAACGGTGTACTCGTGGTAGTTACTGAAGGTGTCCGTGAGGTTGCCAATCGTCTTTCCATTGTTGGGATCCGCTGGAAACAGATTCCGTGATAAATCGGGTGATGTCGTAGGAAGGACACGGGGACTCACGAACGTATCCCTGCCAGAAGTAGTTGGTCTGTCCTTCGGTAGTGGTATTTCCGGGGAACTCCCAGTCGATTTCGTCCTGAACAGCGCAGATGACAACCTTGTGATTAGTGTCTAAGCATGGAGCATTCAGAATCGGAGACTGACCCTGATGTTGGACATCGTGATGAACGCGGTGACAACACCGCCCCAGCGTCCTGTCTTCACTACACTCGAATCAAGCGGACACGCCGCCTCTGTTCATGTATGTCACAGACGATGGTATGAAACGGCGCTCACGCTTCGCACTAACAGTGCCATATTGCATGTAACTATACGTGGCATGGTGATCAGCTACGGGACGGCCGTAGCGGCAACATGGCGTACCGAGTGGAAGAAAGCCTTGTTCCACCGTTATCCTCCGTCAGAAGCATAGCAAGTTCGCCGCCGGATTGGTTAGTGTTCATAATGTTGCCTTTGTCCACGATGAAGTCTAGATGGCGTATTTGGGTCAGCTTCCAATTATGACATGGCATATGCAATGCGGCATGAGAAATTCGCTTACCGTAGGCGCTGGCGTTGCCATCAAATAAGCTCCCGTTCGAGAAAACACGCGAGAGATCCGGGAAAGTGTACTGGACGAAGTTCAGTCAGGCTACCGCTCTTGCAGATTGTAAGGACGTACCGTGGCATCCTTGCAAACCGGGTTAGGGAGACAAGAGTCGAGGGTATTAGAGGCCAGTGGGTTGCAGCCGCCAAGGCAGAACTAAACCGCGATGAGGCATTAGCTTGCAGTCAAGCGAGATGGCGATGCAATGTACGAAGAAAAGCAATAGACGCTAAAGGGTGCGCGTATGCACTCACATCGTCCGACCCACAGAACCCGAACTCGGAGCAGCAAGGCGCATCAGACCCACATGGACTGGTCGAATTGCTAGGACAAGTCAGCACAGCGAGTCAGAGTGGACTCCAGAGACGATGCCCGTCCTCAAACCCACCAGGTCGCCTGTGCCCGAGCTCCTTGCAACGAACCTGCGAAGATGACAAGGGCAGTCGAGACTCCTAAGGTCGTCATGGTGAACTTCTTGCACATAGATATTGAGTGCGGGGCCATCGCAATGAACTACGAGACTTCGGATGATTCGGAATGCAAGTATTAGGTGGGTTAAACAGCAAGAACGACAGTGTGCGTGGAGAGGGAGTAAAACGGGTATATGGGCCAGTCGAGGAGAACCGTACACCAGAGCTAGCTGGTGTCGCCGTCGTCGCGGTCAAGAACAAGTGGGATGATGAAGCTCCGAGTCCGGTCGCCTTTCATCCCTCTCTCTATCGGGCAACCCGTTGGCACGTGTACAGCTCCTTCCCTCCTCCCATCTTGTTCTCGTTGATGAAGTTGATGCTGGGTTCATGCGGCTCTGCTACCTCTAGACGATGTAGCGCGAATGAAGAGGCGATGTCCAAGATTCTGAACCGCACGGCGACAAAGCGGCGTTTGGAGGTCACTACATGCACGCTCTCGGCCATGGTCCCCATTCTTTACGGCTTTATCATACGATGAACCAAGTGAACCCATAACAAATAGTGCGATAATTGGGTGCTCGTTGGCCGTTACTGCGCACTCCCCTGTCTGCTGAGGAGTCGTAAATGGAAGTGACTCGCCGACGCCGAAGCGCATCCCTGCGCATCCTCAACACGAAGTTTACAAGATAAGTACAAGAACGTTCTTCACGCCCTCCCGATATGAAACCTACAAGATACAACGAACATTCATGGAGATCAAGATCCTCCAGACCCGACTACTACGAGCTGTTCCAGGATCGTTCGACGAACTGGTGGCCCGCAACCTTGCTCGGCTGGAGATTCACGTCGCGATCACTGCACTTGTTACTGAAGCTCCATCCCATGCTTACACAAGACAACGGGTGGACACCAGCGGAGTGGGAGCGCGACCTCAAAGACGGGCCCGTACGATAGTACATCGGCGTGTATTAGAGGCTACTTTGAATCTAACTCATGCAATTCGACAGCTATTAGCTCGTACAAAAGCATCGCGTGCATCTTTATTCCCAAGGAAGTTCATACCTCAACCATCCCATAACTATGTAAATAAGCCACGCACGTCTTCTTCCTCCGAGAAGTGCTCTACGATCACCTCAGGAATGACGCCTCTTAGGGCCGTCAACTGTCCCTCCTATAACTTTTGCCACCCCTTGACGATCAGAGTTCGAAAGCTCGGCTGCTTGACATGGCGCCGCGCCGACGCCCCCTACCTCCTTCTTTCTCAGAGTGGCTGAAGAGTACTACTTTGATGCAGGGTTGACGGTTCTGGATAGCCAACTGATGACATGATCAAGTTTTTTCTTCGGCTTGCTGGACATCATCAACAATAATCACGATGGGCCGCTTGCGGAGAGCTTGTACGATTTTGTGCTTTGTCCTAAGGCACTCCCTGGTGCCCTCTCGCGACCGGTTTGTCAGAACATCGGCCGTCTTCTCTCCCAATCCTGACGATGCTGATATCGGCCGTTTGTAGTTAAGCTCGGAGTATCGAGTGCGTCTGGGAGCATGCGCCGGAATATGTCCGCTAGGGCCGCGTGCTCGATATGAAGGATGGATATACGCCACTGAGCGATCACGAATACAGCACGAATGCACTTTGCCTAACGATGAACATGTTTAACATATGGCGTAGTATTTCTCAGGAGTCGGCGATACCCATCGCCGCCGTGTGAGCATATATCCACTATGTTGTGTTTGGACATATCGTACACAACACATATCTGGCGCCGCCATCATGTTCAGGATCCTGACCCTCCTCTGCTACTCTTCCCGCCTCGCTCTCAAGGTCGCAAACTCGGCGCCACTTGAGGCGGCCGCATTAGTTGCCATCCTCTCCGGAAGTTTCGCCATCTTCATCCAGGGAACTGATGACGCTATTCGCTGCCCCGGGATTCATGTGACGCAGGCGGGTAGAGATTGCACCCATGGCCTCTTGCCAATATGGGTACGGTGCCCGGTTGTGGAACGAATCCTCCAAGCCTTGTGCGGGCTCGGATATGATATCGCTGTAGCTCTGTTTCAGGTCTGCGAGACACCTATAGAGTACGTCTTCCTCCTTCCCTCTCTGTTGTGCACAGAATTTATACGTGTCAAGATTCGTGATGAGGTCTCGAAGTCGATTTTCGTTCTTCGTTCCGAGTTCTGTGACTGAGGGCAAAGACGAAATGGTTCTGAATGCGAGCGCTGCGGCTTTGACGACCTGCACGCGCTTTGTTGTGTCCTCGGCATTCTCTTTCTGTGAAGCGAGCACCCATGCCCACTTGAGATTTTTTCGGACGTCTTATAGACATGTAAGTGCGTCGTAAGCGACTCGACTCTGATGCGGCTTACCGGTAAGATCTGGGACAACATTCGTTCTTTCCCTAGACTGGGACAACAGATTGTACGCAAGCCATAGCAGAACCGGAGTTTGAGCCTTGGAGACGCAGCCCTTCTTCTCCGCGAAGTCCGAGATACAGCTGACCAGAAATCTCCATAGACCGGACCACATCGAATTGGTCTCCGTGTTATTCACCTCAGTCCCGGGTCTATGTGCCGCATTTTGTGCTCTGTCAACCTCTTCATAGACTCGATTTCCATGGAATATGAACGCAATCGTGCGAAGGATATCTGCTGCGTCGAAGTCGTGCCAAATTCGTTGGTACTTCTGATCATAGCAATCCATTAATTCTTGTAAAATTGCCTTTGGATCTTCGGGCCGTTTCAACTTCTTGAATACGTGATCCGGGAAAGGGCCAGACTTTCCAGTTGAGATCCGGAAAGTTCCCCACCGAATATATGCCCTAAGGTTGCGAAGCCGTATGCCAAACGCCTTTGCGGCGTTACCGGCTGCCTGAAGGCGATATCTCCGCTCCTTGACATCCTCTCTCCAGAGCGCTTCATAGTGCTCCCGTAGTGCGGGATGTGCAGAGCAGTTGCGGATCCATAAAAGAACCGTGTTTGGGACGTCATGCTGTTCCCGGCACAGCAATCTATCGCGGTCCCTTTGAGCGCCAGGGTGAGCCCATATAAACGCCGTGTACGCGTAACGTAAGTTGAAACGGAAGTCGCGACGAAGGACAGAGATCTGGTCCGGTCGCAATCGAAATATGGGCGAAGACACCAGGGTCGCCACATCTGATACGACATGGATGAAGGTGTAGAATGATAGGAGCGATGACCGTAGAACCTCCGTCAGTGTCGACGTGTACGGAGACGTGGTGGAAAAAATGGGCGTGATTGTGATAACTGCACCAAAAGATAGCGAGAGGCCGACGACGACGATCAGAATTACGGCAAGAGTGTGATCAAAATGCCACATGAGATCCAATAGACCTATGAGAAACAGCACGACGGAGACCTGAATCAACAGTGTTACAGCGGGGACGAGCCAGCTGAACTTCCACCGGTCGAGTCCAATATGTTTTGCCTGATGGTATATAATGGAGTCCGACGTTCTGGTGAAGGGGATTCGTAGGTATTCATGCACCCATTGCTGTGCGAGTGTGTCCAGAAGCGCGCTGAGGAGGCTCAATACCAGGCTGACAAACCACAGCGCGTTGACAAGCACTGCTTGATCACCTGGATTGATGGGGGCATCAAATGAAGATTGTACCGTCGAGTTTGTGAACTGTCCGTTGGAAGAGAAGCTGTTAAGCTGATGCGAGATTTGGGAGAGGAGAAATACTGTTGTATGAGATGGATCTTCCTGACCATCACGATATGTGTCAATGATGAACGCCGTGAGGACAGCTGAGAACAGCCCAGCCTGGAGACAAAGATGTTAGCTGCAAAACCCGAGTTACGATGCGACTGACATATATCAGCATGTTGTTCAGCTCGTCTTTTCTCTTCTTCATCTCCTCCCGATCCTCCCGTATGAGATCGTCCCGAAACGCCTGCCACTGCCGTGCATCTCTGATCCCTTCCTGCAACGGCCAATTGTATGAACAATGCCACCCGATGAAACAGATATTCTGACGCTCACTTGAGAATTTGGCCTTATATCGTCTCTGTTGAAAGCTGCCGCATCGGGAGACATAATCTGACCGGCAAGGCCAGTGTCATGATTGATCTGAAGATTAGGCAATGCAGCATCTCGGGGTCTCTCTTGCACGGGACTTTCGGTTGACCCCTGGTAAGCTGGTCCTAGGTGCTGCGTGACGAGCTGGATGAGCTGCTGTAGCAACTCAACAACCTCAGGATCTGATGACGACATATAGAACGCTTGTACGAGTACGAGGGAGCTAGGAGTGCTTCAGCGGCGGGAATACAGAGAGAGATATGCACACACAGAGATTTGTCCAACGTGGACCTTATATATGGGAGCACCTCTTCATGGGCGCTTAGATTCGTATGGTGCACCTACCGCGTGTAGCAGCTTGATAGGCATTATCAAGTCAACACGAGTGGAATCTTGGGTCGTCGTGCGATGCAAAGAATGTATTCTGCGTACATACAATACATCTCCCTTGGGTTTGGGTGAAAGACAGTTGGCCCCCAGGGGCCGACCGTCCTTGGGCGCGATCCGAGGGTGAGCCCAGAGGGTCACCCACGATTCGCTGGTAGAGATGCGTTGTTGTCAGTGACCTTCGGTAAACACATACAGGACGCGGGCGGGCGGGTGCTGATGCTGCCTAGTGGGCCACCTCTACTGACGAGGGAGTCCGGAGGGATGAAGAGCGAGACGCGAGCGGAGTTTCAATTGTCTCCCTCGAGCCCAAGACGGCGCACCGAGCTTCGCTCGGTGCTCGCTCGAGGCACCTCGAGGCTCGCCTCTTTGTGCTTGTGATCGATTGCTGTCGGGCGTTGCACCCGCAAAAGGAAGTATTGAAGCTTGTGAAGCAGATGACGACCACCGTTTGCAAGCGTGGCTGGCCCAGAACAATCAGGAAGCACGAGCTTAACAGCGACAAAACTCCGAGTACGGACTACCTTGTGCTGCGCTACCGTCTGATGCACTCTCCGTAGCGTTCTATTGGCCATCCAAGACTGGGATAAAGGATCGCGCACAATGTAGTCGCTGTCGTCCAATATGATTACCCTAAGCTGTCCATAGTTCGAATCTACGACAGAGCTAAGGTTAGGCGCCCGTTCTTCGATGGAAGGTGTTCAGCATGTTCTGAGGCCTTTACCAGGCCTTTTCCCATGATATATGCACTTCTATACATTTGCTCACGTCAACATGAAACATATCGAAGTGCCAACATTCAGTCGGACTTGAACAACGTGTGCGCACACGAGGCATACCTGGTTCTGAATAGGAATAATTGAACTTTCATGTCACGACGAGACCATTCCTCCATCGTAATCGCTATTGGATCCGGCTGGCTTCGGCCTATCTCTGCACGATATCGCCGCCTCATGCCAGCCCTACATTACCTTGTTCACCTATGCTCCTCTCCTCAGGATCATTATGTGTACTTAGCCCTACAGCGGTTATTCGCCTTCGCACAACTCGGCTCGTCATGTTGGATCCTCAACCTCCTGGATGTCCTCAGGTATTTCTCAGGCCCAACTCAGAGTATGCACTCCCTGTCCCTAGATTAACGCCTGCGTCCGAGTCAGAGCGGTGCGTTGGGTTCGGCTCACTGAAACTGCCGAGATTGCAGGCGTACCACCGGCGCACAATCTACATCATATCTTCGATGTTGGCGGTTGTGATTGCGGATATGGAGCGTACATTCTGGCATGAGATTGGCAGGACAAAGGGTGCATGGGCTATTGGCACACGTCAGCAATGTCGACACCGTTTGATTTGCCCTTAGCTAAGATAAATTGAGACGAGAGGGCACCAGACCTGAAGACAATAGTTGGTCATGTGAGCCCCTCAGCGTAATGGCCGCGAACCGAAGCGCTTAGGGCCAGACATCATGACTCGCGAGTACGAATCAGAGGTGCATCGGATGCAACACGAGCAACTCTTGCACGTATCTGAAGGGAATCATTCTCCCTTTAATGACCGGAGAGAGTGCAGGTGCAGGTGTCGCGATGGCACTCACTGCTGCACGTCGGAAACCTGGCGCTGCCCCCACACTGAAGCCTTGATCCCCGATGATTACGCTTTCGTCCCATACGTTCGCCCGCGCTCCGTTCTTCTCGTTGTTGACGATGGCGCTGGGTCGGTGGGCCAATGCTGCGTGAAGACTTGGACAAGGCGACATTTTCATCGATAAGTGATGCGCAGGTAGAATGCCGCAGGTATAGCACCCTCGCCGCAGGATGGGAGACTTAAAGGTGTACGAACATCGTCGAAACCCCCATGCGTAGTGTGCGCGAGAAGGTGTTGCGTACACAGTCGGGATTGCATCTAGAGACCGACTGTCTTTGTCGCGCCAATCGGTCGTCTTGGGCGGGCTGCGGTCCTGCAGTCGCGAGCGGATATCACGCTGAGAGGGCCACCGAAAGGTATGTGTGGGCGGAGCTTGGCTTGGGATCCTTGGGGGTATAAGGACATCTTGCCGCCATGTCAAAGTGTGCCATAGCGATGAATCGCGCTAGTAGGGTGATTCCGCGGCGCAAAAGACGGAGTATATACACCTGTTGTCTTCGATCTGCCGATAGCACAGCGCCCTCGGGAGCAAGCATCGTGTTCGGAATCGTGCAGTGGTCGAATAATACGTCGCTATTCCTGTGGACATCAAGATGAGATCATATACATACATATATATTCGTTGGAGCCCACCTGCTCGGTGTATTGTCCAAGGAAACTCGAACGCAGAAGTTGACGGACTGAGAGTGTATTTATGTCCGAGAGACTGCCATGAGCACCCATGATAGCGTCCTCGAGGCCCGTTAGCACATGCGCCCCGAATTCTCGTCCCAACCTCATGTAGATCCAATGTAGGTCCGGTGGTCCCGCCTGATCACTGATATGTTACCATACCTGTTGTTCTATCGGGTGATTTTTCGTCATGCAAGGATGGGTAAATGACCTCTAGATCAGACGTTTGCCACGGACACATCGCCGACAACGAGGACAGAGGGGCATAAAGGGAGAAAAAAAGTGGCTGTGCTCATTGTGGCGCCGACGACTTGCCGTTTTAGGGCAGATCCTGCCTGCAAGCTCGCGCGTTGTCGCTGCGGCAATCATCGCTGTGAGACTCTGCTCAGAGTCAGACGAAATCGCGCCACCTCTGTACAGTATCACGCTTCGGGCCTGCGCTTGCACTCTGCTGTATAACTATTGTCTCAACTTTGGACGACCAAACCAAATCTCTTCCTCGTATTCTACCTTACCTCCTAAACGGCCGCAGCACCATCTCCGTGCTTGGCGCTTCAATCAAACGGCTTTGAGCCGCAGATTGGATCGAAACGCGAGTCGAAAACGATCAAGGTACGTGGCTCACCGTCGTCGCGGAAGTGACCGCGTCTAATGATCTCTCGACTATCTAGGCCTCACATAACAAGAGCGCGACCAACCAAGACCACATCGATGCGATGAGCGCCTCAGAGCTGTCCTCCAGCGGAAGCGCAGACGCGGATTTTACCCCAAGCACGAGCAGCGCGACCATCAGAGGCTTGCACTCGCTCCCCATGCAGCTCACCGCACTTCAAGATGAGCAAGATGCTCCAGGTTCTTCAAGCTTAAGCGACCCGGGCTCCGCATCAAGCAGCGGCACGCTCCCTCCTCAACCCTCTCCTCCCCGCCGGCGCCCATCTCCGATCTCGACATCTCCTTCGCTGCTGCCCTCCCGCTACCGGGATGGCGAACCGCTCAGCAACACCTCCTCGCCCATCTCCGCCTCCGCCTCCTCCCTACCTTCTCCACCGGATTCTCCAGACTCGTCCTCCTCCTTCCCTTCTCTCTCCTCGAGCTTTTTTCAGACCAGCGGCCTCGGCGCGTCTCCGCACTCGCATCCGAGCGATTACCACCCCGACCACGATCATGACCACGACTCGGACACGAGCGCCCACCACCGGCGCCACGACGGCGTCGGGCTCGTGATGCCTTCCCTCGTACTGCCGCCCGCACTGCGGCGCGAAACTGTGCATGGGCAGACGCTCGGCCAGCTCAAGATCTTGCTCGTGAAGGCACCGGGCAGCGACGCGGACGTCGAGTTTATAGCCCGGGAGATGCTCGGGAAGACGGCGAACGCGGATGTCGTGCACGTCGACGAGTGGGCGCCCGTGCCCCTTCGCGACTGGATCTGCGAGAACGAGGTCACGTTCGAGAGCGAACCTGAGGGAGTGCACGTCAAGGTGTTGCATGCGTCCACGACGTGGGCCGAGATCTCGTCCGACCAAGAACCGTCCATGCATGGGTTCGATACCCGGGAAGGCGCTCGCAACGTCACTCTGCTCGCGATCGATCTCTCCTCGTATACGGACGAAGACATCTCGGTACGTGCCTGTATCCCTCGCTACATTTTCAGCTTGTATTCTGATCACTACTCAATCTCTAGCGCCGGCTCGTTCCTGTCGCCACCGCATCGTTCTTGCCCCTCGACCGCATCCTCAATCCGGCCCAACCTCCCTCCTCGTCTCTTCTCTCCTTAGTCTCCGGGCCCACCTCCCCGCTGTGGACCGTCTGCATCGCCCTCTTACCGCCCTCTTCTTCTTCCTCCTCCTCCTCCCCCCTCTCTCCCACTACCTCCTCCCTGCTCTCAGCCATCGCCTTTCACATCCCCACAATCCCTCTTCCTGCCCCTTCCTCCCCTGCACTACACCGGCTCTCCTTCCTCTCCAAGCTCCTCCCGCCTACCACCGATCCCGATTATCTCCACGCCGTCCGCGCCCACCTCTTCCGCACCCCGACTTCCCTCGCCCGCCTCCGGCACGAAGCCGCCGAGCGGTTCCTGTGGTGGCGCGAAGTCCGCCGCGGCGTTCGCGCCGTCCTCTCCTCCGGAGAATCACTACCCCCTTCCCGTCCACGGATTACAGAAAGGCGCGGCACCGTCGTGCAATCCAGCCATCCCCGCGTGCGCCAGCCCCCAGGGGCTGCAGATCAATTCTCAAATGCGGACGCGATGATGCGGCGGTGGGATGCCGAGTACGGCGCCGGCCTCTCTCGCGACATCGCGCTCGCTCTAGCCGACGAACGCTCCCGCGTCGCGGCCCGACTCGGCTCTCCGGAGCCCGAAGACCAAGCACCAGCACCAGAAAGCGACGCCTCTTCGCCCCCTCCTCCTCCTCGAAAGGCCGCGTTGTCACCCCAATCGCTCCGCCAGCGCCACGTCCCCCGCCGGCACACGCGCCCTACCTCGCGTCGCTCGCACTCCCTCTGCTCATCCTCCTCCTCTCGCTCTTCGCGCCCATCCGCGAAGCTGCCCCAAGACGCGTGGAGCCACGACATGCCCGTGCTTGACCCGCTCCACCTACCGTCGCTGCTTGCGTGCGGCGCGTCCGTGCTGGACGCAGCACGTGCCCGCGTGTTCGCGGCGCCGTGGATGGGCCGAATTGTTGTCGTGGGAGGTGTGCTCGGCATCGGTATCGTGGCGTTTTGGGCTGGCTTGTGGGTTGGTGGGGAGAAGGGTTATTGAATGTAAAGTATGGTTTGGCTCGGCTAGGGACTATGGGACGGATGGATCACTCGTGGCTGCTACTCTCGCTTTGCTCTCTGACAATGCATGATCCTTGTAGCTGTATAGCTTTCGATACAATGACCAATCATATGAATGTATGTTACATGCGCGGTCCACGCGTTTGCTTGTTGCCCTCTGTCCACTGGTCATCGTACACCTCAAGGTCGTGAGTGAAACATTACGCTCTCCGGTCGAGTAAGATACGATTTAGGTACTAAAGAGCGTGAGCGCGGGGTGTGTCGATCAGGAGGCACGCGAGGAAAGAGATGGCCCTGCGACAAGAGGAGTAGAGTGCAAGTCGGCCGCGCCGGCGGGCTATACCTCTTCGGCAATCAATTTGACTTTACCGAGTCGGTCCGAGTGGACATCCATGTCGTCCTGGTTTGTTCAGGCGCAGTCCTCGTTTAGCTTGCTATCAAGGAAGGAAATGGGATGACCTACCTCGGGTCCGAGCCCTAACATATGGTTCTCGGTCGACCGGGTGATGCCGAACCCGTTCAACTCCACGCCCCGATCTGTCACCTGTAGGTATCATTATACACGCACGGTCAGCACCCTCTGATCACGGTCGACAACAAAGGAGTCGACTCGCCGTTTGTATATCTTTCCGTATCGTGATGGCCTCGTTACGGCCTCGGGCGTGCTGCTGGCTGCTGTGGAAGGGCACGAGGGCGTCCGGGCTGAGTTGATTGCGCAGGTGTCTTCGGAGGTTGAGGGACGCGAGCAGGGAGTTTGAGAAGACTGCATGATCGCTGAGAACGAGAGCGGCGTGTGAGCAGGAGAACGCACGTTTTGTTAATATGAAGAAGATTGCTAGCCATATCACTGTGGAAGGGGTATTAGTGATGCATACTAGGCACCATGCGCGCATGCGTACAGTTATCCATAGTCACGAACTAAAAGGGGATGAAGGTTAATGACTGTAAGGTTAGGATTAAGATGGAGATAGGCTCACGCAGATTAGGTCTATGACCGCGACGAGACTCGTGAGCAAACCCGTTCCTGATGGAGGCGTCTTAGAACACGAAAGTAGATAGAATTGACCTAACACTAACCCATGATGTAAGCGGCGACCTGATCCATGATCTTGTCCGTCCTGCATAACAATTGATGCGTTACAGACCGCTTAAGGGCCAAGGTGAACCGGAAGGAAACGTACGATCTCACGCCAGTTCTGTTGGCGAGCAGCGTAACGCATGTCGAGACAGCAATAAACACGTCCACACACGCGCCAATGGCCAGCGTGGACGTCTCCGTCCAGTTGTATTTGCGCTCAAAGAGCTGAAAGTTGGGCACACGGAAGGAGTCGACGGCGGTGACTATGCTGAGGATGAACCGCGTAAGGGATAAGGCGTACGCGATCCCGGTCAGGACGTGATTCCTCCTCAGGAGCCACAAGCGGCGGGAGAAGAAAACCTGAACGATAAACGCCATGATACCTGTGGGATGCGCCGTCGGTCAGTTTGACGGCGATTGGCAGAAGGCGAGGACGATTGATATCGCACCGGTTAAGCACATCGCGCCGTTCAATGTCGTTGTCGCGATGCTGACGGTGTCAGGTTGTCCGTAGAACGTGATCGTGTATCTAAAAGCCGTTGCGAGGAGCAACGCGGTATGTACAAGGTCGATCATTCTGCATGCACGGAAGGTCAGGATGGTTGGCTAAGCGGACGCATAGTCGTCCACACGTACAACACCAAAACAACCTGTGCATCATCAGCAAGGCCCCCCAGCCCTAAGTAGGGAGACCACTGACCGTGACTTGAACGCCCCACGTATCCCGGTACATTCGGAAGTACATGAGCGTCTGCATCACCAGAATACCGGTCAAGCTACGGGGAGAGTTAGATACGTTATCCAACAATGGAACTATCAGTCACAATGTCCCAAGAGCGACACCGATCTCCGCCGCTCCAAGCAACAGACCCATCCCCGGGATCGTAAAAGGAGGGGCACCCGCCATCGTTGCGAGTCTTCGATACGTATTGATCACAAGAAACGGGACGTTCCCGGAAAGGGGAAACGGGCAAGCTAGCAGTGAGCAGGCGACGCTGAAGCGAACGTGGACGGTGTCAAAAGGAGCGCATGCCTCGGCCTGCCCGAGAATATGTAAGGATGCCGGCGCAGCGCCTAGGTAGAGGAGAGGGAACGCTCGGGTCCTTCGCAGGGTCGGCACAGCATCGGAGGGGACCCCAACGGCCCGCCCAGGGCAAAGTGTAAAAACAGTGAGGCTTCCTGATGCTTTCATACAATGCAATTGGGAGAATGGATAAACATGGGAGCCAGAGGCCAGGTAATGAAGTTCCGGAAGTACCGCATGAGACTTTTTGGGTGGGCCCCAATTGAGTGACGCCGTTGCCTACCCCGATAGGTGTATGCCCATTCGATCAAGGTTTGAGAGCAGTGCACCGGGTCACGGTTCGGAAGGGCAGTTATCAGGAAGTGACTGGTGCGTGGAGACGTCCTCGATGTACTATAGGTTACGCCGCCGGCATGGGATAGATGGTTTCATAGAACGGAGCGTTGACGCTATCCATCCAGGGCAAGCCTCCGAAACGCAACAAACACTGAAGCAGTAGAGAATGGGATGTCGCAAGGCACCCGGAGGCGCAACATTAGGCAAACTGATGTGCTGACGAGTTTCCCGGGTAAGGCGGGGATAGCCAGTCGGCGGATGTCGTATTCCGGGCTGCGTGAACGGAGAGCTGGCTTACGTCACTATGAGAAATCTGAAGTGGGACTCTGCCGCAGGTCAATGCACGGATCGTGCACCGCTGAGTTAGCTCTCTGGATGATCCGAATTTCACACAGAGCTAGTTCCCATGATTGATGGCTATGGTAGTATGTTTCTATCTATCCGGCTGGGGTTCGGTACAGCCGCGTAATGGTCATCTCGAGCGCAAGATGACGACTCCCCAGACGTACCGAATATAATAAGTTAATGCAAGAGAAACGCCCAAAAAAGGTGACGAAAATGAAAATGCTAATGTGTCCAAGACATAATCGGCGGCGCTCCTCCAAAGAATCGAGGCATCGCAGCATTAGTCTACGATCCGCTCGAAACACGACGAGGTCGGGTTTTCCTGCGCAGGGGCGATCAGTTGCTACGAAAGGACAGCAAGCTCAAGGAAGACTTACCTCGCGAGTGAAGGTCAGCATATGGCACGTCACGTACCCCTTGACGTAGCCGGCGTTGGCGTACGCGAAGAGCCACATCCACTTCCTCCTGAAGGTCTGCCAGAGCTTGGGGTCGGTTACCTTCACCTCCGGCGTGTCCGCTTCGATCTGTTCGATAACCTCGGTGGTAATGTTGGCGTCGAAGCGGCGAGCCCATTCACGCAGTGCACGGGCATAGTCTGCCAAGTGGGTCAGGGGCCTCGCGTCTCCCAACATGGGAGAATAGGGACTCACGAGGTCCATGGTTCATGACTTCGTGCAATACAAGTGTTCCCTTAGACGCCTTGTTCGTAGCCTGTACGAGCGCCGTTGCGCTGGGAAGACTTCCATTCGGCCAGAAATACTTGCGCGCGAAATCGTGCGGCCTGGGCGAAAGTTTCGTTCCATCAGACTTCCTTCCTCCAGTACGTATGCGCATCGTGACTCACTGAATGATAGTGAAGCGAGTCTCGGGCTTTGTGGTGGACGTGACGACAGCCGTGGCGACGTCGGGCTTGAGCGCCCACTGCACACACGCGAAGAAGTCCTCATAGTGCGTGGGACCGACGTGCTGTGGAGAACCGATACGTGTCAGGTACAAATCCGCAGAAGCTCAGGGGGTCGAGATAAGTACCTCCAACATTTCGATTGAAACAAAGGCATCGAAAGTGTTCTTGAGCTCAGGGAACGTCTTGGGAAAAGAGCGGTAGTCCATGAGGTGGACGCGGACCCGATCTTGCAAGCCGGCAGCAACGATGCGTTCATCCGCGAGCTTCTTCTGCTCCTTAGACAGTGTGACAGTGTCTACACTGCATCCCGTAAGACGCGCAGCCTGACGCACACGGAATACAGTATAAGTATTTCGTCCGTCGGAGCTGTGAAGGCGCGCTCTCACCTCTATGCAGAACCCGCCCCAACCCGAGCCGAATTCGAGAACGCGGTGGCCCTTTTCTATCCGTGCTTTGGCGATGACATTGTGGATCTTGCGCATCTGCGCAGCTTCCAGGTCTCCAGGCTTGACCCCGAAAGCAGGGTCCAAGTCGCCGGAGATACCGCCTTCGGCATCGCCCCACCAGGGGCATGAATACCTAGAGAAGAAGGGCGTCAATTGGAACCGCACACAGGGGTCGGAATGTTTACTGACATCATCTCTTTTGACAAAAAGGCCTGGAAAAGTGTATTGCTGCAATCGTAGCCGGCGACGGCGTTCAGCCTGGACTGCGCAGGCGTAGTTCCGACAAATGTTCGGACCAAACCGTCGAGTACCTCCACGATTTTCTGCACCCATGTCATCGAACTCTCCATATAAGGCCGGTTGTCGAGGAAAAGCTGCAGACCCATGTTAATCGTCAAAGAAGAAGAACGCAACCGGGGGATTGGTTCACCATCATGAAGCCATCGAGGTCGTTCAGGAATATTTCGCCCACCATGTACGCTTCCGCGACTGTATGATCACTCCGTGAGTGACGCTCTCCAGTTGAGATGAGAAATCTGCATTACCTCCTATATCGGTCGCGCTATTGCCATAGCGAACACGCGTCAGCTTCCCTGTCACCTTCTATGTGGAAAACGTTCACTCACGTAATCAGACGCAACCAAAAGTGGTCATTAAGAATGGTCAGGACGACGGGCGGCTTTGCGCCTGGTCCAGAAGAAGGGCCGAATGCATAGCGTTCCGTCCCTTCAACGATTTCGAGGTTTCCGACCTTGATGGATTTCGAGAGCGTGGCGAGCGTCTGCGCCCGAACTGGTGACACGCACGCCCGTCAGACTGAATGTAGAAGAGCGCAGCAACAGCGAGGAAGCCTCACCGATGGCTACGATCCTGGCGCGTACCCATGCAATCAGCACGGATAGGAAGGCGAACATGGTGTGCTGCTTGAAGTCCGGAGTCGACGGGATTGCTATGCTACAGTGGCTTCTCTGCGCCGAACCTGCCTACCTACCCTCCACCCGCGGGCATTTATAAAGCGGCATTTATCGCCTAGGGGGGACCTGCAAGGTTCTGCGAGGAGACCTCCGGCATCTTCCCGGAGAAGGCTGATCAGACAAATCTGCATCATGATCGTCTGGGAAGGCGTATCATACAATTATCTTTTGAGGGGGCCAAGAAAGCCGATAAAGGGGTACATTACCTCTTCCACCCGCCAGGTCACACCTCGTCCGCGTTTTCTTGACGCGCAACTCGTGGCAACCGCTGGCGGGCGGCGCATGGAACCGGAGTGAGCGGCGTGACTGGTCGCAGCTCCGTCGTTGTTGCGCACAGCGTGTAAGCGTGGGCCTCGTTCGTCGGATCAGAAGCGCGACAAGCTGGGTAGCTTCGGTTGGGTGGAAGTCAGCACCCGGTCGTAGATGAGCTCTCTCGGGCCACAGAGCACAGAGTCCCTGTCTCTGAATAGATACGATATCACATGGCTGAGGAAACCCGAGGAAAGACGAGGACGTGAAGAGGAGGAGGTTGATCGTCAGCGGTCACACTTCGTGATTTCGGACCCGTGCTTCGGGCCACGAGATAGCGCCAGAAACCGTGCTTTGGTTCCCAGGCGAGGCGCAACATACTTCAGCAGACCTTCAGCATCTTCCTTCTAGGTCGTCATCGAATCATCTTTGCTTCGAGCGATCGCCCACAGATCGGATTGATGCGCACAACAAACTACGTACATGTTGACTACTGCTGATAATGCGTACGCCCCATCAGAACAGACCAATGCATCGCGATTCCGCGTCGATCACCCGATCACCAAACGAGAGATAGCCTCATATCGGGCATTCGCGACTGGTCTGGTCCGCAGGCCAAAGCACAGGCTAATCACAGATGCGCGTTCACACCAAATGCGATCCCCTCCGCCTCGCGAGCAGACCACGCGCGGCCGCGAATAGTACGTGGAAACGAACACTAACGTCTGTTTCGTGATGCAGCTTAGCTTTCGGGTGAGTCGGCTAGGGGAGAAAGTTTGGACGATACACGGCAGAGTAAGCTATTGGCCGTCCCCACTTGAACTGGCTCCTGGTGAGAAATTGGCCCTGGGTGGGAGCCGCGACGAGCGTCGCGATGCATTGCGTGGTGAAAGTCACCCCCGTGCGAACGCTGCCGTATTTTCAGCCAAGCTCATCAAGAGGATGACCTCCGATGTGATGATAGTGAGACGCACCCAATCTCTGACGCGTTTGCCGACAGAGCCGCAATCAAGGCAACAGTCAGGGACAGAACTGAGAATGGAGTCAAGGTCAAAGCGGTCATAAGAATAGTAGTCAACTCACAGGCACCAGAGAAGAAACCGTACAAGAGGCTGACGACCACCGAAGCAGCGCTGGATGTCACTCCGAGCATCGCGATGATCAGGGCGCCCGAGAACAGGCAAGACGGCACGAGGACGTTGAACGGCCCATAGCGGTCAGCGAGCCAGTTCGCAATTAACCGGCCAAACGCGGACGCTCCATTCAACAACGCCACCTATAGGGAAAGGAAGATCGGCGTCAGCCTCCTCATTTCAATCGTGCCAAAGATCACCATAGCGCAGTGCGAACGGCACGCACAGAATAGAACGACAAGGTTGAGTCGACCCCATGACTTAATCCGAACAGCTGGATATAGAAGACTGATGATGATGGTGGCGTTCCAGCATGAGCGTGCAGATCTACGCCGGAGGCAGTATCCTGTGCTCTCACCCGGGAAATAAAACGCAAGCGATGCCACGAGCCCGCTGGGTGATGGTATCTGTCAGCCTATCACGTACAGCCCCCCCAAGACCGCCATCGGAGGTTGCTTACGCAAGGATGGCGACCATGTAAGGCCAGTCGGTCAATAGAACGGACATCTTGGGCGGCGGAGGTAGGTCCTGCGGCTTCCGCAGGCGACGCAGAGGTAGTCGAGGCCGCATAAGCAGGTTGCCCACGATCAGGACTCCGAGAAGGACGTAGGGGCTGTCTCGGACCGAGTCTCCGAAGCTGCGTCCCTGGATGTTGAGCAACTGGCTGGCGGCGGACTGTCATGACCATCGTGGGCTGAAACGACCGAGAAGACCTACTTGATCACTAAGACACCGTGAGTTCGACGAAGCCGGGTTTGCGAAGTGAAACGCACTGATAGGAAAGGCTATAGCTCCGCACGAGTTCCCAACAAGGACAATCCCTGCGGCGAGGGACGACGCCGTTTGAAATAATGCGACGAGACCGTAACTGTAGGAACGAAGATGAGCCCCAAACCTATGCCCATTCCGAGGCCTTAAGCCAGAAAGATCTGGTAGTACTTCAGCGGCTTCGCTAGCGAGAGCAGAACAGGCTATGAGATGCTTCGGTCAGACGAGACCTTCGATGTTTAAGGAGACAACGTACGAGAATGTAAAGAGAATGGATCCGGCCGCAATGAGATGATGGAAATAGCCCTCATCGAACAGTTTCCCGGATACGAGGCCCAGAAGAAATGGAAACATCAATTGCGTGGAGCCGATCCAACTAAAGATGAAGATGAGGCTGCATTTGAGCCGACAATAATGTCAGGCCTACCTGATCACACTTGGAGAACGATTGACAAGATAGATCCGGGTATAGTAGTCTTGAACAACGTCAGTATAGCTGTAGACAGATCGCGGGTCAAGTACCTTGGTACACGCCGAAGGAGTACTATGTCGTGTTTGAGTACGGCGATTCAGCAAGTATACTGGCTTCGTACATACCAAATATCCGAAGGTCGCAAACAAAGTCAGCGATCTGTGGATAGGACATTGTAGGATCATCTTGCAACCCGGCCACTGCGTAACGTACGCTCCAGCAACCGTCAGCCAGGCCCTCAGACCTCCCTCGAGAAAGTCCTCCTCCAAAAGCTCTTCTTCGGTTGTTTCCGTGTTGTGACGATTGCCTCCATCGCCTTCGAAGGTCGTCTTCTCGTCCGTAACTAGTGACGGGTGGGTCGTGAATCTCTGGCGCGCTCATGTCATCGGAAGTGCAGGGGATGGGGCAGCGCCGCCTGCGTGCAAGCAGTTGTATGAGCTCGTGCTGAGCGCCGGAATGAACGCAGTACACGGAGCCCCCATGTAGTCATGGCATATGTTTAGAGACCAGGCGGTCATGATCACGACAGAAGGCAAGGAGAAGGCAGGAGAAGTGCCGACGCTGATGCAATAGCGCTGTACATTCAGTACGGTCGGTATCTCAGTCCCGCTCGCCATTCGAGTCGCCGCACCGGTCCTCCTCAACTTGTGCGCCACGATGGCGTGGATCTCCGAGTAAGCATGACCGGCGTCGACGCTGCTTTGGCGATGCGAAGTGTTTTGCTATGTTCGAGAAGCCACGCAGATGATGGCTTCACCATGCATCGTCATCCTTCGCCACCAGCTTCTTATCTTCTAGCCCTCTCGCCATCTGCCAAGCACGCATCGTAACTGACAGATGCATTCACGACTCGATCCCGAGTGTCCCGGGCTTTTGCGGCCGGCCGTCGGCGCCAACTCGGCGCCGGCGTTACAATGCTCAAACAGTTTAGGGGGAGAGCCACAGTTCAGGTTCCCATCATGAAGTCCGACAATCCGCATCACTTCGAAACTTCCTCTGCAGATATCACGAGGCCTTTGATCTCACGTCTGGTAACTGGCCGTAGATACGCTCAGATTATGTCGACGTTGCCTTGCATATGAAGGCCGACTGGGATCAGCACTGATTGGCTTTCCTCCCACCCTCTCCCGCTCTTTCACCGTCGACGTTCTTTCGCACTCGGTGCTATCGTTATTGAAAGCCATGCCGACTGTGCTTGACCTCAGCCTCGGCGCCGCAGAAATCGGCGTCGCCATCGGCACATTGTACGTCGTTATTGTGTTGTGGAGGGTTAGCCGAGGCCCCTGATGTAGCGGAATATTAGCCTGCTCGGCATTACCGTCATGCAAGCATACCAATATTTCAGGAAGTTCAGCGATCCATGGCCAATTCAAGGAACGGTGAGCTGCCCCCTCGTCGCCTCTCGAAGAACGACACGAATCTGATCTATGTCAATACAGGTGGCGCTTTTAGTGTACGGTGAACGATTCGCGCACTTCTGTTGCATTATTGCTGACATCGGGTTCAATGCAGAGCGCTGGACTTGACACACACGGCGCTGCTTCTACATGCCGTCTATCACTACACCATCACATTTTACGGCGTGCCGACCGAAATCAGCAAGGCGACCCCTTCGCTCAGCACCGCCGTCTGCCTCTCCGGGATCATGGCCTTCGTCGTCCAGATGTTCTTCGCCCGCCGCGTCTGGGCGCTGACCAAAAACCCGTTCCTCGCCGGGATCGCATACGTGCTCTCGACCGCGCGGTTCGGGTTCAGTCTCGCATCGACTGCGGAAGCGTTCTCGCTCGGCAACTTTGCGGTGTTCGAGGTGAAGTTCCGGTGGGGCGCCGTGGCGACGCTCGCGGTCGGCGCGTGCGCGGACGTGTTCATCGCCATCACGCTCTGCTGGACGCTCGCGAAAAGCAAGACGGGCATAGCATCGTGAGTGATCTGCAGCTCTGGTTAAGACCCGTTCGACCCCGGAGTCTTACCTGCCATCGCAGCACGGATAAGATGCTGGACAAGATTATTATGTTCGTTATGAGCACGGGACTTCTCACGAGCTTCGGCGCAGTTACCGAACTCATCTGTGTGAGTGATCCTCTCCGATGTGGGAATGTAGCGAAGTTGACCCGCCCTACGTATCAGTTCCTCACCATGAACAACTGTGCGTATCCTCAACACGGAAATCCTGTGGTCGCTTTTAACGTGCATTCTGTCAGTGATCTGGCTCGCGATCTTCTTCATCCTCGCCAAACGTAAGTTACCTCCAAGTCTACGGCATCGAGTCGCGTCTGACGGAGCTTTCTTCAGTGTTCTCCATCTCGCTCTTGGTGTCCCTCAACGCCCGCCGGCACCTTCGCCGCCTGGACACCACTGCACACATGATGAACAGCTCAAGCCACAACGAAACCCACAACTCGCGGTTCAGCAGGAACCCTGTGCAGATCCAGAAAAACGTAACGATAGTAAGTGCTCGGCTCTTTACTGGACGTATCCGACCGAATAGGGCTGATCACAGTGAACACTCGCGCTGAGTAGATCTCAGACACCGGAGATAGGCAAGGTAAGGCGATGGAGCTCGGCGGACTTAACCTCTCGCGTACCGCCGACGACAGCTCAGACGTACGTAACTCTTTACCTCTTCCCCTTTCTTTTTGCATGACGCTGATGCACTCGCTGTTTGCAGTACATCAACGACTACCTGAAAGGCGATAACAAAGTCGGCCACGTCGTCTAGGCCTGCTTGCATCTGTCACACATAGATCGTGCCTTGCGATCGCACGGATTCACCACTTATCCTCGGATTACGTAGGACTATTATCACAAAGGTATCATTGTCACTATCATTTGTAGAACTTTTGGGCTTGCCTTGGGCGCCGTGTGTTGTTAGTGTAATAACAATGTTCAACAATTCGGCGTTGTTGTACTAGTCTGTTTCCTCGGCGACATATGCCAACAGTGGGTGACTTCCCGTAAGGATCTGTAAGGCCGAATAGAATAGATTTCGCTTACAAATCCACTAAGCGAGCAATGCCGAAAAATCGGCATCGACGAGCCAAGTTGTCGGTCTACAAGTCACTCGTACAGACCTTTTATCTGGAAGGGGGGGTCGACCCCCCCTTCCAGACCAAAATGACCGTTTACAGACAGGAATTTGTCATACACGTGACCTTATCCCTTCCTCATTCGCTGCTCAGCCCTTCTCAACGGACCTCCACGTTTATGATGACTATTTCCGCCCCACACGCGCAGGGCCGTACGGGGGCATAAATGTACAGCATAACCCACAGATCGGGGTTTGAACTGTTTATTCTGTGTTTCTGTCGCTACAAATCTTACGGGAAGTCATCCAGTTGCATTGCTGCACTTTAGTGTCCGTCATCTGACAGCACGCACTGGAGTGGGTCGCCGACGCAGCCGCCAGAGATCGAAACCCTCAGCTGATAAGGCAGGGCCATCGCAAACGGGGGGGCTTGTCACGCGTGCATGACGACATTCCAAGGGAGTTTGAGAAACTCATCGACCAATCACAACGCTAGGATGTCTCTGATTCCCACGCAATGGATGCCTTGAATTGCTGTTCACTTGTTTCTGAGCTCATTTAAAAGAAATCTGGACCCATAGAGCCCTCTGTCCTGAGGATCGTGTGGGAACAAAAATACGCTAGTTGCGCTGGTGAACCCGGCGATAGAGGGTAAGAGGTATTTTGTTAGAATTTTGGTCATGTGATGCCCCCCGTTTGCGATGGCCCTGCCTTAACGTAAGGTAAGATAGGGCTCATTCAGTTTCAACAGGTATGGCGCTCTCCGATGATCACGTGATCAGCTCCTCCGAGCCTTGAAGCTCGCTGGCATCGTCTGCGACGATTTGACCACACAGACCGCATCTATGAATTGTCTTCGTCAACGACGAGCTTGCAGAGTCATCATATTACATATATATAACAAATATATGGACTAGGAATGCGGATGAGAGCCGAGAGTATCAAAGGTGTGCATTGAAGCAGTGATAACATTGGAGAGCAAGTGAGTTGAGTGTCCGTGTCTCTGTCGTCAGGAGAGTACGAGATAACTGACTGCGAGTTATATACCTGCGGTGTCGAGTTCCTCCATGATTGAATCAGGGAGGACACGATGCCCGTGGTACTTCTTAGCTGCCCACATAGCCTGCTTGCCGTTCAACCCTTTCCGGTAGGCATCCATAAACCGGCGCGATCGTGTAGAGAATCTATCAAAAGAAGAAAGATGTTATGTTCAGCCTCCAAGTAGACAAATGTACAACTTACCGTCTGATAGTTTCTATTGGGATTGAATCGAGGACCCTCCTTACGTTCTGCTCCATCTCTGCCTCGGATGATGAGGGAGGGAGTAAGCGGTATTGCCGCTTTGCGTAACCCCAACACATCTCGATGAAATTCAGCTCGCAGTGAAACTTCGGCAGAAAGATGGTGTTGTAGCCTCGTGCCTTGCATGCAGCCTCGAGCAAGGATGTGGTCCCTGCGAAGTCAGGCTGACTGTACAACAGACGCCGGCAACAGCATTGGTCTTGATCCTTGGGGCATTTACACCCAGGGCACTCAGCCCTAAGTTGCGGAGCATGAGCGAATCCGCGTTCCTTGAGGATGATCGCCATGCCTTTGAATGCACCAGCCTGAGGGTGATCAGGTGGAAAATACAGCGACTGAGGACGTCCGTTGGCAAACTGTCCATCTTGCATCCGTGCTCGCTCCTTGATCACTGCTCCCGAGTGATGATCGTGCACCGGATTGCCGTTGTCATCACGCTTGATCCGCTCGACTCCAAAAACAGGTTTGCCTGGGCGAGTGGGATTCTTCGGCATCCTACGTGCAGATAGGGCATCCTCGGCTCTTTTCAGATGTGTGGTGGCATTGTCGAACACAAAGACATGCCGTTCATGTGGGTAGTGTTTGTCAAGGATGGACATAGCCCGTTGGACATGCTCGATGATCTCGACATGAGTAAACCATCCGTCTCGGTTTTTCCCGGCCTTGAATATCCACCGTGCAGTCTCTGTCCCATCCGGTGATGCAAGCCATCCGTATTCAGCAGAAACAAAGTCCGCCACCATCAGAGATGTTCCCTCACCCTTGGGTTGAGGTACCGCCGTCTCCGTCGAGTGGACCCAATATAGCCGTCGCTGGTCATTGGCATAGAACGTAGATTCGTCATGGTGCCAAATCACGACACGCCGATTCCGGGGCCGAGGCCGCTTATCCTCAACTTCGTTGACTCCGTCACTCCATGAACGGGAGTCTAATTCGAAGGCTGCCATTGCTGGTAGAAACACCTCCTGTCGGTACTCCACAACATCCTTCCGCTCATGACCATCGATATATTGACCTGTCGGAGTCCGAGCCCACCGGTAGTTCATTGCCCGCATCCAACGTTTTGCAGTTGCCAAAGAGATTCGCTGATCAAGATTATACTTCGACTGCGTTTCAGGCGAGTTGACAAAGTGGACCACATCGAGAGCCTTCACATGCTTGCCAATGCCAACTAGGTGCTCGTATATATCCTGCGCAAGGTCCCCCTTCTCGAGGAGTGACGTGCTCCAGACTCCGTAAAGGTTTGAAGGGAGTTTCGTCCGGTCGGCGATGAAGGAATGTGTCCATTGTCGAATAGAACGTGCCGTATGTGACCGCATCTTGAAGGCACGCGCCGTTGTTTCCGAGGCCTCCGTCCATCTGCCAGGTCGAGTACCATTCACGTACGTCCATAGAAAGACTCGCATCATGTTTAATCGTGATCGTGTGGTTTTATCTCCGTTAAAATCCAGGTGACCGATGCCGTTCCGTCGTGGCGGGTGCAAGATATCGTCGAGGTCATCGAGTGCGGCCTTCGCCACTTCCGTACTGGGTGGGAGGAGTGCCTTGCGGCTCGCTTCAATCCTGCGCGTCCTGATATTCTTCTCAAGAGCAAGAAGAGCCTGCTTAGCCGCATAGAATGAAGCATTCTCTGCCTCGACTGCAACACTGATGTCCACGCGGCGTGAGCTGCAAGACTCGTTGGATTGCCTTGCAGCCTGAGCCAGCGAATGGTAGATGCTCATCGAAGACCCTCTATGCATGGCTGATGGTCTTCTCAACATGGCACACGACGATGACTGGATATTCGTTACGTCTCCGAGTGCGACCTGGGCTGGTGGTGTCTGGTGCATGACTGTATCCGGCTCCATGCCCCAAGTCGGTTTTTTGATGCTACTGAACACTCGAGACAGTCTTCTTCGAAGAGCCTTTGCATTCTCAATCGCTTTATGTACTGGATACATCTCCTGGGATAATGTCGGCACATAGGACATGGAATAAGTGTGTATGTTCGGTGACTCACATTCTCCTTTCCTCTCCCCCTCTCTCTGCGTTTCTTGCGGAACGACTTCCGACTACTCCCGAAAAGATTCTCTAGACTTCGACGCTTGGAACGCTTGTATGCACCCATGATCACGGATTCAACAGTGGAATGGTGAGGAAACCCAGTTCGTCGCGACGCGTCGTCTCAAGTCAAGCGTGTGGCGCCACATTGGCAGTTTGCGTGTACATCCGCGGATTGCGTCGCGCACTGCCCGTTTTTCAAAATTCTAAAACGACAATCTTTGCAATAGCAACATGATACATGTTTCTGTCGCGGCGATTGGCATGATATGCAATACAGGGAGTTCTATTCCGCTGTCCATGCTCGTCCTCTGCCAGACGCGACAAACCTGATCACGTGGGACCTGTTGAAACTGAACGAGCCCTATCTTAGGGCTCATTCATACCCCAGCACTATGGCGTGCCAGTCTTGTCACGCATTGGCGGGGCAACCCCTTGAACCCCAAGTAACTTCACCGCTACCCATGCAACTCGATATTTTTTCTATACATATTGTACTCTGAGCTCGTGTGCACAGGCTGTTTAGAACAGATTGGTAAAATTCTCCTTGTACCGTGCGCGGGTAGGTCAGGAAGAGCTTAAAAACGGACTCATAACTCGGTGCGCCGTCACGCCTGACGCCACCCACCGCGCCAAAGTGCCCACATTCACGTGATGTCACAGCAATGTCACAAGTGCTTGAGTATGAATGAGCCCTACCTTATTACATGAAGAGGCACGAGGACTGATACAATAATCGTTACACGATCAGTTCGGGAAAATGTGATTATGGCGCGGCCGGTCCAAGTGATGATGCCACCCACGCTCCTGAGTATGTACCACTCCTACAACTTGGCCCGGATTTCGGGTTCCGCGGTGATCGCCTCGAGCAGGGCACGCGCAAGCAAGTCAGGTTTCTGCGACATGGCCTGAACATTGGGAAGCAAAGTCTCAGCGATACACCAACACGATGTGGAGGTGGAGACGCACCATGTGCCCCACGCCCGGGATATACTGCATTCGTACAGGAGACCCTTTTACTACGGAGGCTTGCTCCTTCTTGAGCGCCTTGGGGCTATAAAAACATATAGAAACGATCAGCGTCAATTGAGGAGAGATGAGCGGAGGATTCACAATAGATCCTCCAATTCGCCATAAATGAGCGTCGTTGGTATTTGATGTACGATACGTTTGAGCGCGTCCAGCGACGCGCCAACCGGTTCAGAGGCACGGGTAATCGCCTACACGATTATCAGCTCGTTATACTCGTGACTCTCCATTTGATGCGGGACGAAATGATGCCTACGTTCTCCTTCTCACGAGAGACGACAGTTGTGACGCCCTTGAAGGTGAACGGGGGCGGGTACTTGGCAGCCGGGTGCAGTTTAAGAACGTGGGCCTATTCAAGATCATCATGTCAATATGTGCACAGGCTTCGGTTCCAGAGAACAAGCCATAAGATGACGACGTACGAAGTGAAGTTCCTGAGCTTTCGTATCCCAGCCCTTGTACGCCGGGTGGGCGGTAAGCTCCTTTACTGCCGCCTTGTGCGAGGGCCATGTGTCCTTTCTGGTCCAAAGGAAGTTCGTGAGTGCCCTGCCAACGGCCTGGCGCAATGGCCCATCTGGGTTTATGGACGCTTCGTAGAGGATGATATGCTTGAACGGGATGTGAGGTTCTTTCTCGGGAAGTAGAGCGCTGTATAGGAGTGGGTGGAAGATAAGCTTATGACGAGTGTTAAGAAAAATTATTGGACTAACGCGCAGGTCCCGCCCATGGAATGTCCAACGAGCACAAGGTGTCTTGACCTAAAGTCCACTTGAGCTTCTTTACCCCCTCCTTCGATCAAGAAAGCGTGAACAGCGTCCGTGTAAGACGTGACACTATCTTCATATCTCACTCAGCACGCATTAGATGCACGTATAATAACGATGATTCATACAGTTGTCCAGATCCTGCTGTACAACCCAGCGCTCGTTCACGGTTGCAGAGTCGCCATGGTCGGGATTCTCAACAGACCAAGCATCCGCGATCAACCCAGATGGGGCTGTCCCAAGCAAACGCTCGATGGCTGGCTCCCAGGTCTCCTTGCATAGGCCCGTTCCGTGCATGAAGACAAAGGTCGCCCCGTATGCCGTCGAAGGGCCAGCCGAACCTGACGCATCTCCCAGCCAATACCGGTTTGCTAGCACGGCATAAGGTCGCGATGAGCTAGGCTCCAGGGTGTAGGTACGCTTTTGAACGAAGGACGCCATTCGCTCCGTTACTGGGGCTACCGGCACCGCCGACGCCAATGGCGCCTCTAAAGCTGAGAGTGAGTGGTCGGTGCCCGTGATTCCACAATTCCGTGGCCTGGGAAAAGCCCGAGAAGAAGCCAAAGTACAGCCCCTATTGGTAGAGACGACGCCGCACTTGCCGAGAACTGAACTTCGCCGATCGAGCAGCTTCCTGTTTCGGAAAATCTTGCCGAGCCTTCGGGCCGGCAACGATCCGGTCCCGGATCTGGACGGGCGGCTAGTTCCAACTCACTTCGACTATGGCTTGCCTTCGCTCGACGACCTTCACGTTGGAACCGAGCGATACTCGGCCATGGGCCATCCTTGCAAATTGCTATACCCTCGCTGGTTCTGATGACAACGTGCAAGGCCTGACACTGGTGTTCTTCCATGGAACGGGACTGTGCAAGGAGACCTGGGAACCTACCCTCGAAGAGATGTTTGCAACGGCACCGCGTGGGCTCATCAGAGATGCCTGGTGTATGGAATACCCCGAAAATGGTGACTCTGGAGTGATCAACGAATCACGACTCGCAGGACGCGATTTGGACCACTGTTAGTCCGACATCAACCTCCTCGCTTCCGCGGTGATTCGATCGGGATCGGGCAAATAGCGGTCTAACTGAACGATGCACCTTGTGCAGGGGGTGTGCGTCAATACGTAGACGATGCGTATGACTTCTTGATTTCGAAACGACATCATCCACATGCCGTCGACTTCTCGAGCAGAAGGCTGGTGCTCGTCGGACACTCGATCGGTGGGACTTGCGCGTTCGTCTTACTCTAACATGTTGTCGTCATTCCCTAACAGTCACTCCTCCCCAGAGTTCTGCTTCACGAGAAAGAGCCCCGCCTTCCGATCGTAGGATTGGTGTTACACGAAGCCTCCATCGCTCCGGATTCCCCAGCGCGACAGCGGATCTTTGAGGTACTCACTAACTACTACTGGACAAGGCGAGATGCTTGGTCGTCTCGCGAGGAAGCCATCAAAGAGTTGTCGGCGCACCGTGCCTATAGCGGATGGGACCCGCGTGTGCTGGATATCCATTTCGTACGACACGTCTATCTGTGTTCTAACTGGCATGTGCTAACCTCCTTTCGTCTTCAACTGTAGAAACACGTACTATGTTCGCATCCAGCCGCGAAGTATCCATCACCTTTCAACTTCACCGGCGTAACTACTGTGATGACAAGAGACATGGATAGCGTATGTCGCTCCTGTTTGTTCTGCAAATTGGCGCGTAACGATACTTGACAGGCGGTTGCCCGAGCCCCGGAACCCACAGGTGCCGCTTTGCAGGCGTTACCGTCGGTGGTACGGAGGACGCCTACCACCCTCGTCTTCGGGGATATAGAAGACCTATTGTATGTTACTCCTCCGTATTTTCCCTGTCGAATTTGTAGCCTCACATCAATGTTAGTCCTCGAGAATCCAAAGAAGCGCAGATTGGACTTGTGGCATTCAAAGGGTCCCGTGCGAACGTCGTGACCGTGGAGGGCGTCGGGCATATGGTGCGTTGTCATCGCCGAGATGTGTTAAACGGGAAATGGATCTGACAATCGTTCCGTAGGCCATGCAGCAGCGACCCAAAGCTTTCGCCAAGGCTTTGGTGGACTCGGTCCAGCGCCTTGTCAAAGACACGTCTGGTGCCAAGCTATGATAGTTTAAAATGTCGAAGTATGACCGGATCCTATGCGTTGCCGATGGAAGCACCGACTACGAAACTGTCCATCGCTGGATAGGTACCGATTCTATAGACAATAGGCACGAAGTAGTACACGAATATACGTACACGTAACATTACAAAGTGATCATACAGGGACTGGCCACACCAAAGTCGGAGGCATGCGCATGCAAGACGTCGGCTCTCGTAGTGGGTTACAACGATGGGCAGCGTCATGTTTGCAACTCCTATAAAGACGGCGTCATGACATGATTGACGTTGTAAAGGAAAACGTTGTTACATTACGATCGTAGCTTCGCTCGGCATCATCAGGATGTAGAGTAGCTCGCATGCGGGCTTACATATCGTCCAGGTTACGCTTCATAGCCAAAGCATGATCCAACTCGTCCTGACGGCTCTCCGGAGATTGGGCGCTGAGTACTGAGGTAGATGTATCGGGACAGGCGAGGTCGATGGTCTGTAGCTTCAACGGGGTCGACGCGGTTCGAGGGTGATGGCTGGATGCATCTTTTGTTTCATGTTCCACGTCCCGCGAAGTCCCTGCTGAAAAAGCGCGGCTGAGGACTACGGGGGTTTTGGTCCCCTCATCCTTCTTTTTGAATATAGCGATAATGCTCATGTTGTGCAGAGTAATAATGGTTGGCGAGTCTAGAATAAAAGAGAGAATAGTGTGCGAGGATGATCGCAGGGGATACTTGTAGCTGGGCAGGGGGATCGGATGCGATCGCAGCTATTTATCCGTGCTGGAGGGATAACCTGGAAATGATCATTCGCGCCGGATGTCATCAAGGCGGAGCGCAACAACCACGCTTCTCAGCCGCTGAAAGAGATGCGAGTAAGATGCCGTGAGCATAATATTTCGGATCGCGAGTGGGCGACTTCCTGTATGAGACACTACTGTGGCGGTAGTCGGGGTACATGCTGCCAGGACCTTACGGTCGTATTCTTGTTTCAATAATCGTCGTAGTTTTGCCGTCGTTCTCCACTGCATAACACAGGACTTTCCGGCACGCTGTCAACGCCCAACGTAGTATTACTATTAGATTTAGATGAGCGCTCAAAGGCGCGCCGGGAAAAGCCGACGCCACAGACGCGCACAGACGCGAATATGTAATTAGTCGACCTCGCCGTCCTTCCTTTCATTCGCCCGTATTCTCGTGTTCTGTTTGCCTTCAGCCTCTCTTGACAGTTATCCTACGCGCATCGTGAAATATACGGAACCATGGCGCCCTCAGCCAGTAAATCGGATAATCTGAAGCAGAAGAGCCTCATGGGCTACTTCAGCAAACCCGCGACTGCGGGGGACAAAGCCAAGCCTACGCCCAAAAACGCGTCGTCGTCCTCAGGCCCCAAGTTCAAGGCAGCCCTCGCTTCCTCAAGTGCCAAAGCTGTCGCAATGCCCGAGGAACCGGCACGGAAAACCGCTACTGCCGCAAGTTCGTCAGGAGCGGAAGATGACTTGGAGGAACAGACGTCGCCCCGCACGCCGCTCAAGTCCAAATCACAGCCTAGTTCGCAAGAGACGGTCAACAGTGCAAATTATACTCGTTCATCGGACGGGGCCAGCAGCGTGGGCTACAAGGACACACCGCCTAGCAGTGATCCTGTCGATGTGGATATGCTGTCAGACGAGGAGGAGGAGGCGACAAGGAAGGACCTATCTGCTGTGAGTACTTCGTAACTGAGTATTCTCTGAGCACGCGACGGAATCCAAAACATGTGCATAAATATGCGTTTGATGCACCCATGCAACGCATATACGGGGCATTCGTACCGCGCACGCGTCTATATGCGCATTCTTTATTACCTTCAACCAGCTTTCAACAATTAGCTGACTATCTACTCTGTGCAACACTAGGCCCGTAACGCAGGAAAGCGCAAAATCGTCCTGGAGTCAGATTCGGACGACGAAGTCCAACCATCCAACTCGAAAAACAAGAAAGCTCCAGGTGCCGTCCATTTCCTCTTACCCTCTCATGCCTTATCACCAACCAAATCAATCCTTTTATTCTTAGCCCGATCCGTTTCAACCAAGAAGCAACGCACATCCTCTCCGGACCCACTCTTCCTTTCCGACGAGGAGGAAAATGAGCTCTCCGAGTCTGCAAAGGCTTCCTTCTCCTCCAGCTTGAGCAAGTTCACGAAGTCACCCGTCAAATCTACGCGTCGTCTGTCCCGCTCTCGGGCGTCCGATGACGATGACTTCGTTGTCCCCGACGACGAGTCGGACTCGCCCCCTCCCTCGGTCAAGTCCGGGAAATCTTCCCGATCCAGTCGTTCTGCGACGTTGTCGTCAGACGCAGACGACTTTCTCGACGACGACGAAGATGAAGATGAGGCGCCGAAGAAGAGCAAGGGCAAGAAGAAGGCACCCGCCGTGGAACGGCCCAAGTTGGCCAAAGAGGCGAGCAGCCAGGGTGGAAGCAGCTCTTTCCTCACGGCTGCCGAGCGGCGCCTGAAAGAAGCGAAGGAGGAGAAAAAGACTAAGGAGGATCCATATGCGTTCCTCCTCGATCCGAAAGACGTACGTCTTCCTTTACTATTCTCGGGATCCAGATACTGAATGTATGTGCTTATGCAGAGGGACGGCGTGCGGCCGGGCGAACCCGGGTATGATCCGCGCACGTTGCATATACCGGCGAAGGCGTGGAAGGAGTTCACACCATTCGAAAAACAGTTTTGGGAGGTAAGGATTTTATCGTGAACGAGTGGTAAGATTTTGCTGACGATCATTGGCAGATCAAACAGAATCATTTCGACACGGTGTTGTTCTTCCAGAAAGGGTATATCTGCTGTTCATTTGCTGGAATTTTGCATTGATTTCATGTACCTTTCCCATCTCAGGAAATTCCTGGAGGTGCGCATTATCTGCCGTATCTCCTCCCGTAAACTCCTAACTCGCCCTGGAATGTCTGGTTTTGTAGTTGTACGAGGATGATGCTCGGATTGGACATCGCGAATTCGACCTCAAGCTTACCAACAGAGTAAAGATGTGCATGGTCTGCGTCAACTTTCTGCTTCCCGTTCGCCTTCATCCGCAACTCACCCGAACTTGTGCCATTAGGTTGGGGTACCTGAGTCTTCATTCAATTTCTGGGCTGCGAAGTTCCTTGCCAAAGGTTCGTGGAGTTCTTCGTTTACAGTAGCGCGTACTAACATAGACATCAGGATATAAGGTCGGTCGTGTGGATCAATCAGAGACTGCCCTCGGCGCAGAGATGCGTCTGGCAGCCGACAAGGCGAAGGGCGGGCCCAAGGGTAAAGCGGACAAGATCGTTCAGCGGTTCGTTTCCTATTAAAACCTCCCGTGCAAGCCACGCTCATTCTACATCTTTGTATCCTAGAGAACTGAATAAGGTGTATACAAACGGCACCCTTGTGGACGCAGAACTGCTTATCGACGAAGAAGCTGGCCACTGCGTATCCATCCGCGAACACGCTCCTGACCCTGAGAACCCGGCCGACGCGAAGAAAGAAAGTACTTTCGGCGTTGCAGTCTTGGACAGCTCTACGAGCGAGTTCAATCTGAGCGCATTTGAAGATGATGTGTGTAGGACCAAGCTCGAAACGTTGCTGCGACAACTACGACCAAAGGAGATCATCTTCACAAAGGTAAGACGAGCTTGTATGCGACCTACGGAGAACTAACGGAGGTGCAATGCGCCGGCAGGGCAATCTTTCGGTTTCGACGAACCGCCTCCTGAAGGCTACTCTTCCGGAAGGATGCCTCTGGACGAGCCTTCGCGATGTCGAAGGCTTCGACTACGATCAAACACTGAAAGAGCTGGCAGAGCTATACCCCGCCACCGGGAATGCTATGAGAGACGAAGATGATCCTGTTGGTGGCGATGTCCCGGAGGCGATACGCGACATGTATGCGTCCAAGCCGGCAATCGAGGCATTAGGGTCCCTGATCTGGTGAGGCCTGGTTAATTCTGCAACCCAATGTCATAGCGTCTCACAACTTCGCGTGTTAGGTATCTGCGCCAACTTAACATCGACAAGGATATACTGAGCATGAAGAACTTCAACATTTACGATCCGATGAAGCGAGGCCAGGGACTTGTATTAGACGGGCAAACGTTGGCGCATATAGAGGTGCATTACATTGGACCAACACGTACCTTGTTCGCTAACTGCAGTGGCTTATCCAGGTGCTTCGGAACAGCGACGGCACTGAGGACGGCTCGTTGTTAAAACTGCTCGGCCGATGCATCACACCTTTTGGTCAGTTTGATCCTCATATATTGATGGTACTGAAGCTGATCGCACATTCGCAGGTAAACGTCTCTTCCGTATTTGGCTCTGTATGCCCCTCAAGAGGGTAGAAGATATCAACGCCAGGTTAAATTCCTGCCTTAAGCTGGGTCACGCAAATAGCTCAGTGCCGCTTCTCCGACAGACTCGACGCCGTTCAGGACCTCTTAGACAATCCGTCCTTTGAGCAGATGTTCACGGAACTCGCCAAAGGTCTTCCTGATCTGGAACGTATCGTCTCTCGCATTCATGCCAATAACTGTACTGTCAAGGATTTCCTGAAGGTTCTCCAGGTACGCGACCACTCCCCCAATTGGAAGAGCGCCTGGAGAGGGGACGAGCTCACGGCGTTCGGTAGGCCTTCAAAAAACTCAGCAACGGCCTCTCCTCCCTCGCAGATGTGGCAGCTGAATTTGACTCGAAGATGATCACCGGCTTACTGCGTTCGGCACCCGATCTCACGCCTAACCTCAAGAATGTGCAATCTATGTTCAAGAAGCCAGCCGAAGGTATTCTATCGGACAACATCATAGCCAAAAGCGTGTAATGACCTAGCTTGCCATAGGTAGCGGAGAACTGGAACCTATGGACGGGAAAGACGAGGAATACGATAATGTAATGTCCGAAATTGCTCGTTTGGAGAAGGCTCTGGAGAAGAAGCTCAAACAACTTGAGGACGAAGTCGGGTAAGCTGCGCGCTGCTTTGCTATCGGGCTTTTTGCTGACTGGGTGTTGCACATGACAGAACCGACTTGACGTACTGGCATAGCGCCTTGGGAACCAAAGTGAATAGCGCCGTTTCTGCCTGCGGCGCTTGAATGGCTAACCTCTGACAGGACATATACTTGGTCCAAACCAAGGCAAGCTTCAAGAACATCCCGAAGCAGTGGACCAAGCATGGAGCCACCAAGGTATCTACCCCTCACCCGGCTCCTATGCATGTTCTCAACCGCCTACCAGGCTGCTGCGCGTTGGACTGTCCCTGCGCTGGCGGGCACCATCCGCGCCTTGAAAGAAGCCCGTGAGAACCGCAACACTGCGATCAAGCAGTTCAAGAACCGGCTGTTCGCCGAGTTCGATGCCGACAGAGGCGTATGGCTTCGTGCGATCCGCGTTCTTGCCGAGTTGGACTGCCTGTTCAGCCTCGCGAAGAGCTCGACAGCCCTGGGCGAGCCCATCTGTCGACCGGAGCTGGTTGAAGGCGACGCCGCCTTCGTCGACTTTGAGGAGTTGAGGCATCCTGCGCTGCTCGCCAGTTCGAGCTTGAAGGGCGACTTCATTCCCAATGATGTCCGTCTGGGTGGTGACGTTGGCAGGATTGTCCTTCTAACCGGTACGTGCTCGCACCCATAGCAATCGCTTGACTCATCTCATATGTTGCTCGACCAGGTCCAAACATGGGGTACGTTCGGAGACTAGGGGTCGGACACCGGATGCTGATTCTGAGCGTCTAACAGTGGAAAATCAACCGCAATGCGTATGACTGCAGCCGGGGTCGTATGTCCTTCGTCTTCCTCTGAGTTCGCTCGTATGCTGAATCGCTGTAGATTATGGCGCAGCTCGGTATGATGGTGCCAGCACGGAGTGCCAAGTTCGTGCTCCCAGTGTTGGGTTCAACACGTGTCTGACCCCTTTTCACAGGCTTTGTCCTGTAGACGCAATTTTGACCCGAATGGGGGCTTACGACAACATGTTCTCGAACGCCAGTACATTCAAGGTTGAACTGGACGAAAGGTAATGGCATCACGCTGCCAGAGACGAGGTCCAATCGCTGAACGTCAACCCAGTTGCAAGATCCTGCGAGAGGCTACCCCCAAGTCGCTCGTGATTCTGGATGGTAAGCCTCACACGTCTCAGGCCATGCATCCCACCCGCTGATGATGATGCGCGGTCCAGAACTGGGCCGCGGAACGTCTACATACGATGGCATGGCTATCGCCGGTGTATGTGCATCCTTCTCGCATCTATTGCTTGCGTTGAAAATGCGTCGCAGGCCGTCCTGCACGAGTTGGCGACACATACGCTCGCTTTGTCCTTCTTCGCCACGCATTATGGATCATTGACCGACGACTTCGCCTATCATCCGAACATCCGGTATGGTCTTCGCGATGTAGCTATCCCTATAGACACGATGCTCACTACCATGTCCACCAGAAATATGCACATGGCCACCATGGTCGACGATGAACAACAAGAGGTAAGATGACGGCCGGACACTCCACGATCTCTCGCTGACCATCATTCCTTCTCGCAGCTCGTGTTCCTCTACAAGCTCGTGGACGGCATCGCCTCCTCCTCCTTCGGCACGCACGTCGCTAAACTCGCCGGCGTCCCCTCCGACGTCGTGCAGCGTGCGGCCGTCGTCTCCGAAGACTTCGCGCGCCAATTCAAGGAGAAGCTCGCGAACAACGTGCGTAAGAAACGGAACGGATCCTCGCGCGTGCCGTTGAACGTGCAAAGCGATTTCGCGTATCTGGTGAAGCTGGCGATGGGCGTAACGAAGCTGCCGGAGGACCCGGTGAGGAAAAGGGAGACGTTGGTGGTGATGAAGAAGGCTGTGGCGAGCTGTCTGCTCGCGTCTGGCGCGTCCGTGGCGTCGTCCTGATCCACTCCTGCTGTGTACTAATATGCTGTTCGTGGTTGGCTGCTATCGTGCGCTGTATGTTATGCTTTTCGCCTGTAATATACTCATACCTGCTGTCGATAATGATTCCATCGTTTGCTCAGAGCTTTATGCCTGGGCCGAAAACCTGGCGCCTGTTTAGATACGTTACGCAATCGCGCCCTCCTTCCACTTTCCTATCCACAGTCGGCACATCCCTTTCCTCGTCGCGAGCGCTTCCTGATCCATGAGTCGACCTCCCCACAGCACGGGCATCTTGCCCCGCCATTCCGCACTCTCAGGATCCTCCGTCTCTTCCTTCCATTCGATCCCGGATGCCCGCGAGAGATCGAGCCATGCATCACATACGTGAGGCGGGGTATATCGGCCTAACAACAGCCACCAGACCCGCGGCTACTCTGAGCGTTCCCCGCGTTGATGGTGACGGAGGAGAACACTCACCTGCGGCGCAGTAGATCCGTGATGCTGGCCGTTTTGCGAGGAGGGCCAAGAGGGATTTGAGCAGGATGTGGTGACAGGAGTCGAAGTGGAGGAGATCGGAAAGGATCACGATGTCGTACCCACTCTCCGCCGCAGTTCTGCGGTAGGGTGTGAATTAGACGCGAGGACGTTCTCCCGCATTAGAGTCAGATTTGGGAGGAAGGACTGACGTCAGCTTGTCGGTGTCTTCACCCCATGCATGGCCTTGCCATTTTACCGTACACCTCGGTGTGGCCAGATTTGCGTTCCTTTCGACATTGCCCTGGAGGTTGTTGAGGATGACCGGGTCGGGGTAGTCGGTGGGTATGACGAGACTGGGGGCTTGCGGCTCTGGCAGCGTTGATAGCAATATTGAAGGCAGCGCGCAACCCGCTCCCAGCTCTATCACTGTTCATGAATTGAGCCGTCAGCCCACAGATCGCACGAGTGTTTCATGTACGCACCAGACTTGCCAGCGACCGGTATCAATCCCCGTTCAACGCGCTCCGCCAAGAGCAAGGACGGAGAGAAAAGATGGTCGGCGAGAAGCGTGTTTGCCTATGTTCGACCAATGGGGCAGTCAGCACGCTTCTCTCGCATCCTTCCCGCCGCTGCTGTCGTATCGAAAAACTCACCTTACCCTCCTACGGAGATTATCACAGGGTCATGCTCAGCGCCCGTGCCCAGTAGTATATGAATAGGACATCATCATCATCATCGGGACCCGATTGCGATGAGCTACCGTGACGGTCGTACTTTCGGCGCGACGGTTAATTTGATGGGGCCATACTGGATCGTGCCGTCGTCTTGATGAAAGCCGGCTGATCCGGGGTCCAGAAACTCGAGCGAATCGTTCAAGATGTCTTCTATATCCAACGCCATCTCGTCCGTGAGCCTGAAGTCGAAGGTGCGGTGAGAAGATTCAAAGGATGTGTGAAGACCCGAAGGAGAGGAATCAGAAAACGGGGAACGGTGTGCCGGCAACCAACACAGTGGCTCATGCTCGGAAAACGGTTTGGGAGCAGATCGTCATTGCCTGTTACCAATCCCATGGCAGCGGTAACAACTTGTCCATGCACTCTCCGTCTTCCGAGACTTCCTCCCTTCGCGTTTGTGCCTCGAACAACCCCTACGTAACTGGTCACGCATGCTTATGTTAATAGCTCCCCCGTGTCCTCTCAGGCGCAAGTTTTGATGCACGTTACTGCAATGCAGTGTCTTATGATCGTGGTGCTGCAGAGATGTTACCCCCATTTGTTGCCTTACATGTACCGATCACCAACGATTGGTTCGTCAATTGCCTCATCCACCCAGCCTGATGGTCGAGGAGCATTGCCTTGGGAACGCGCAAGGTCGAACAAGAACCTGCGTGCGTCAATACGCGGGTGATCCGCCCCTGCCATTGGCCTCGGTGGCACAGCCACTCTTTTATGGCCGCCTTCTTCTGAGTACAAAAGGCTCGGGGACCGTCCACTGTGCCTTTTCTCTAGTTGCACCCAACTTGCGACCAGCACTCTCCTTGCCAAACCGACTGGGCCGGTTTCCCTTTCCTCTCTCCTACTTTCTCCTCACATCTATCGGACGCTTGCGTTCTTACCTCTCCCAGCACCTGTTCATCGACCGAGTCCCAGTGACCGTCCCGTCTTTTACACCTCGTTGGAAAAATCCTCGTCGACAATCAAACATGTTCGTCAAGTCTTTGATCACCCTCGTGTCGGTCCTCGCCGTCACCTCGCAAGTGTCCGCACACGCGGCGATCGCGCCCGCTCTTGGCGTGTCTGGCACTCCGGTCCGCAACGATGTTCAGCGCCCGAGCACCAACTCGCCGTGCGGCAACGTGGACATCGCGTCGGTATGTGGTCAATCACTCGTTATACTGTGTTCAACGATCACTCATTGCTTACCTCTTCAGACGCTCGACACCTCCACCCCGGTCCAAGCGGCTGCTGATGGTACCTTCACAGCGACCATCTCCAACTTCAACGCGTGAGTGTCTATTCCCTTGGGGTGTCCATCCACCGGACCACACCGTTACATCAAAAGGCTAACGCGTCCTTTTCCAAAGTGGCCAAGACGGCTCGCGCCAAGTGACCGCGCAAGTCGACGCGACCGGCGCCGGCAACTCGTTCAAGGCCGCGACGGTCTCCCAGAACGGCGACCTCGCCCCGACCGACGTCGGCTCGCAACAGCTCGTCGTCTCCCTCCCGGCCAACACGGCCTGCACCGGCGGCAAGGCCGGCAACCTCTGCCTCGCCTCGTTCACCACCGCCGGCGGCTTCGGCAACTGCGTCGTCGTCGCCCAGGCCGGCGCCGCCGCTGCCGCGGGCAACAACACCGTTGCCGCCACCGGCTCGGCTGCCGCTGCCGCTGCCACCACCGCGGCCGCTGCGACGGGCAACGCGACCACCACAGGCAAGCACCACCACCACAAGGGCAACGCGACCGCCGGTGCTGCCGGTGCGGCGGCCGCCGCCCCGAACCCGAAACGCGCGTTGGCTCTCCGCTTCGCGCGTCACCTCCGTGAGCGCAACTAAAAAGACGAGCGACATTTTCTTGGATCTTTTCAACGACGGTGCCTCGTTGCTGGGCTGAAGGAAAAGTCACAAAGTGTATTTGTAAACATGTAGATGCTGGGAGTTCAAGTAGGGTACGTTCAATGGATATGGACAAGGACTTCGTGTCTGTGGTCCGCATTTCGTGCCGAAACGTTCTTGGTGTTCGTCGTGAGCAAAAAAAAAACATAGTGGTCGGAAGGGCCCAACGTGACTCATTTGGTCATGTTTACTGCTCGTCCTATGGTAAATCACTTGTGGGGTAAAAAGAACGAACGCGATCTCGTTATCTGGACGCCAGACGCGTCTGCGGATACCAACGCGGACGGTTTTTCCGCAATTACCGTCACCCGGTCCACAAGGTCGAAGGAGCAAGTGACCTCCGCAACCCGCGTCGCGAACGCTTCCAGGGTAAGAAACGAGGATTCTTCGATCGTCTGAGGGAGAAGGAGAAAATACATCATCCCGAACGCACTCTCGATGCGCATTTAGCCTCGGCCGGGTCACGCACCTCGCATACAATGCGGTATACCTCGCCCCAGATGATAGGCACATTTTCGGGCGTAGATTGACATCGCAAGGTGACGGTGACGATGACAGACTGTTTGGAGAGACGTTCGGGAGGGTTGACGCCGATGATCGTGCTAAGCCGGATGTTCCTGATCGTCGTCGTCCACGACACCGGCGGCCCCGGTCCCGGCCGTCTCGTCACGTCCGCTTCGAGGCATTCCGCGCTCAGGAACTGGTTGTGCGCGCGCGCCAAGACGCGCACCGTGTTCGCGCCGTGCGCTTTCCCGGCGGCGAGCGACGCGGCCTCGAGGGCGATTTCGTGCAACCCAAGCCTAGAGAATGCGGCGCCATCGAAGGTGCGGTATAGGTCCTTGTACACCGTGCCGTAGTTGACGGTGTCCGCGACGTCGTCCGTTCGCCCCGGGTTCGTGAGATCGGTGTAAATCCAAACGGAGAGCGTGATGGGTTGCGGGCGCGTCTTGCCCCAGCGATCGGGGCCGACGGTGGCTTGGAAATGCATGTCCTTGATGGTTATGCAGTCCATCCCGTCAATATTTTCGTTCATGATAGACTTATCGAGGTGAAAGGGGAACAGAAAGGTCAATGTGCAAGGTACGTAGGCCAAAAATCATCTCGGACATTGGGGCTGCACCCGAAAAGGCAAGACGGTACGGTTACATTTACACAGCCACTTGCTTTATCTTCCGCCCGTCCAATCTATCGCAGAAGGCAGTGGAGGTTATCTGCAACGCACGGATTCCTTGCTCTCGGCGGAAATTTTCCCGAAGTAACGACAGGTATAGGGTAAAGTGCGCAGGTAAGAAAAATGACACCGCCACAAGTGGCCGTCCGAGTGTCACTCCGCCTCCTTCCACAGCTTCTGGCCAACGTTGAACGAGACGATATGTTTAGATCCGTCGTTCAGCCGAACGTCGTTTCTATATTCAGCTCATCTGGGAGCAATCCGTTGGTTCTCTTCGGGGTTCACGTCGATAAGGATCTCCCAACGGACTCATTTGTTCATCTGCTGAAGGACGAGACGTCCAGCCCCGAACCCGACCCACCGAAAGCGCTTCTCGACACATCTGCATCTACGGGCAAGGCTGCGGAGTCTAGCCAATTGATAGCATCTGTGAACTACAAACTTGATCAGACGGTGCTTCACATGCAGTCGCCGACGTTGAACAAGACGTATATCCAGTCCCCGAAGATCCACACGGGTCGTGCGAGCGATCTGTATCTAAAGCATCCATGGATGCACCTTCAAGTACGCCACCTCGAACGAGATTGGGCATTTGAAGTGGGCGTTGTGGATCAGATGGGTAGAGAGGGCGTTCTCCGGTGTTCGACATTTCAGGTGAATATCTCGCCATCAGCTGCTATGTCTATGTCCTGTACTTTCGGCATCCTCATTCGTTCAATGGCAACTCTTGACTCTCTACTGATGTCTGGCTGCGAGTGATGAGCCGGTATTCGGATGATAGCGTGCTCTTCGTCTGATCTACTGTTCTATCAGGGTCGCTGAAGCAAAGTTTCCTACAGAACGAACCTCACCTGCATCTCTCCAACCCACCGATACTCAGTCTACCATTAACGCTTCCGTCTCCTTCGTCACGTCCGTTGACCAATTGGGTGACTATTGACCTCAACCTACCACGATTGCTTCCCCACTTTTCATCGCTCGCCCGGCGACAATCCCAACTAGACTTGGAGGACGCGGAGGAAGATGAAATCTTGAACAAGGTCTCTAGCACCGGTGCTACGCGGAGCTCGGCGTCGATACCCGTCGGATCCTACTCGCATGTCGCATATGTAAGGGTGTACGCAACATGTCGACTGCGGAGGATATGGTTTAGTGAGACGAACACGGGGAAAACGCCTTGGGAGCTCGAACTATACGGCGCAGATTGAGGTAAAGCGTGCTTACAGAAGTCGTCCTTCTCATGGATCTAACGCGATAACAGTGTAAAAAACCATCACTTGTAACCACAATGCCATGTAAATTAACAAGTCATCGTATACTACCTATGAACTTCTATGATGCACATAGTCTATCGCTAACGTCCTACTAAAGCCAAGAGGTTGACAAACTCTAGCCTTCGCGGGGCAACAAGTCGACGATACCCGTCTCCTTCACCTGTTTACCCTGCTTCCCGAGATACCTCTCGCTCTCGTAAGACCAGTGCAGTGAGCCACTCATCCAGTCGGTGAGGCATTGGACATAGAGCACTACCTGTGCGTCGATCTCAGGCGTCCAGGATGGTACGAGGGCCTTGTTCTTCATGAAGCGAACCACCGCGGATTTACACATGTCTCCGACGAAATTCACGGCTGACTGGAGATCTAAATTGCCCTCCTGGTTGCGTGCCCGTGATCAGCGCGTGGGAGGGTAGGCACATGTACGGTAGCACTCACTGTCATGGCGACGCAAACCATGTTGTGCGTCTCTCCTTGGGACTGCTCTACGTTATACGACAACAGATCCTGCATGCCCGCCACCATGAGCAAAGGGTGAAACACCAACTCTAAGATGGCTGCGACACTTACGTTTGACCAGTCGACGAAGTCAGTCGACGAATCCCTCAGGTTCTGGAGGATGGGGTGCTCGAGGACTTCGTCAGGAAGAACGAGGTGGTTCGTGTACTCCGCCAAAGCGAAGCAGGTCACCGTAGCACCGGTGTCACGTCGCTGTAGAATATAAGTCTCGAGGTCGGGAATAGAACCCGCCTCACGGTCCTTGGATTGCTGAGTAACGGCGGAGAAGAATCTGCAGACCGCGTCGATGAAGCCTGAGTGGGATCAATGGTAAGTATAGATACGGTAAGGGAAACCAGTTTCCAGCGCACGTTTCCTCGTTCCCGCCTCGGCGGCCTCGCTCAAGCGGAGCCAGAAGCTGGATATATTTTGGTCAGGCGGGTTTTCGTGTCACATCAATCTGTGACTGCTTTCACTTACTCTTGCGTCAGTTGGGCATAGCCCGTCCCCGACACTGGCTCCTCCGGGTGAGTCATAATATGCATCACGATGCGGCTCAAGTCCCGAGCCTCATTCTGATCCATGCGATCTGTCCAGTCATCCATGTAGAACTGTCGCTTTGAGGTAAGGTGCACGACCCCAGCGTCGGAGGAAAGAGAACATGGCACGTACCAGCCAACTGATGAAGTCGGCGCATAGGCGCAGTTCCTGCGGACCGGCGTCGGGATAGGCGGCGGCTGCGAGCAGGCCGCTCTTGACTCCACGTATGCTGTCTGCGAGGGCCCCAGTGATGTTGCCACCACCGATGATCCATTGGTCGCTGGCTTGAGAGACCTCGTCGACGTGGGGGCTCATCCTGATGGGAAAAGGGCAACATAGGCGCAGGTCGGGGAGAACAATCTTGGAGATTTGACCGGCGCAAATGTTGGCCATTATTTAGTTGGGATTTCTGCTGTAGGAGAATAACGCTCTACGAGACGTAGTTGCAGGGTATTCTACTCATCTGCAAGCCAGATTTTATACCGGGCATGTTTCTCTGTCCTTCCCTTGAAGAGACACCTCGGTTCGCCTCTGTGGAATGTGTCAATAGCTCTCAGTCAGCTGGATCAGGAATGGCGCACCGATCAATTCGTTCCAGCAAGCGCTGCGTACGAGGTGGTGACCAATAAACCGAGAAGATGGCCCCGGCGTCTTTCCAGGAGGTCATAACGAACGCGTAAATTTGGCCTTCCAGAGCCCATTCCGACGTTCCGTAGGTAGCGGATAATTGTCTCGTCTTTCGCTAGGTGCGTTCACCATGGATTGTTTGAAAAGTTTCAGTACCACATGAGATACATAGAGAAAAGCACATGCGAATGACTATGCGCGCCTGGAGCGAGGGTCACTGAGCAGATGTAACGTTTAGGTTCTGAAGCTTGCAAGCTTTGATGGCTTACCCCGCCAGCCCTCGAAAGTCAGGAGCATGGGTGTAGCGGCTACAATCGGCTTGCCATTATTATTGAGTATGGACTCACCGGCGTGATGATGCACTTCGTGCTCGCCGGCTGTGAAAGTGGCGATCGAATGCATGAGGACCAAACGGCCCACTGCTTTGATGGCTGCACAGTGATCATTTTCAAGTCAGCGGTATAAACAACGCTGACTGTCTACAGATGCTGCCAACGTACCGCCATGTCCGGATAAAGCCGTTACTAATGGCTCCGAAACGCAGCCCGTTGGTCAGGCCCGACAACTCCTGGAACTACCTGGGCGAACGCGATCAAAATGCAATTATATACGCAAAACTCTGGAATTTTCCCGAAATCCTCACCACCTTCCGATCGTCCGACGTAAACGCGAGGCTTGGGCATGATATGTGCGCATAAACCTGCGAGTACATCGCAAGGATTTCACTGAGGGGAGCCTCATGAGCCGGTGTTGTCCGAGCGGGCAATCGAATGCCTGGCGAATACATTGACGACCCGTACGACAGAAGTCAAGCTCATGAGTCCAGGCCACGTATGAGAGAACATGCTGCCTAAATTATGAAAGATCTGGGCATGCACCTCTCATGCTGAAACTCATTGCTGCTCGTTCGCTGGTGGCGCGTCAGGATCCGACACCACCGGTGCGCAATGCTGGTTCGGGTTGCACACGCTTCAGGTGAGATCTCTTCACCAGAACAGGAGATGCTTCGTCCAATAAATCTGTCGTCCATAGATCATACGGGGATACCAGAGCAAATTCCATCAGCGGAGTGTACGTCGCGGCGGCCCCCGCGCCAGCACAGAGATACTGAACAGCGGCCCGACACCCCCTCCCGTCAACCTCGGAGAGACAAGATATGCACCACGGCAGGTGTACCATAGTCCAGCGTTCCGTAGAACAGAGTATGTTTGACTGACAGTTCAGTATGGGTCATAAGTCGTTCACCGTCGTTGACTCGAGGAGCCTGGAGGAGAGCAAGCACGGAAATTGCCGGTTCTTGTGCGCGCCTATCTTACAGTAGTGTCCTTGCCTCCAAGCTTCATCGACAGCAGCAACAGCCGATATAGCTCGCCATGAGCACAGACTCCTACAGCTCCGATAATTTGTCCATCTTAACATCGACGGACTCTACTATCTCTAATCTTCCTGGCGCGGGAAGCACGCTGGACAGCTGGCTATCTGCAGGGGGCAAGATAGTCGACGACCTCATCAGCGACGTAGCTCAGAGATCGGGTCATGGCCCAAACGTGCTGGTTGTTCGAATGATGTGCGACGTTGATGTAGACTGGAGTGCTTGTCGTTGTTGTGAGGCGAAATCGAACAGGAATTCGAAGAGGCTACACAATCTGTCCAAAGTGGTCTTTGCGGATATCTTCCATCATCTCCTCATCTTCGATTGTCATCGGTGTCGAGAAGCGCACGTGTTCGCTCTGCTCGCGAGTCAGAACTTCACAGTGGGATGCAGCAGGCTTGTGCTACTGTCTCAGTGAGCTTCCAGCTATATTCGTCTCCGGCGGTAAAATTGACCCTGTTGAAAGGAGTAGCAATCAGTCACTGCGGATGCTATCCATCTCATATCTTACGTTGTTGTCGTATTATCACGCCGAAATCCGCAGTCTCATAATACGTGTAGGGATTGAGTCAGCACTTCGTGACTCCATGCACTACCTGCACAGCCTGTCCCGGGGCCATGTCGACGCATTGGTTGTGTCCCTACGCTCCGCCGCGGCTTGCTTTGTAGAGGATGGTTCCATTCCCGAGATGCTAGCTGCATTGGATGCCGCATCTTGTGGAGCCACTGTCAAGCTCGGGATGCGTATGTTAGACGCACTACAGTTGAGTGCTCAATCGACTCGCCGAGTAATCACTGATGGCTCGAAGGGACGAGGATACCCAAGTACTCGCGGCCTTTCGCATATTGCTCGACCGCGAACTTTGGTATTATTGTGTGGCTGAATGGAAGCTTCGATCACACGATCTTGATATCTCGTCGCGGTCTTCCGCAGAGCTGGTTCCCGACACCCTGGGGAGAATGGTGCTAGAGACTTTCTTCTCCAGGCTGCGTTCCAGCAAGTCGACAATGCCGTGGAATCGGGTGGTTGACACTGGTATGGTTGACTCGCTATCGTTGTTGACGCCAGACTCCCAGTTGTGGACCTGTCGGCATTGTAACGCAAGGTCGCCTGCGAACATTTCACATCATGGTCTCCGATTGAGGGTCGTCGATGTGACCTCTTACCTCCTCGCTCACGGATGCGCCGATATCAGACGACAATACGCTGATGCATTGCTCTCCTCCGATGCGTTTTCCTCTGGATGCGACAGATTGCGGTTGTTTCTCCGGTGAGCGAATTCCGGGCATCTCGGGCCAGATGTATATTCACCGCTATCTGATATCGAAGACACTCCGACACGACGGCAAGATTGCACGCTCTCTTCTATCTGACCCTGTTGTCCTTCTTCCACCCTCAGCTCGAGCGAGCCATCCTGGATTCTCGCACGGAAGCGATGATGGCGGATATAACAGAAGAGGTCGGACTTGTCGCGAGTCACGGTCGGCCTCGTTCGATAGATCCAGAGACCGCTACCGATGGACCAATCGGCTGGTGCCTCGTCGCATTGAGCGCGATTCGGTTGGAAAATTCGCGGGTTTCGCTCTATCGTGGGCTCGCAAGTCTGAGAACCAAGCGGTACAGCTTCCTTCTCCTTCCCGTCCTGGCTCAAATCTTATCAGCATTTAAGGACGCCTGACGTGCTGGCTTCCGAAGCGTTCAGAATGCAGTGTCAACAGATGTCCGTTGTGGAACCCGTTGCGCCTACGAGAGACGTGACTACGCTGGACAACAAACTATTCACCGTCTTTGTGTCTTCAATACTCGACTTGTCTTCAGTACCGCTATCGCCTCACACGCATCGCATGCTTCAGCAAGCCGCGCGGTGGTCGGGATGGAGTCCTTACTTCGACTTTCTCAAGCTCATTACGGGCGAAGCCGCCAAGCAGCGAGCGCTCTGTTCTCGTTGCAATCGAATGCCTTTGCATAGTTCTCTCCTCGACACCTCCGATTGGGATCATCTCCCGTCGTTTGCGGACCTCTTCGGCCGTCTACCGCTCTCTTGCGAGAGGTGCCGTCTAGGACTGGCCCAGAACCTCGCCTCGGACAAGGAGTTTCAGGACGCCTGTGCGAACCTGTCGTCACCGTTGAGGTCAGTAAAATCCCGATGCTCCCCACAAAATGAGGCTCACACTACCGATGGATTTGATAGCAAGCAATGCATGTTCGCTCGCCTTTGCGGGCTTTCGTGCATCACGGCGCTCGTGTATACCGACGTGGCCTTCCGAGCCGTCTTCCGCGATCCCGTATTGCTCTGCCGGCTGCGCGAGCTGCACGAGCGGATCTCGTCAGCGGAGAGCTCGTACTACAAGGACATCCTCCTTCCTCCGCTCCGTAGGACGCTGGACTGCTTGACCGACGAACGGGTGCTATCCATCCTCAGCGAAACCTCGGGTTCATCGGCAAGCGCCGACGGAATATCGGCAGAAACGTCACTCTTGCGGCATCTCAAGTTGCGTTCTTGGAGATTCAGCCGGGAACTCTGGCGTAGCTCACACCTTTTGTTTTTTTGTTCCTGACAGGGACCCCGATACGCTCCTCCTCGCCGCGTTTCGCATGCACTTCTACCGGCATCCTTCACGCGATATCAGATCACCCTCCGCTGCCGCCGCCGCCGCCCCCGCACCCGAGAAAACCGGTAGTAGCTCGTCATTCCAAACGCTCGAAGTGTTCTTGCAGAAGAACCGCATGGACCCTCTCGCGTCGACCGTCATCTGGTCTTTCATGGACCTTCACTACGGATACCACGCGGAATGGAATAGACCGTGGTTGTAGTAACCTTGTACGCTGTCCGAACCGTATGTGCATGTATGGGCAGAGGGTTCGTCGCTCCTGCCAGAGTCCGTCGACTGCATATATGCGCGAGATTGTTATGGATGCCACCCATCGACGCCGGTCGTATCTTAATAGCCTTACCCCGTTTTGAAATCGATAATGTCAGCCTGCAGACAAGATATGACTACCTCGGGGGGGGGGGGGCTGCACCGAGTTTTTTTATACACATTAATACTAATAATACAACAGCGCCTCCTCCTCCTCCTCGTACACACGACGCAAAAAGAGTCCATAGGTGAAATAGACTGGGGTCATAAAAGAGATAGATGTAGGTTTAGGCTGGAGTCGAGGACAGCGCCGGTATCCACCATCGCGAAAGAGGCAAGGTAAGGAGGGGGGAAAAAAAAGTCCACGACGTTCAAAAAGTCCGCTCCGGCGGTCCCCTCCTTCTTTCTCCGTCGACGGCGTCGTCTGCGAAGCCAGACCCGGAAGCGCTGCTCGACCCGGACGACGAGCTCGCTTCCGTCGGCGGCTCGAGAGGTGGCGGTCGTGTTCGTGCGTTCGAGGAGGGAGGAGGTGGGGGACCGGCGAACGCGACGGACGAGGCGGAGAGCGGGGACGCGCAGGCGAGGCGGGCGAGGCCGAAGACGACTTCGCCGCCGAGCCGCTCGTCGAGCGGGTCGTCTTCGTCCGGCGGGGACGGTTTGTGTCGCGAGGACGACGACGAGGACGACGACGAGTGGGGGTCCGAGGGCATGGCGATGAGGACGGTGACGTCCATCGCCGCGTAGCGGGGCGGTCTGTCGCGGGTGAGGGGAGGGGAGGAGGCGGCGAGGGTGGGCGGCACCATTTCGACGTCGGCGCCGGGTGCGAGGGGAGGCTCGGGTTGTGGGCGCCGGACGGGGCGCCACCAGTGGCGGACGACGGCGAGGGCGCGCGAGGCGCGCGATGGCGGGCGGGGCGAGGTAGTGGCGGCGGTACTCGAGTTCTTCGCGTCGGCGGCGACGTTATGGGCCGTCGTTGGCGTAGGCGGGGCGGCGATCGGGAGCAGAGCCACGGGCTTGAAAAGAGCACGAAAAGAAAAAGAAAAGAAAAAGGAAAACGGAGCCCATCAGCCCCACGTCTATGACCGCCAACAGCGCGACGACGAAATCTCTTCACCTTCTCGATCTGCGCGTACCCCGCGCTGTCCACGAACGCGGACCCTCCTTTCTCCCCCACCCCGGGCACCCACACCTCGACCATCTTCGGCCGCTCCTTCTTCTCCTCTCTGCCTCCTAGCCCTCCTCCTCCTCCTATGCCTCCGACGCCGAGCCGCCCGAGCCCGCCGGGTATGCCGTTCGCGACGAGCTGGCGGTGGATGAGCCTGTGCCGCCGCGCTGAGAGGAGACAGCCAGCGACGGCGAGGACGAGGCCGATCGCGGTGATGATCGCGCCGAAGAGGAAGGAGGAGGGCGTGATCCCGCCGCCGCCGCCGCCTCCTCCTCCTCCTCCGCCGTTGCCCGAGTTGGAGGCGGAGTTGCCGGACATCGGTGACCTCGAATTGTAGGTTGAGTCGTGTTGGTGCGGTGCGGTTATCTGCTGTTTATCTGTGCGGCAGATAGAGAGAGAGAGAGAGAGAGGGTGGGGGTCGGTTGGGGGTGGATCTGTGAGCCACTTATGTCGCTAGGCTGAGGCGGGTAGTCGGATGTGAGACGGTGCAGAGAGGCTTTTTGTGCTTGGATAGAGAGCGCAGCTCGATGTTGCAACCCCTGCCCTCTTCCGAGCTCACGATACGCAGTATCTCTCGGGGCTGACGACGACGAGTCCGGTTGGGATGGGCGGACCGGGTCGTCAACGGCGTCGGCACCGCCTTCCGTCTTCCGGAACGATATATGGTTTATACCAACGCTTGTCCGCGTGCGTATTATGAAGATATCTCAAGGACGATGGCGACGAGGAGCAGGAGCAGGGAGAGCGCCGGGGTCCATTGGCTCTCGCTCCTGCTGCGAGGGTGTGTGTGCCGGGAGTGCGCGCCTTCCACGATCCGCAGGTGGCGTGCCGTCATACCCGTGCGCGCATCTTGCCGAAACGGGTAAGGCGCGCGGCGGTGATTACCATAAAGGGTTAAGCGCATGCTCGATACGGACTGTGGCGCGCGGTTCCCCACAGGATGGCCAAAGCGCGGTTGCATGGCACCCCCCGTGGGCACGGAACGGAGAGGGAGAGCGTTTCTGGTGCCGCGAGCGGGAAATTATCGAGACGACGGTCCGGGTTTCGGTGAGGATGGCCGGGGTCCGAGTTGCGATGCCCCCACACCGAGAGCAAGATTTAATGGCAAACAAGCTATTATATCTGCATGCGGATGTGAATACATACGAGAAAGGTCATCGCAGGGTTCATACAGCTCGCAAACGGCAGACGAGGATGAAAAAGGATAGGGAACATTTCGAGCACCGCGCAGCGCCTTTCGATCGATACTCTCGTCGGTGATCACGCGCACGGGCGAACAACACCACGAGCACTCTAGTTGCGCGCGAGGGCGCGTGGAAGATCTGTCGTATCATGACCATGGGGGGAGAGAGACACGTCCTCCTAGTCACATAATCCTGGTACGCACACCACCACCCCCGGCGCGAACCAGCGCCAAGCGTCCTCTCACTCGATCTCCCAAGCCGCCTCCCGCCCGCCCTTCACGCAATCCTCCACGCTCACCCCTCTCGCCCCCGCGCCCGCCAGCACCACCCTCCCCCTCCCCCCTCTTCGCCCCCCACGATCGCGCGCGCCGCCGCCCGCACCTTCCTCACCGCCCCCAGATGCCCCGGCGCAAACGACGGGATGCACCGTACGTGCGTCCGCACCATCGCGAACGCCGGCTCGGGCAGCTCGACCTCCGCCGGGATCGCGAGCGCGCCGCGGAGGTGGCCGTGCACGAGCTCGTCCACCCACCGCGGCGAAACGGGGGCGGATCGATCGGGTCGGTGCCGGTGATACGGCCCGCCGAGCATCACCGTGATCTTCGCGAACCGCGACGACCCGTATTCCGCCTTTCCGTCGCAAAACGGCGAAGAGCGAGGAGGAGGCAGAGCGTAGTCCTGCGCGCCGCCGAGCGCGCACGAGTCGAACACGGCGCCGAGCACGCCGAGCGGGTTGGACGCCGCGGCGACGTCGTCGTAGCCGCGCTCCGGGCGCGGGACGAGGTAGCCGAAGCCGGCCGGGTGGAGCTGGAGCGGCGCGCCGGAGGGGGTCGGGGGGAAGACGAGGTTGACGACGGTGACCGTCGCGGAGGGGAACTCGGTCGGTATGTCCCGTAACGGGTAGGAGGAGGAGGAGGAGTGGGAGTGGGAGTGGGAAGAGCGGAGGACGGAAGAGAGCGCGGGGAGGGGTAGCGCGCTGAGGACGTGCGTCACCGGCGGCCCGGGCACGTCGACCCGTTCTCCGTTCTCCGCGTCTTTCAGCTCCAACTGTATTCCAAGAAAACAAAGAAGAAATAAAAAAAATGAGAAACCGATCGTACGTGATATGTGAGAAGAAATAAGAACCTCGATCGTGTCCGTCGCGCGGTCGTGCGCGATCCGGCCGACGGCGGTGCGAGCGAGGAGGCGCACGTTCGGCGTTTTTCGTAAGGCGTCCGCGAGCGCGTCGGGCAGGGTCTGCATCCCGTCCCGGAACGAGAACACCGACGCGCCGCGCACCGCGTCGTGCGCCGCCCCCTCCATCTCCACCTCCATCTCCTTCCCCTTCCCCGGCGCGTTCCCGTGGCCGCGGGCGAGCGAGAGGCGGAGCGCGCCGCGGAGGACGCTGCCGCGGCCCGAGTCGGACAGCGCGGCGAGGGCGGGGAACGCGGCGCGGACGGAGAGCGCGCGCGCGTCGGCGGCGTATATCCCGTGCACGAGCGCGCTGCCGAACGTGCGCGCAAAGCCGGGGCCGAAGTGGCGGGCGAGGAACGCGTCGACCGATTCGTCCTCCTCCTCCTCCTCCTCCTCCTCTGCGCACTTGTGTTCACCTTCGCTTCCTCCTCCCCGTCGTCGAGCGAGACGATTTGGGGGGGAGAACAAGTCGCGCGCGAGGGCGGGGAGGAGCACGGTGCGCCCGAGTTTGGAGAGGAGCAAGGACGCGAGCGAGGTCGGGACGCGGGCGAGGCCCGGGGACGGCGGGAGGTGCAGGAACCGGTTCCGGGCGGCCGGGGAGGTCGTCGGGGTGGTGATCACGGAGGGGGAGAGGTTCAGGAGGTTGATCTGGCCTTTCGGGGCTTTGCGTTAGCGGGCAAGGGGAAGGGTGAGAGGGGGAAAGGGAGGTAACGTACGAGCTCGAGGACGTGCGCGGCGTTGCTGGCGCGGAGCGTGCGCGGCCCGGATTCGACGAGCACGCTGGCGAAGTGTCGCTGGTCGTTGTCTGCGATGCGGACGCGCAAGCTGCGGATCGAGCCGCCGAAGCGGTCGCTCTGTTGCGCACCGAGGATCGGTCAGAGGCGAAGAGAGGCGCTCGTCGGATGAGGATGTTTACGGTACCTTCTCGACGACGGTGACGAGCGCGTCGGGAAAGCGGCGCGAGAGGTGGTACGCGCCCGAGAGGCCGGAGATGCCGCCGCCGAGGACGGCGATGTGTCTGCGCGACATTTCTCTATATTCTTGCGTGGCGGATATGCAGATAGATCCAGTTCAGAGGCGCGCGGTTGGTGTGCGTCTCCGCGGTGTGGAAGGCACAGCGCTTCGCCGCAGTCGACGATGCCGAGAGTCCAGAGTCTCAGGGATCGACCTTGTCGACCTGTATGTAAGTATGTACGTCGGTGGTTGTAAACGCCAAGAGAGCGCGTCGTCGTCGTCGTCGCGCTTGCCGTCGCCTTTTCCACGTCGTGGCGGTCGACGTCGAACGGACTTCTTCCTCCTCTTCACTTCCATCTTCATCCCGGCAAACACGCCCACGGCCCCCGGCTTTCCAACTTTCTCCCACCTCTTGCCTCCTCTCCGACAAAGTCTGAGAGCCGTCTGCCCACGCTGGCCAACGCGCGTTCCCATCTTACGGATCCCGTTGACGGCAACACCACCACCATCGACTGCGGATTGGCCTAATTGCGTCGACGCATTCGTGGTCAAGTAAGGATGGAGGATCCGAATCAATAATAATTGATCGGTTTAGTCCCGGCGGTTGGCGTCGGTCAGGATCAACGGCGCGGTGCGACCATCGGCCGCGCATCTGTCGGTCCGTGGGCTCGTCGTGCCCAAAATGCACACCCCGGACGGCGGAGGGAGCTACACACAGACGCTCGTTGCCCTCTCAGATCTGACCGTGGCCTCTGTCTGCTCCCACCCTCACCCCGCAAATACCTCTCGCTCGGGCTGCGCAGTAGGGCGTGCCGTTGACGAGCGACCGACTTCTCTACCACCGACCGTTCTCCTCTCCTCTGCCACGACGAACGATGTCCCCCGCCTGCTCGCAGACCACCACCCACCACTAGCCTCAAAGATCTAGCCTCCCACATCCTCCGCGCACACGACCCCTCCGATGGCCTTCCAAACCTCCACCTCGTCCACCACCACCACCACCAACACGCACACCCACCCCCCGCCCTCCTCCCAAACCTTACCCTTGAGCAAAGCGACCACACCCTCGTCCAACGGCGGCGGCGGCGGCGGTAACACCCCTCCGGGCAACACCTTCCTCTTCGGCGCGATCGTCGTCTTCGTCGCGCTCTTCATCGCCTTCCTCGGCTGCGGCCTCTCCGCCCGACGCGGCTGGGGCATGCGCCGCCGCCGCGCCGCCGGCCGCTGGCTCGCCGATCTCACCGGCGGCGGCGGCGACGACGACGCGCACAGGGGGTCGCAGCAGCCAAAGGACAGCGAAAAACCGATACTATGGGACGCGTACGTCCGCGACGCGAAGCGGGGTCGGAACGACGACGTCCGGTGGGACGGCATCGCGGTCAGTCCCCCCCCCCCTTTTTCTCCTCGCCTCGACTCCAAACACTCGGACTGAAACAAAAACACACGTTTTCGTTATTTTTATTCTATCCAGCCTTTGTCCGTCTCGGCCGTCCTCCGACCCGTCGCCCCGCCGCCGGTAGACACCACCAAACCGCCTCCGTTATCCTTACCTCCTCAAGAACAAGAATCACCCCCGACGTCGCGCATCCGCTCCCTCCTCGCCCTCCTCTCCTCCTCTCCGTTCTCGTTCTCCCGACGCACAACACCACCTCCTCCGCCCCCGCGGCTCCCGACCACAACCGCCGCCGCCGCCGCCGCCGCCGCCGCCGCCGCCGCCGCACCTCCGTCACCGCAATCGACACCCTTCAGGGCGCCCGGGCCCGCGCGCTCCCCTACCCGCCCCTCCGCACTGCGTATCCTCCGGGACTACTGGCGCCCCGAACTGCCCCCCTCGTCACCCCCTCGTCCACATCCTCCGCATCCTCGTCATCCTCCAACAACAACAACAACAAGCCGCGAAGAACGCGAAAGAGCGCTCGAGCGGTGGTTGCGCGACGCAGAGACAGGAAAGGAGGAAACGGAGAGGGGGAGGGAGACGGAGAGGGGGAAAGAGAATGAGAAGACGGTCCAGGTCGCGTGTCTGGTGCTCATGCCGACCCGGCCTCGCAGGCGTGCCGGCGCGAGTAGAGGAGGAGGAGGCGGAGGAGGCGGAGTACGAGACAGCGGATTCGGCGAAGGCCCCTCCTCGTCGCTTTCTCTCGGCGGTGCCGATCGGTCGATCGAAGGATTAAGAGGAGGAGGAGGAGAAGGAGGAGGAGGGGTACAGGAGGAGGAAGAAGGCGAAGAAGGAGAAGAAGGCGTGCCCGACGCGGTGCTCGGCGTCGCGAGCGTCGCGCTCGCGCGGACGAGGCGTACGCCCAGTCTGGCGGGTGACGGGGGCGCGGTGCTGTAGTCGTTTGATGACGATTTCGGGGCGCCTCGTATGCACGGATTTTTTTTTTCCCATACACATCTTTTTTAAGGAGGGGTTTACGGTTCGGGCATGTATTCTACACACGACCGCGATTTGTCTCGATATCCTGGCATAATTGACGACTGGATACTCTCTGCCTGACAACCTCCCTGGCTAAGATCGTACGCTACGGCTTAAACATATCATGCCGTTTGGATGGGGAGAGGTTATCTACCGTCCGACGGGATTAAAACGATCGTATAATTTGAGTATACCTAGCAAAGCCGAACCGTTAGCTGGTTCGCGAACGCGAACGCGTCCATTTAGCTCGCCAATATCGAAAAACGCCGACGGTTTCTGCATTTCGCGATCACCGACCACGTTCACGCCTGTTCTTTGGACTCGGGTCAGTAGCGGTGTTCGTGATATGTGTATACGTCGTCGGCGCACGCTCACCAGAGCTCAGATCAGGGGACTTTCGCAGACGTCCAGCGCACTCGTGGGCCGGCGTCCTTGAGCGATGACTGGAGTTCATCGACGGCTCGGAAAACGCGGAATAATAACGTAGCCCGGGCTCGGGAGCGTCGCTCCTGCGTTGGCGCAGCGTGCTCAGGGCGATGGCTTCCGGCTGCGGTTTCCGGCCCGACGAGGGCACGCTCGGTCGGGGCGACGTCGAATCCGGGCGCCTGGTTGGTCAACGTGCACCGCAGTGAGTGGCTTTGGAATGGTGTAGGAGCAAGCGGTTCGCTGACGAGTTGATGGTGTACATCATCGAAACGGAGTACAAGTACGACAGCGTCAAGTTGAAGCTATCGCAAAAACCGAGAAGGTGAGACGTGTGGCGGGCGCATCTCCGTGTAACGATGGCGTACGTACAAGACAAACCAGACGCTCCGCTGCGACATGGACACGTAAAGGACGAGGTTGAGCAGGGCACACAGAAACGGCGGGGCGGCGGACGTCCATGTCACCGCGATCAGACGGTCGATAACGTTGTGCCCGTCCAATGCCGTTTGCGATCGCCAGAGCACGACGACGACTAAGGAGAGAGCAAGCGACGTCAACGTTGCTCTGTCTCGCGAAGCGCTCATAGTTTGGCAACGCACTTGTACCGGTTATGATGGAATCGGCGGCTGGCACGCGCGTCAAAAGGCGGGTCAGCCGTTCTCCTACTGCCCCAGTCATTCCCGAGCTTACCTAGTGTACCGCTAAGGTTGATGACCTACGCCACGTGTCAATTCTACTTCCGCTGCCCACATCCCGATATCAACTCACCACGGGGATCTTGTTCTCTGTTACTTTGTCCGGAGCTCCGTGCTGGAATGCATGATCATTACAAGAAAACGCACCTCCAAGTAGAAGAAACTCCTACCCACCATGGTGAATATCACTACAGTCTGAAAACCCCGCCAAGTCAGCGACACCGAGATTTGGACTCGGGCGACACTCACCATAGCGATACCTCCGCCTAGAGCGACGAGCATGCATAACAATATCGGCACGAGGATAAGCCATTTCCTGCGTGGAACCATCCGGGCCACTCTCATGGCGAAATACGTTTGCACGACGAAGCCGATCAGCTCGGTCTGGTAGACACCGCAACTTTCAATAACGAGTTCAGATACCGGCACGTTCAGGGAAATTGGTTCACCAAGAGCGGCTGCGTCTCCAGGTACCATGGACCTCGAGGGTCGAGGGATGTCAGGGTGTGAAAAAAACAAACTCGCGTGAGCTGACAGACTCACTGCGAGCGACAGCATCGTAGTCCCCAAAGTCGGTTATACTTTGGTTCCAGATGATGGCAATAGACTGCACGGTCCTCAGTCTGCGTCATGTCATTATTCAAGCCAACGAAAGGTAGAAGAGGTAGAAATTCACGTGTTTAGCAATGCGACGATGCTCACGAAACAGTGGCTGGTTCTCGTGTGTTTGCGGTAGCACTCCACGTAGTGGCTGGCTTGCGCGAGAACAACCCCTTGCAGCCTAGAAGAGCGTGGTCAGCGAGAAACGTAGAAAATGAGTATTAGTTGTATATGGTGCTCACAGCATGGAGAACAAGCAACCCATGAGCCATGACCCGAGGTAATCCGCTGGGTGGGCTCGGATAAGCTGACCTGCGTGCGTTAGCTCGGCATCAGTGCGCATCGTCCAAGTGCGTTGAAGCGGTCGGGAGGTCCAAGTTCTCGACGAGCGAATCTCATGCGGGACCGTAGTCACGTCCCTCTTCATAAACAAAGGTCGACCCTGCGAAATATAAACGATATCTTCCACCACGCTTGGCGCCACCGGTTCGATTATGTATGTACCAGAGCGCCCGCTAACTTGTAGGGGACAGACCCGGGAATTGCCAACGGACGGGCGCGGACATGTCGAGAAGGGGCGGAGATGAGAAGTTGCGAAGCCAAGGCGGGGGAGGCCGGTTCTAGGCGCCGTCGAAGGAACAGAATTTGAACTGTCACAGAGATCGAAAATGCAAATGAAGGTTTTCCAAGGTCCTCCTGGAAGCGAACTGTGGCGTCCGACAGGGGAGAGGGCGGGGGATGAGTTACGGCAGTGATTCAGAGGGTCGCGCAGAACTCGCGGCGACTTAAACTTCCGATTGGTGTGTCGCCTGCATTCGGGGGTCTGACGACGCGTTACTGCAGGGCCTCAATCATGACCAACATTGATCAACTCCTCCAAGCTTCACATGTCGAAATGACACCAGTAATCGCGTCGAAGCGGGAGTGTCTTCATCGAGAGGGATAACTAATCAACTTGACGGGACATGTCAATATCCATTCGCAGCATCACAAACATTTCAGAACCGCATGGTGCCCAATCGAGCTCAACTAGTGTCGGCGAGACTATGGCAAGTAGATCGATCAGTAGTGAGTATGTGTTGTGCGACGACAGGAATGTAGACGATCGTACTTACATGTTGGTGACCGGCGGCGGCTCATGCATCCACCGGCCGCCATCCCAACTGATCATCTATCATGGTGGCGTTCTACATCGTCCTATCCAATAGATAATCCATGGTGTATATACGGATATGATAGCACAGGCGCAGACATTAGCCAGCTACAGCAACGTAGTTCAACCACCACCGACGGCGCGTCATTGCTCGAAGACGAACGAGCGAAGCTTTTGACAGATAACACCACTATCCAGGAACCGCATGAATCACGGATATCACTGCCACCGGGTGCCTGAAAACTCAAAGCCGGTCAAGAGAAGGAAACTACGATTCCATCACGCGGGCGAGAGCGCTGGTGAGCCAAGTCTCGTACGCGAGCACGTCCATCACGCCCTTCTCGTCGAACCACTCCGCGAAGGGGGCGGTGACCGAGACCTGGTGCTTGCCCAGGAGGGACTTGCCGCCGTTCGAGGATTGGATGAGGGTGAGAGAGACGGTGTAGGAGGGGCTGTTGGCGGTCGAGGCGGTGGTGGTGGTAGAACGTGGAGTGGCGGTGGAAGAGGTCACGGTTATTCGGTCGGTCACAATCTGGTTTATAAAGACAGCGTTAGTGAGGTTATTAGGGGCAGAGTCGCGGAGGTGGACCAACCCGCTTCTCGAACGTTTTCCGCCTGCCCACGAATACGATATCGCGTTCAATGAAGTACGCGTAGAGCGTTTGGATAGCGGACAAGACAACGTATCTATGACGCGCCGTGCGGGCGTTAAATCACAGAAAAAAAGGGAGTTGGATGGCCCGGGTCCCACGTACAATATGACGCCTGCCCAGACGAGCGGTTTCGATTTCTCGAACTCGACTTTCCAGCCATAGTAGCCCGTCGCGGCCGCGGTGAAGACGCTCCCCCAGCCTAGCGCGAGGCGTACGTCGGTGTGCGTGTGTATTTGCTTAAAGAGGTCCGGCCGAGAAAGGAACTGCAGTATCCCAGCAACAAAGACATTAAAACTGAGATCAGTCGACAGGGAATAGGCTCACGCGTTTGAGCGCATCGTCGCACGCGTTCTTCAGCTCGGTCAAGTTGGCGTTGTTAACTTTGACGACGTCCTTATCGGACGCAGACGAGGCGGGCGCGGCTGCCGTCGACGTTGCGGCGTCCGTATCAACCTGCAGCAGTTCCCGGTTTTCTTTGTTGGCATCCGGGGTGGCGATAGCGCCGTTCGCCTTGCGGCCCTTCGCCATGATGGTCGTTGAGTCGTGTGAGAAGAAGGGGAGGGCGAGCCGGTCGTGGTGGTTATCTGAGCGGAAAAGCGGGAGGACGTGGCGGTGATGAAAGAGAAAGGAGAACCACGAGGGCGAGGAGGGGTATGGAGTGCAGGGAGGTCAGAGGGCGGAGGCAGATGCGGTCAGTGGCTGCGCGCTCGGAGGGCCGAACACGTCGATGAAGCGTGGGAAATACACGGCCTCGTGTCCCGTGCCTCTTGCTACTTTAGGACGCGGCGGTCCTTGCTCTTGTGCTTTCACCACCACCGGACCAATATCGCAGCTTATACTTGCCTTTTGGCCCCATAATGAGCGTTGAAGATGTCTGAATCTTCAGGGATATTAAGTCCTCTGCCCAAATACTAAAGCAAGTCTAAAATGAGCGATCTGCCTTTTACGTCTTACAGTGGCGCTTCGGAGACACGTGGATATTCGCATACTGTACTTTTACGACCATAAGTTCGTCCCCATTCCCCCCCTACCCTTGAACTGAACCTAAACCAGGGTTTTGTCCCCTGTCCCCTCCCATTTCGGCCGAACCTGACTGACCGTGGGATTTATTAACACTTACTGTGAGAACAAAGAAATCTGATTAATATCAGTTCATGAACTTCCCACGGGTCTGAACTTACAGCGTGTCCCCTGTCCCCAAGGGGTCCGCTTGAACTTATGGTCGTAAAAGTACAGTAATCGAGTTCGTCCAGTCGGATTCGTTACCTTTAGGGACTAGCCCGATGAATGCCTGTTCATGGTTGCTCGCTGCGGGGCCCGACGTATACCGGTCGTTGCTCTCGCTTGCTCAAATCAGTCTGTATTTTCAATAAACCTAACCGGGGCGCGTTAGTCGTGCCCTCTACCGCGGTCCAGTGAGTGTGGACAAAGGTCTGTTATTCACCTAACCGGGGCGCGTTAGTCGTGCCCTGGTTGGTGTGTAAGTACAAGTGTGCGATACATGATGTGTAGCGGTCTCCTCACCTCTACCGCGGTCCAGTGAGTGTGGACAAAGGTAGAGATTCGGTTTGGCCAACCATCCGGGCTATGGTGTACGCCCGGAGGTTGCCGGTCCCGCATTGGGGAATAGTGACGCACGCGCCTATAGCGCTTGACATCAGGCTCCTGAACCAGCCGCTCGTATCGCGTCGGTACTCCCAAATCCGAGCGGTGAGGTCGGTGCAAGGGACTCGGGACATGATTAGTAAACAACATGTGATCTGTGAGAAGCACCTACCTGTTATATCATGAAGTTTGGGGGAGTACGACGCGATAGAGCGGCTGGCAGATCTTGTATTTCAAATTCTCGGCTTAGGCTCGGCATCCCTGTACAACAACGAGTCTAGGGGCAATGCGAGGCACTGCAAATACCCGAGGAAAATGCCTGAGAGCGACGAATATACCATAAATGGTATATTTGTGCACTTCAGTTGTCCGAAGTCAGTGGCCATGCGAGCGCTGCATCTTGTGGAAGTGTCCAGTCCCATGCCGACTTCGCATGAGAGGCTGCAAGCCGCAGCCAGTGCATAAATGAGGATGCAAGTCCGAAGGTTCCCATCAGATACCCAGCATGTTGCCCTCCACAATGCAGCTGATGCATGCTGTCGATAACCTCAATGTGCACAATATCCCAATCTCAACCCTGGTTACTGAGCTACTCACCCGGCCTGAGCTCAAGCATACCTCTGCTGCGAAGGAT